CTTTTGTACTCTAATGCTGTTAAATAAGATCCTATGCAACCAAATGCATTTAAAAAGTGTCCTAAAGGAAACCAATGTTCTGGCCAGATGGCACAGATATTTCCATGCAAAACACCACGTGTGGCAAGAAACGATTATTTCAGTGATTGATTAATCGATCATTCTGATGATTAATTGGATTAAAAAGTGGCAAGTGCAACCACTTCTAATACTGTTGCTGCATTTGCACCATGTATTTCTTTCCTCTAGTAAATCAGAGCCAACTGAAGCTAAAACTGCTGGTTTAGGAGTTAAGGCTAAAACATATTTACAGACAGATGTTTTTATCTTAAATGCAAAAGTGTACTCTAATGTACTCCGGTTAACAATGATCGATTACTACTTTACTTGATGATTACTTCAATAATTGATTTGTCACAATTAATTGTTTGGTTCCTACATATTTATTATAAATCCCTCTCTGTCATGTGTCTCGACAGTGTCCGTCCTTGTTGATTTCTGCAGACTGAGCTGGTTCGGCTGTCCCATATATGTGGCACATATAGCCGCACTTCGTCCTTAGGTAACGAGCCGTAGTATTCCTGCTTTCTGCGGCTTTATATTTTTAGCATGTGAGGATGCGTTCCAGTCTCCAGGCCCGTCATGTGACTGAGGGGCGAAAGGTGATACTGTGGGAGGTCTCTGCTGCTCTCATCTGTCAGACTGAAATGAATTAGGTCATAATCTATTTTATAGTAAGCTGAGTCTCATGTAAAGTCCCTCCGGTTCTACCTTATTTTGGAGGCACACAATGATATTCCAGCAAATTTACACTTTAGCTTTGAATATGATTCTCCACTGATTAACTGCAGGATGGCTTCTTTTGTTTTTAGTCATTACAGCAAAGCCACATGTTTTTGGGTATGTCATAATTTCTGCTTGGCGCTACATTAGTGAAAAACAGAGAATGTGTGGCCATGCTCTTTTCTCTGCACGCATATGTTCCCGTTGCAGAGCTGTTGGACTTTCCAATGCTTCGGTTTGCTCACATATTTAACAAATAAATTACTCTCCTGTTGGGTATTTTATGTTCTATTTTATTCCCTTCTTCCTGAGGAAAGCGCGTCCTTTGACACCAATGTTTTCCGATCTTGGAACAGTTACAATCCTTTTCTCTTGCTCAGACAGGAAGTGGAGCGCTGACTGTGGTCTTGGACTTGGTGTCCTGAACAGATGTGTATTAGTTCAACCAGTTGGACTCCCCACTTTTGCCAACATTTTGGAAAGTTGGTCAAACCAACCTGGACTTTTTGTGGCCAGAAAGAGAAGTCTTGGAGTGAATTCAGACCCTGTAATCAAACTCCAGTCCATTTGTCTTGAAAGTCCAATTTGTTTGTGGAAATGTAAATATGTCGACCAAAACAGCGGACTCTTGTCCTCCTACGATCCTTGGTCTCAGCTGGATTAAAGTGAACTCTGGCGTCGTTTGAATGCCAAGCAGACCAGAGTCTGCTCCAAAAGCAGCTACAGCGCAGGGCATTCTGGGTAAATTCAACCTAAACAAATGCAAGAGTCTAATGGTGGAGGGTGAAACGGTTCATAGTCATACCAAAGACAAAAGAGAAATCCTATAACCGCTTAAAAAAGGCAGATTTTAGCAAAATGTTGACAAAACTCCATTTTTGTCAACATTTTGTGAAGAAGGAAGTTGCACTCAATTTCTTCTTCAGAGATTTTTGTGTCATTTCTCTCAGCAGTTCTTGGTGCATTCATGTGACAAGTGGATGGAAACAAAGCTACTGTTAGCTGGAAGCTTTGAAGACGTTACTTCACTCGCCGTCATCAAAGATAAATTTATCAGACTTTGTCACAAATCCAGTTGTTTGAATAAATGGTCTGATTGTAGATCAAGGCTCATAATAAAATTTCCTGTCGGCTGTCTGACTTATAAACACTTCTACAACACTTGAATAATATGTCTCTCTATTTTTCCCATTTTGAAAAGTGGCTATGAGAAATTAGCTGTTGTAGGATTTTTTTAAAGGCCAATAATCAATCAGCCAATAATTTTGGCATCAGAAATCTGGTAATAATTATTTCTGAATAAATGCAATCAATTTAAAAGCTGTATTTTTTCATTTCTTTCTGTCTAAGACTAAAAGATTTTTATGTGTTTCAACACTTTAATGCCTTTTTGTCAGTGGTGCCAGTGACTGCAGAGTGGAGAAGGGTTGTACATTTAATAAGAGAATATGTCTGTAAATCTTTACACCCATGCCTTCTGCTTTATCACAGCTGTATAAAAATCACTTGGCGCAGTAAATCAGCAGTGGCTGTTTTCTCGTCACGTTCCCAGAGTGTGGAAATGATGAGGCAAGATGTGTTCGTAATCTGAGCGCGAGAGCCAGAACACACTGAAACAGCGCTTTCTCACCATCTGTCAATAACAGCAACAGCGACAACCAGGCCAGCAAACACACGTTGTTCTCTGTTTAAATCTAAACTCCTGCAAGGACTGTTGTATTTTAGCAACAAACACAGTTTATTCACAAAATGTGTGCAAAAAAACAATCATTATATTAGAGGAATGACATGCAGATTAGACTGAATCAACCAGAAACAGAATTTACAAACTTATCTGGACCTGGAGTTCATTTTCTAACTGATGAATTAATCGTGATGAAATGATTTCAAATAATTATCAACTAATTTATTAATCAATTAATTATTAGAGTATACAGACTCAAAAAAGGAGGATTTGTTGAAAGAACAACAAATTCATGGCAGTAATTAAACAATATATGTGTATATACACATGAACACATACACATATATACACACATTTTGCGTTTAGGCCAAAAAATCTTGTCTGTAAAAATGTTCTATTTAGGCATTAAAAATGTTTCTTAAGTAAAAAAAATAAATTTGGCCGTTTGTTTGTTTCCAACTTTTAATGTATTTGTATAAAAATGAATTAAGTGGCCACATAAAAAATTAGCAGAATGTGGCATTTTTACTCAATTAATCGTCAGAATAATCGATTAATCGGTTATTCTGACGATTAAATCAACCAAAAATAATATCTAGTTGCAACTCTAGTCCTGAATTTTTACATTTTTTAAATTTTAAACTAACTCTGCAAAGAATTAGTTCATTCAGAATGATGCAACAAATTGCTCCTACAGCTGCCATGACCCAAATGTGTTCTTGTGGTTTCGGCATCCTTCATCCCAGGAGAATACAGGCGAAGGCTGAATGCTCGCTGCAGCCCACTGAGACGCCTTCATGTCCTGAAGGTCTCTGTTAGTGAGCAGTGAGGCATGCTGGGAGATTACAACACCACACCCGCCCCAAAAATTACAAGTCTGCAGAGAGTGAAGGAGGATAATCATTTTGGGTTTCCTTTAGAGCATGGTTTCCCTGGAAGACTGAGGGGGAAAATGGGTGAAATACCTTCAGAGGACAGATTTTATGGGGAAAAAAATGTTTTTTGCAAAGCTTGCTTTATTACTTTTAGGACTGAAATGATTCATCTATTGCTGTCATCACCTTGAACTAATTTCGTAATTGATTAATCATTAACTGGTGTATGCAGACTCAAAAAAGGCCATTTGATGATAGAACAAACTCACAGTCAAATCTACAAAAATAACCTTAGTCTGTAAATATGTTCATTTTAGGCAATGGAAATGTAACATTAAAAATGAATTGAATTATTTGTCTACTGTCATCTTTTAATTTATCTCTACTATTGTATAAAACGACTTAAGAGGTTAAGTGAAAAACTTGCAGAATGTGCCAGTTTTTTAAATGTGATTAATCAATTAATCATCGGGAAATTGGAGAGATTAATCGATTTGTGAGATAAAGTTAGTTAAAGTCCTAATTGATTTAGACTAAAATCACAAAAATGAAGGATAACTCGTTCAAGCTCTGCAGCAACACGCACCAACGTCTCCTGCATCAGCTTCTCCTCACCCCATTAATTTTCCTCCTAAATGCAAATGAAGCTGTTTCGTGTTGCATTTCCACCCCATTTGTCCCACTTCCTCTGTATTCCTGAAATACCCTCTGGTATGGTGACACAGCTAGCAGTCAGTGGTCAGGTGCAAAGCGGCGATCATCTGACCTGCTGCTCCTGGCTTAATGAGGCTCTCCGAAGGTTTCGTGTTGATTTCTGACAGAGGAACGTCATGAAATCACGAGGATCTGCTGAGTTTAATCAGAGGCGTGTTTCCAATACAGGCTTTCTGTGTCGTCTGAAAGGTATGAAATGTATATTGTAGGTCTGGGAAAGACTGGAAACAGGAGAAATCTGGGAATATGTTGACATTTCCTGTCCTTCTCTCTGTTCATACGTACAGATGTCCTTCCATTCTTCCCTCCATCCATGTTCTTTCTCTCCTCTCTTCTCTTTGTCTGTATTTCTCTCTCTCCATCTGTCTCGCCCTCTCTATTAGTCTTTCTCTCTCCCTCTTGCCATCTGTCTCTCTGTCTCTCTGTCTTTATCTGTGTCTTTTTGATCTCTGTGTTTTGGTGTTTCTTTCTCTGTGTCTTTCTCTCTCTTGCGCTCTACCTCAGTTTTTTTGTCTCCCTCTCTCTGTTTCTCTTTTTCTATCTCATAAATTTGGATTTTGTTGTTTATTCTGGCTGAATTCAGACTAAAACATTTGAGTTTGGGAAACTCTGGGATATTGACATGAGAGCTGCACACTAAGATCTTGAAAACTGCAAACAGAAGTCTGGTTTATCCTCAGGGACCTTTGTGTCCCTCAGTAAAGATGCTCAACATTAAATCTAACATCAGCTAACTTCCTAAACTTTATGTGCCTCTTACCTGAGAATGTCTCCTTCCCTCCTCACATTTTTACTTTCTTCCATTTGCCCTTCATCTGAACTCCTTTTAGTAAGATTAATAGCTGTCATATTTTTTATATCACTGCTAAAGCAAGCATAAAAGCTTCTGTGACAAAAATTAATCATTCGTTTGTGTCTCTCGCTCTTATCGTCTCTTCCCTCAGAGGACAGCTGGCGGGGATGGGAAATGATGGAGGACAAAGGCCCCCGTGTAGCCGACTACTTCGTGGTTGCCGGTCTGACGGACCCGTCCAAGCCGTTGGACCAGGAGATCCACTTTGATGACGTGTGCCACAAGACGGCCAAGCCCAAAGCGCCCATCACAGACGTGGCGGTGGTGATCCGCTCCCTGGGCGAGGAGGTTCCTCCGGGGTTCACGTGTATCGAGACTACGCCGAGCGGACACTCGGCCGATCTGAACAACGGCGGCCTCATGGCGCCGCAGATCTTCCTGTGCTACAGGCGAGGCCGCGACAAACCGCCGCTCATCGACCTGGGGTGAGTAACTTTTCACTGATTGATTTGATTGACCACCGCCAGGAGCTTGCCCTCCTGTATCATTATCAATTACTAACTTGGTTGACGATTATTTCAGCAATTGATTAAACTCGATTTATTTGATTGTTTGGTTCAGTCCTATCCCGAGATGCTATAAGTTACTAAATTCGTTAACGAACATCTTAATAATCGATTAATTGTGATTAACTGGATTAATCGTGTCAGTACTGCCCTCATATGTCATTATCAATTGCTAAATTAGTTGACAATTATTTTAATAATTGATTAATCGTGATTAATTTGATCAATCACTTCGACACCACCCTGTAAGTATCATTATTAATTAGTTGGGAATTCTTTCAATAACCGATTAATCATGATTAATGTGATTAATCGTTTCAGCCCTGCCCTGCAGATATTTTTCTGAGAACCATCTGTCTCCCTCCTGGAAATGATTCACTGCTCCTATCCGTGTAGCTGCTTCGCTCTTCCAGCTCACAGTTTCAGGACATTTAAAGTTGATCTAAAAGGCTCAAGTCTTCTTCTTTCCGTGGAGAGCTCAGTTGTGCCAGCAGCCGTTTTCTGTCGCAGTGAAAGGTGAAAGGGAAGCACTGTTACAGGTCTCTCCCACAGCAGCATCACCTGAATTATGTGAATTCAATACTCCATCTTCACATACCTAAGGCAGGTGGTGACGACGCTAAACGGACTCATTCTTCTCCCCGACGCTGCGGAGTTCAGCACTTATCTGGCACTGATGCAGCCGCTCTGCTCAGACACAATCAGCACCTCGGCTGCTGTGAGCCTGACGGGACTAATGGGTTTAGATGAGCTGGTCCCGTCATTTACACGCTTCCTCAGCTGCTGCTCCATACAGAGGAGAATAGCTGCACAGCTGGTGTTTCGGGTTCTTTTAAATTCAAGGTGTTTCTATTTTGAAGAAGAGCTTTTCTGTTGTTTATGAAGGGAAGTCAGATAGATGCTTCAACTTCTCAGTAGGTTGAAGTCAGAATATCAAACTTTCATTATTTTGTAGGGCTGAAACTATTTTTTAAGAGCCTGATTGTGTCTCTAAATGAAAGCTGATTCCCTGATCTGTAAAAAATAAACTGAATAAAAGTGCAGAAAATAAAGAGCAGTTCCTGTAAATGCTTTTTAAACCTTTGACCTTCTTACACAATCAGATGTTTTCAGGGGGTTTGTTCAAGGCCTCGCTCAGCAAACACAGTTTGAAACTCGACTGAAATGCTGCATTTGTCAATAATGGATGGATGAGTTCTGCTCGGGTTGGATGCATCTTAAAAAGGCTCCTGCGGAAGAAATAATTATGAATCTAACAGTTTTCCACTCACAGATCTGTTTTCTGCTTTGCTTTCAGATACTCCCACAAAATCCCTGTTGAGTAAAGAAGGATAAGCGAATAAGTTGGGGAAAATTACTGTAATTTTATGCTTTGACTTTAAGTTCTTGCCTTCTGCGTGGCTTGATTGAGGGAAATCTTAGACATTTCAGTGCCATAAAGATACAAAATGATCTTTTTACACATTAAAACCCTCCTGTGAACTCCTTTTGAAGTGTTTGAACAGTTTTTCTTGGTGTGCTTGAGTTGTGATTTGATGACGAATCAGAAGAGTCAGTGAGAGAGTTTATAAGAAAAAACATAAAAATTTACGGTCTTTCTGACACTTTTGTACTATATGCACATGTTCAAATCAATGCCAGAGTCTTTATTCCAGGGTCAAAACCGCAAACAAAAGAAGAACGAACATTTTTTCTTGCTCAATAATTCTTTGCCGCAACCAGAACGTGCTGTTAGTTTGGGTTTGAACGCAGATCAAACTGCGATCCCTGTGATGTTTGAAATATGCATGCAGCAGTGCAGCAGAGCTGTCCATTTCTCTGCATAAATTGCTGCTAATAAACTGAATGTTTTCCATATGGATGAGCTGCTATAAGTAAGAGAAGAAAAGTTTTTGTTTTTATCTATTATGCATTCACTGAGGCTTTGTTCTCTTGTAAAGTGGTCCTGATGGTTCAGGCTTCAGGCTTTCAAACTATTTCTATGCTTTTATTCTAACATTTACTGCTCCAGATTTTTCTTTATTCTTGACTGTGATGGCATGCAGTGTTGTACCTTTTCTAGATTTGTAGAAAGATTGACAAAAACTGTAGGAGACCTGTAAAAAATACACCTGAATTACCATCCGATCATGTTTTTTGCAGAGACATTTTCAAATGACAATTAATTATATGTAAATTTTCTGTAGAGACAACAGTGTTTCACAGCTTGAATTTAATTTTTTTTTGCTTCTCTGGTTCGTTTTAGAATAAAAAACTCTCAGAAAGACTTGGCAATGTTTCCTTTAGATCCTTTGAAAAGTGTTGCTCGTGTGAATCCAGGAAACACAAAAACTGGTCTGGGTGACATGACTTAAAAAAACCCTCAAATTTCTGATTTTAATAAATTTCCTGATTAAAATCATGAAATTTTTCTGGTTCAATTACAAATGAGAGAAAATATTGTTATAAAGGTTTTTTTTTCAATTCTCCATTCAGTAAGTTATGCAATGGAGTCCAAATGCAGATCTTTCACAAATTAAATCTTCAAAAATCAAATATTCAATGAATAAATTATATAAATGCATCTCCCAGCCCTTCCTCCATCCCATAACCTGGTTTATCAGTAAAATATAGTTTTTTTGTGGTGTCTGCACCTGCATGTGATGTTATTTCCCTCCCTGCAGAGTCCTGTATGAGTGGAAGGAGAGGTTGAAGCAGGGCTGCCACCTCATCCAGACCACGCCCGCTGGTCGTCCCGCCAACATCAGCGGCAACTCCTCCCAGCGAATCTACGTCACGTACCGCCGAGCGCCAGACAGCCAGCCGCACGCCTCCCTGGCCGTCACCGACATCTGCATCATCATCCCGAGCAAAGGCGAGACGCCGCCGCACACCTTCTGCAAGGTGGAGAAGAATCTCAACAGCAGCATGGTGAGGACGCCGCACCCTTCAGACTACTGCATCCATTAATCTGATTAATGGATTATTGAAATGATTGTCAACTAATTTAATGATAAATCATTAACTGGAGTATATACCCTCAACAAAAGGCCTTTTGCTTAAAACTCAGAGCAGTTCTTACATCAAATCTGTGCATAAAATCTGTGGTGGCCAGATGTTTTGCCTCTGAGGTCAAAACTGGCAAATTTAAACCACAAAATTAATTTCTAAAAATGGAAAAATGGTTTTATTGTTTTCCCTTTTTGGTTTTATAAAATCTATAAATTTTTAAAGATCCAAAACATAAAACAGGCTTTGGGAATGTTACATCATCAGACGAAAAAAAAGACCACTTCCAAATCTTTGGTGTCAACTGTTGTTTTCTATTTTGTTGGCCAAATTTTCACCATTCTTGACTTGTGGCCAGCACACTCACTCTGCTGCACCGTCACAGATAGCTTGTGCTCATCAAGCGCGTGGAAAGCCTTCATTGTTAAACAAAGCTGAAACATGGATTCATCTTTCTTTAGTCTTTCTGTCCAGCAGAAATCATGCAGGGCTTTTTTCTTGCACACTCCAGTTTCCAGTTACGTCTCTAAGTGCAGGAAATGCAGGAAGAACATGTGGTCGTATCGATCCTGGTGGCAACATTCCTTGTGTTGTGTTGCTGCAGAGGTCACATGCACGTCTCAGCAGCCAAACACCTTCCCATTTATCCCACATTTTCAGACACTTCTGGTTTCAGGCTTTAGTCATTTATATGCATTTGTTTAAACAGGAGACTGAATTATTTTATATTTTTAGAACAGTTCCAGCTCCGATTGGGTGAAAGCATCGTTTTTCCACGTTCATGATTTCATTTTGGTCTAGACTTTGACTGGACCAAACCAACAGATGAAGATTCTTTGATGTACTACATTTCATTGCCTGAGTGATTGAGCAATTTGACATTTCTAAGAAATTTGCTTAACGGAAACATATCAATTAAAAAATACCCTAGTTTTTGGTGTTAGCATGAGATGTTTTCTTTTTCTTTATTTTTGGCTGTGTTGAAATTTGTTTATTTTGAAAAACTGCAATGGAAATTTGTTTTCTGCATTACTGTATATGAGTCTCATGAACAACACTTAAATGTTACTACAGGCAGAAACCACAAAGATGACGAAAACAGGAAGTAGTTGGCTGCATGTTTTTCAATGACCTACCTTGTGAACAAACTTATTCATGTGTGATTTTTAATTGTGATTCTTATTTAATGGAAACAACGCAATCGCAAAATTTTTTTTATTTTTACTTTTGTACTTAATTTTAAGACTTTTCTTGTAAAGTTGCGTCTTTATTCTGCTAATGTTAACTTTGTTCTCAAAATTAGTCTCTGAAAGGGATGGTTGAAATAAAAACAGTTATATATATATATATATATATGTATGTATATTGAAAATAAAAGACTTAGAACCAGAAGTTGGATCTGGAATAAAAAAATTTTAGATTTTATTTTCAAGCCATATTGCTCTGCCCAGCTTTCATAACTTATTTTTTTAATTAAAAAATTACTGCTCAGTTATTTCACCTTGTCCTGCTTCCCTTGTTGTGATCTTGTCTCTGATTGTCCTCATTGTGCTGAATCTCCTACTCTGATCCTGTCTGCAGTGGGGCTCCTCTGTTTACCTATGTTACAAGAAATCTGTGGCCAAAACCAACGTGATCACCTACAAAGCAGGTGAGCCTTCCTGATCCAGGTGTGTCTCTTAGTTCTCTCCTTTAGCAGGTGAACCTTCATAACATCTGACATCAGAGATGAGAGAAACCAGGTCTGAGTGGTATTTTAAAGGGCCATATTATTTAAAATTTACTTTTTTGAGCTTTACATCATGTTTTCCTCATTAAAACATACCTGGAGTTTTACCTTGATTCTTTCATGCATGTTGGAGAAATCCTTTAATCTCCATGTCCGCCAAACGGCTGGTGGGAACTAGCTCCGCCTTTGAGGAGCTGTCTCACAAAGCAGCACCTACACAGCTCCTTCAGACTAGCCAGCAGCAATTGGCAAACACCTGGTGGAACTGCTGAGCTCGTTATAGGAGCTACTTCTCAGTGCAACGCTGGTGAAAACATCAAAGCGTTAATGGAGGATCTGTGTTGTGATGACTTCCTGAAGGTGGAGATTCTAAAAGAGACAGAGGCCCAATTTCAACGTGTTATACTATAGTCATATACTGTATGAAGCATTTAATGTACAATAATTGTAATATGGGACATTGAATGTAACATTTACTTGATTGTGCTATAAAATGGCACAGTGTGTCTGGAAAACACCGTCCCTTTAAATCATGAGCGCTCCAATGGTTTGCCTCAACATGGCTTGGCTTTATTGAAGCTTCTCCATGGTTTATTTTGATATTTTACACGATGTAATTGAGTTGTTTTTGTTTTTCCTGCATGTTTGTGTCTTCACGAATGCAGATTGCTCTGCCTGCTTTTCTCTGCCGGTTGAGACTCGCTGAAGCGCGTTGGGTTGAAACCTGAATAAACTCCTGCTCTGTCAGTATTTATGTCTGCTCTAAATCAAAACTGCGTTTTTTATGGTGACATTATTATTAATATAATTAATATTTCATATGAAACACCTGTGTGATTTGGACGCTAAGAAGACAAATTGATTATTTTTCTGGCAGAGTGAGTTTTGTTTACCTTCAGTGGGCGACATGTTGGTGAATCTGCAGGAAACTGATTTTATCTCTGACGATTTGAGGGAGTCAGAGCAAAAAACGCTGCAGATTTCTGCAGTTTGTTTCCACATGAAGCTGCAGTAACTGCAGCAAATGTAGCAACCAGACTGTCCATCTATCTGTCCGTCCGTCCATGTATGTTTTCATAAAGAATTTAAGGGAAACATTTTTAAGTCTCTGCTGGAATATAAATAAACGAAAAACACCTGAAAATTAGGTTTCTCCCTTTTTTCTGTGTAAAATAAATCAGTTAAATGCTCAAACTGTCAGACCGATGTGTCTGATGTCTTGCTGTTTTGTTCTTATTTATTTTTACATAACCAGAAAGTAAAACCTGTTTAAGACCCATGGAAGTTGGATTGTATACAACAAGTACATTTCCAAAGTTTGCTGCAGCTCGGTGTTTAGATAGCTCATTAAATGAAGTCAGAGTTTCATTATTTCTGTCCTGCTGACAGAGACTAATTACTCCACAGCCTCGTTACAAAGCACTGATTGATTATCACAGAGCCCAGGGTTTCTGCACTGACTCAATGAGTCGCGTTATAACGACAGTTTTAGCACTATTGGAGAAATAATTTCACCTCCACAAGAGGTTTTGATTTGCTGCTTCAGAGAGGAGTTTACCTCACTATGACTTAAACTTGTTTTCTTGTTTTTCTTTGTCCTTTAAGGTTTATTCAGCAGATATCCAGAGGAGGACTACGAGTCTTTCCCTCTGCCGGAGTCGGTCCCTCTCTTCTGCCTTCCCATGGGGGCAACAATCGAGAGCTGGCCAGCGAACACCAAGTACTCCCTCCCTGTTTTCTCCACCTTCGTCCTCACCGGCGCGTCTGGAGAGAAGGTAAGCTGGTTAAACGTTCATTTTAATTCACAAACATCTGGACTGCAGCATCAGATAAAATAAAAAAAAAACTGTTGACAGGAAGTGTGTAACTGTCACACATGCAGCTGTTGGGTCTGCAGACTAAACACCCCTAAAAAAACACAATGAATTGCGTCCCTAAAGGAAAACTGGGTCAGGCATGTTGCAATTCTGCAAGTACATGTCAAATTCAAAGAACACAAACGTCTCGCTTGCAACACATTACAAATCTCATGGGTTTATATTTCCCACACTACTTTTTGACGTTATTTAGTTCTAATTTATGGGAAAGAGTGTCATTTTAAGTCTATAATACATCAAAACTGTGAGCCTGTTCCATTTAATTTTCTCCTTTTCTGGTGATTTAATATTTGACATTTAGTTATTTTTCTCTAAAAATGCAAGAGAGATTATTAAAAAGATATTTCAGTTATTAGTCCAACATTTCTGTTTTGTGCTCAGTGATTTATTTCTTTAGATGTCAAAAATGATTCATAATCTTAATTTTTTATGAGTAGTTTTTCACACTTTTGTACAATATTCTATTTATTTTTTCAAATTAAATACAGTGTGTTTACTTTAATTAAAATCTTCCATCTATTGTTTTTATTTTTTTGTTGCTGTGCATCATTTTAGTTCAACTCATTTGCTAGAAAGTTCTCCATGAGTAAAGTTGAAAATATTTTATTAAATAAAACCTTTTCGGGGATTTTCTTTTTTTAATTTTGTACAGTGTGTTGTCTAATATTTCTAATGAATTAGAATTTATTTTTTGGTATATTTTACTTTTGCTTTTTAAAGATGGAAACGAGTAATAAAATACTCGTTTCCATCTGTATACCAGCTGTTAAAGTAATTTACAATAAAGTGTACGTTTCTATTATTATTCTTTAAAAATCAGAAGCGTTTTGTACTGTAGCAGCATTTTAGTGCAACTCATCAGCTAAAGTTCTGTAAAAATAAGGTTGAAAATAAAATAAGGATGCCTCTGAACAAAATCTGTATTTAATGTAGAAAAGTTCCTCCTAAATTTTACATTTCAATTTGCAGATTCTTCAACAAAACTGAATCATTTTTCCCAGATACTCTAAAAACTGTGAATTATGGTTAATTTTGGATAGTGAAACAAAACTTCTGAAATATTTGCGACTCAAATCTGAACATTTGGAAATATTTGGAATTTTGATTCATAAAGTTGAAAAAAAAGCTGCAAATTTTTGAATAAAAATTTTATTAGGAAGATTACAGAGATTTGCATGTATCTGCAGCACAAACATTTTTCCAGTTTCATCAGCAGGAATATTATTTAACTTTTTGACTATAAGCCGTTCACAGTTCGGTTGATCGTCTTAGCTTTCAGATTTCTCTCAGACGTTTTGCTGAGACTCTCATTCTTGACTCTGTAAACACAAACTGCTCTGGTTCACGGATTGTGAAGAGTTCCTGCTGCGATGAGGCCGGAGCGACCCGTATCGCTGAACCTAGAGGTGAAACACAATCGGGATGAAAACAAACAACCTCCACAGTGCAGCGATGGTTTAGCAGCGTCGGAGTTCAAATAGTGTCGAAACCTACTGCCAAGTCGAGGCTCTGTGTGTACGTGTGTGTGTTTATGTTGGGAGAAAGGCTGGAGGTGTGTGTGACTCGACTTTTAACGCAGCTCAGCAGGACGGAAAGACTCAGTTTACCTGAAGAGAATCACCTGACAAACAGCACAGATATAAAACTGAATCAACAAAAGTAAAAAAATAAATTATTTTTTATGGAGTTGGACAAACATTACTACAAAGTCGGGTAGCAACTTCTTTTTTTGAAAAAGTTTACTTGTAAGAGTATTTCAAGTATTTCCCAAAGGAAATACTTGAAATACTGCGCCAGAGTGATGTTCACATGTTGATATCAGGATATGAGAAGGAAAGCCATTGTGTGGCCACAAGGTTAATTTTGCTGATTTTACTCGTGTGTTTGAAGAGGAAAATAAAAACTTGCACAGCGATGTAAAGATGCAAAACAAAAGTTTATTCCAGTTTTTTTGTGTTCTGCAAAACAAACTGTGGTTGAAAAACTGTGCAGCTCTGTGAGTCTTATTGCAGCGCCTTCCCTTCTCTCTGCTCTCTATCCTTCGTTAACACTGCAGCACATCACACCTAATGGCCAATTAAGTTATAAAACATACAATCTGAAAATAAAACACTTACAATAAAACATTGTGAAATTAACTACATGTAATATAATAATGCTACCTCAACCTCAACAAATGCACTTATTAAATTACTAATTAAATAAGTTTTAACAGTAGCTGAATATTTTATATATAAACTTGTCTCATTTGAGGCAATAACGTGTTTATTTTCTTATTTAAAAGGGAATTGTATTGTTTATTTACATCTTTTAATATATCTTTAATAATGTATAAAAAAAGATTTGTGATTAAATAAAAAATCTGCAGAATGTTCCATTTTTAAAATCTGATTAATTTGCTGATTAACCAATTAATTGTTAGCATAACTGATTAATCGTTAATAACAATCGTTAATAACTGAAAGTTGCAGATCTAGTGGACCTTCAGCATGAATGAAGTGGATTCACTCGGATAATTACCGAGTTATCCAGTGAGGATGTCCTGATGGAGGTCGTTTCAGTGAGCAGCAGCGTGAAAAGAGGGATGTGATTTATCAGCTTCTCCTGTTTCAGGTTTACGGTGCTGCCATCCAGTTTTATGAGCCCTACCCACAGGAGTGCCTGACTGATACGCAGCTCTCCCAGTTGGGCCTCCTGAGCCCAGAACAAAGCAACGCCTCTCCATCCAGCCCTGCAGCGGACGCCGCCATCAATCCTGGGAACAGCGCCGGCAGCGCCAGCTCAGTCCACACCAACAAGTGCATCTGCCTGCTGTCCCACTGGCCCTTCTTCGACGCTTTCCGCAAGTTCCTCACATTCCTCTATCGATACTCCATCTCCGGGCCGCACGCGCTGCCCATTGAGAAGTAAGCCCTGTTGTTTTAAAGTGGGCCCATCATCCAAAAATTTACATTTTGTACATTTTTGTGCTTCCATTTTGATCTTGACTGCTTTTAAAAATAACTCAGCCGCTTTAAAAACAAAAATGAATGTTTTTTTGTTTTTTTTTTTTCTGGAAAATGAGCCGTCTCAAAAACCTCTGGAATGCTAAGTCAGATTTGACGGTCAGTGTGCAGTTACCTAGCAACCCAAGCAAAGTTCAAACATGCTTGGTCAGCGGGTTTTACTGCTGTATCCGCTGTACAATGGCTGCTGGAAAAGGCAAGTGTTTTGTCGTTGACTTACCTTCCAGAAACCACTTGCTGCATTCTTGCTGGTTGTGCAGGAGGCTCAACTTCTGTTTTTCAAAGATGTCGGGCTGTGCATCTGTTTGCAGCCATTTTCACATGCGAGTGTAAATGTTGAGTTAGGGGGCGCGGCCAGCAGCAGCTCATCTGGATTCAAAGTGACAGGACGCCCTAAAACAGACTAAAATCTGATTATCCAAGAAGGATTTTTTTTCCTTTTCTGCCGGCTGAATCGGAGACTCAGATGGCGCTGCCTTCGTTCTTTCACTTTAATAAGTCTATTTTCTCCCCACACAACAAAAAAGTGCAATTTTTTCATGTTTTTTGCTGAAAGAAAGGATCTTTTTTTACCTGAAATGCTGCTGCTGTGGTAATGTGAAACAGCCTTTTTATGTCCCCCTGCTGCACATAAAAGACTCTATTCTGCCACCCACTGCTGTTATTTCTGGCCTCACGTCCCCCGTTCTTCTTCTTCTTCTTCTTTTCCAGACATATCTCTCACTTCATGCACAAAGTTCCCTTCCCTTCCTCCCAAAGGCCTCGCATCCTGGTGCAGGTAAGCTCTCTAATTGTAGCATTGAAATTGGTGGAATTTCTCGGATTGCCTGCTGGGTTGTGTTGGGCTCCTCCATTATGGATGAACGTTTTCATGATTTATTGCAGGTGTTTGGAGTTTTTGCTTGGTTGACTCTCCAGTTTGTTTTGCAGCTTTCTCCTCACGACAGCCTGATGTTGAGCCAGCCAGTGAGTTCTCCCTTACCGCTCAGGTGAGAGCAGCTGCTCTTATTCACCAACCTAAATCTTTCCCCTGTGACATAAGCTGCGACTTATTGACCGTACACCTGTTTAATGGCCATTTTGGCAAAAGTGCACTATTGATTTTACTCATTTTATTCCTGATCTAAGGTCTGTGTTGTAGATCGCTGCAGAGCTGCACTGCAAAATATTAAACATCACCAAGTATTATTGGTCTGCTTTTCAGTTTAAATGTCTTATTTCATTTAAAATAACTTAAAAGTCACTTTTCAGCAAGATTAATCAGCTTTTAAAGTCGATAATCCTTTAATGTAGAGAACAAATTACAGATTATTTTACTTAAAACAGGAAAAACAGGTGGAAAACAATCTGCTAGTGGGACCAGTAGTTGTTTTTTTGTTTTTTTAAATTATTATTATCAATGTTAAAAAAATTATAAAATTTTCCTGTTGGGACCAGAAATAAAATAAGATTTTTATGTTTGTCTTCCGCAGCGGAGGAAGGTTTTCCACTCTGCTCCATAACCTCGGTCCGGAGAACGCCGTCACCCTGCTGGTGTTCGCCGTCACCGAACATAAAATCCTGGTCCATTCTCTACGGCCGGCGGTGCTGACCAGCGTCACAGAGGCGCTGGTGTCAGTAAGTCGACACCAGAAACCTGGACAACGACCTCCAGCTTGTTGTCCAATCAGCTTATTAAACTCTTTCTCTGTCAGAATGATTTTGTGCAAAAGTGAAACAAGCATGTTTTGTATAAATCACCGTCCAGTGGTGCCCAAACGTTCGGCATGGAGCAGAAAGTTTTTTTATAGCAAAAAATACTTATTAGTTGTTATTATTTTAGTTGCTACATAGAAAATACAAATAAAATGTAATATTTTAATGAAATTAACAAAGTCATTATATTTTTGTAGAAGACAAATGTGCAAATAGTAATTTAAAGGAAAAGAAAAAAAAAACCAAACCTTTTCTGGACTTTTTTGTGTATTTTTAGAGACATGAATCTGACCCAGACTTGCTTTATTTTGACCAACTCATTAACAACACACATTTAGTTTACTATTAAAATAAATTCAGTCCAAAATAAAAACCTGGATGAAGACTTTGTGTTGCACCCTGTTACCACCGGTGAAAGCTTTAAATCTGCATCAACAGGCCGACCTGGGATCGAGGGCCACAAACGGCCCCCGGGCCACGCTTTGGGCATCCCTGCACTGGACTTATCCTAACATGTTCAACAAAGTGTCATAGATCACCTTTAAGAAGTTCATTTTTGTTTTTCACACATTTGTTTGCATTTGTAGAATTATGAAACATCATAAAAAAGTTGCTTTAAAGTGAGTTTTACACGTTTTTTTATGAGGTTTGTGTCTGAATACCTTCGAATCGTCAAGCGTCAGCGTTTGTTTTGGTTCTCCTCCACCTCAGATGATCTTCCCCTTCCACTGGCCGTGTCCCTACATCCCGCTCTGCCCCCTGGCGCTGGCCGACGTGTTGAGCGCTCCCTGTCCGTTCATCGTCGGCGTCGACTCCCGGTACTTTGACCTCTACGACCCTCCGCCTGACGTGAGCTGCGTGGACCTGGACACAAACACCATCTTCCAGTAAGCAGACAGAGAGATATTTTAAAACAAACTTATGCTTTTCAAACCACTTCTACAATTTAGAGACAAAAACAATACAAATGAACTCAAAGAAGCTTCTACTCATGAATATATGGTATTATCGATTAGTTATTACCAATATCTTGTGATAATTTTCTACATTTTACAGAAAAAAACCTCAAGTAGAGGCTGAATTTTACTTTGGGGAAAATGTGAAAATTTTTAAATTTAGAGGCTTCTTGTAAAATCCCCAGAATGAACTTTTTCTCAAAGTATCAACATTTCATCAGTAGTTTTTCTTGTAACCTGTGGACCTTCTTACCTGTCAGAAAGCCTGGCAGGTGGTCTGAACTTTGGTCGAGCTTTTCATCGCTTCTCTGCTTTTGCAGCAACGACGATAAACGCGCTCTCACTTGGAAGATCCTGCCAAAGAAAGCGTGTAAAAACCTGATGAATGTGCTGAGTAATCTCCACCAGCAGCTGGTTGATGGTGAGTACTCTCTGCGTTTTCCTTCAAATGTTTTTAAAGTTTTATGAATAGAAAGTGTCAAGGCGCTTTAATCTCATATTACTCCTGTAGCTGCAATTTTAAAGCTTTCTAGGTAATTACGGGTAATAAAAAACTGATGTGCTTCATTAATCATCCCCAGTTGTTTTATTATTCTAATATTTTTGCAGCTTTTATTCTTCACTCATTCCTTGTCCTCCTCGTTCAACAAGCTGAAAGTGAGAAATAATCCTTCCTGGGATAATATCCTAATCAGCGTCTCGCTCTGTTCTTGTTGACTTTCTGAGCGGCTCAGCCGCAGAAACAGCTGCTTATTCAGCCGCAGTAATTGAATAAATGAATTTTCTGATTCAGTGAAGTTGAAAATCTCCTCTGCTGCCAGAAGTCTGGAAATTTATATGCATTTTGAAGTTTTCCGGAGAGTTTAATGTTCTTTTGGGGGAAGCAGGTATAAACTTGAGCTTCATTGTTTTAAAAATAATTGCTAATCCAGTTTCAGACAGTGATACTTTAATCTCTCTCTGGGTATTAAATCTATTAATAAAGTTGCCATCTGAACAACTACACCGCTTTTTATAGAGAAGAACTCATTGGCTTCACAGCAGGAAAAATCAATGTTGGAAAAACTGATTTTAAACAGCTGAGAAGTCAAAGATGATTGATTTAAATATGCAGGATGGAACTTTTATTAAATATTTTATATATATTTGTTACAACTGTCACAAATATATAAAAATTTTATTTTATTTTTATTTTGTGTAAAATGAGAGATATGTGAAAAAAATCAAGCTCCTCTGCCCTCTCCCAATGCTAAATAAAAACAACCAATCAGAGCCAGGAGGCAGGTCTTAGTGCTGTCCATCACCCTCCATGTGTGATCTGCTACGCAGCAATTAGCATAGCTTGTTGATGATGACATATAAACGGGTTTTCTGTAATATTAAGTTGTTTCTCTCCCCTTAACACATTTCGTAGCGAGTACATTAAAATGATTGACAGCGATAAGACCCGCCTCCTGGCTCTGATTGGTTGTTGTTGATTTGGAGCATTTCTTCATACTGTGATAGAAGCTCGGGTGGTTTGGTCTCAAGGAGCCATTTTTATTGTTTACAGAGACTTCATAATTAATTTTATTTGTTGTCCTTATATTTAATATGTCTTCCAGTGTTAAATGTTCATTACAATTTAAAATTTATTGATCTTTCAGAATGTGTTCTTGCATTTTTATGCCATTACCACTATATTACTTAAAAATGGTCTAAAAACAACGATATTATGATAACAATCGCGATAATTTTTGGGTCAAATTATCACTCAGATAAATTTATCATAAGTCTAATTGGAATATTATTTGATATGCTCATGTTTCTGATTGGCTAACAATCAAATAGCTGCTTTGCTCCTTAAGTTAGCATAGCATGGACAGCTAAAATCAAAAGCTACAACGCAACATTTATGCTAAATGAATTAAACCATAATAGAAAGTAGAGGTGGAGTTAGTTTCTTTGCATATTTTGTATCATTATTTGCTGGTTTTCAAACAGCCGTTGAAAGCTAATGCTGTTTGGGCGCTGTGGCGTGCAAACGTTGGGAAGCCCTGTGCTAACGTACAGCTCTGTCACCAGGTCAGTACCACTCTGACGGGCTGCTGGAGTTCACCATGAGCGACTCACAAGAGCTGAGCTGTGGGAAGAGCCTCCACATGCTGGAGCTGGAGATCCAGGAAGCCTTCCTGCGCTTCATGGCGGCCATTTTAAAGGGTTACCGCTCCTTCCTGCGCCCCATCACACAGGCGCCGTCGGAGAAGGCCACGGACGCCAGCTCGCTTTTTGACTTACAAGGTAACACGCCGAAATCGTCTGATCAAAACGACTTCAAACCCAGCGCTGCATATGAAGCCGGAGATCGGATTCCCAGAGGAAGCGGCTGAATGAATTAACCCGGCTCCACTGTTTCCATGCAGCCGCTTCAAAGCCTTCACACAGGAACCCTGACAAGTCCAACACAGAGGAAAGAAGCACGTTTCCTCTGATGGCGCTCCAAAACCTGAGGAAGAAATACTAAACAGCATGCAGAAACAGTTATTCATTCTCTCCCTTAAGACTGTAAACAGTCGACCACTTTAGATGAAACTGCTCTCATCTTTTACTGGGAGGTGAGGAGTAAAGTTCAATGATACCAAGTTACATTTACACAATTATATTTAACTTTAAAAAAAAAAATGTTTACTTCACTGGACTTTTTACTTGAGTAATTTTATTATGAAGTATTTCTTGAGTAAAATTTCTAAATTTTCTACCCACTGAATGCAAGACAAACACGTTTTAGCTAAAAATCCACCAGACACACACACACCTGCGGTTTCTGTTGACGTTTCATAAGATTTTAATCGAACGAAGCCGATTTGGAACAATTTTCACTTGCCTGATTTAGTTATTTTTGTTACTTCAATGAATTATTGTCATTTTGTCCTTTAAAATACCAAACTTTCCACTTGACTTTATATTTGGCCGGTCTGATCAGTTTTAAATATTAAATGATTGATAATTTGATGAGTTACTCAGTACTTGCTTAGACTTTTCACCAAATACTTTTACTGTTCGGTAATTTCTTGGACAGCTGCTTTTTATTTATACTCTGGTAAATATATGTTGAGGAGTCCTGCTCTTGCTTGAATATGATTTATTCCCACCTCAGATACACAGTGTTGCACAATATAGCATTTTGAAATGTGAAAAAACTAGAAACTAGACAAACTAAATAAAAATACAAGTTAAATACAAGATGAACTATGAAAAAAATAGGAGACCAATATATTTTGGAGAGATTAAATCCAATCAGAGCTAATAGATAATAGCCAATAAGTCAGAATGGGAGGAAGTTGGATTGATTTATGTTGGGAAGAAAGAAAGTTGATGACATGTGGGACACGAATACGGTCTGACTTTGGTGAATCACTTTTTGTCCTACTATTAAAAAAACCCAAAAGGATAAAATAATGATGCCTGTAATGAAACCATTTGGAGTTTCTCTCCCTGAAAATGTCAGTTCTGATTATTCTGCAGCGTTTCCACTCCAGTATCTGGAGGTGACATTTAGGTTGCTTCTGAACTTCTCACACAATCAAATTCATGTTTTTTTGTTTGTTTGTTTTTTGAATTTCTGGGGATTTGAGCAGTTAGACGTGACATTCAAGTCTGGTGCCCAAAACATGGAGACATACAAGGACCAGAAGTGTTCAGAATAAATCTAAAAGGTCACAGAGTTACAACAATAAGGATGAGATTATAGCCAAAATAGGAAATATATACATAAGTACAATTTTATTTATTTTTATTTATTTATAAAAATAAAAAATGTTGCACTCAAAATTAAGCCAAATGTCTGACTATTTGTAAGATGGTATGACTTTGATATGGTCATTGTCTGGTGCAGAATAAGATCTGAGATTTGCAAGTAATTTCTAAAAAATGGAAATTTGGCTGGTAGTTTATAGCTGCTGACAGAGAGTTCGATACTTTGAGTAACATCAGGATTTTAGGACTTTATTACTGACAAATTCTTACTAATTATTCAAAACAAAGCCTAAACCTGGGCTCTGGGGAACTCCTTATAAAATAAAGTGTGGTGTCATCTGCATATAGACACACTTTAACAGTAGACATGTTCTTACTACTCATTCAAAACGGGGCCTAAATCTGGGATTCTTTAAGCTCTTAAAAGCAACTTGATCATGCAGTTCAGTACTTTAGTAATTAATAAAAAATCTGTTTTTAAGACAAAATCAACATAAACAATTTTGGTTTTCCCATAATTTTCTGTAAATGTTCTTTCACTTTGCATTAGCAAAAATATTTGAAAACCTATTTAGTGTTTGTATGAACATGATGATGAGCTGTTTTTATAGATGAAAATGTATTTTAAAATATTCGTTTTACCTTCAGCCAATGCATTTTTAAATAATGTCTAAATTTACAGACTTCCCACTAATTTATTTTTCCACTTTAAGGATTGGCTAGTTAACAAAATAATTTTGTTAAACTGTTTGTAGATTCTTGTATTTCAGATGGTAAAGAGACTGAAATAACAGAGAAAATGGGTTTTTATATTAGAAAAATGAAACTGCACAGTGTGACCTGAGAAAGTAATTGCTGGTGCTGCTTACAAGTGGTTTCTGTCACAAATAAAATATTAATCATCTGCAGGAAACACTCTGCGTTCACCTCTGCGTTGTGCCAGCGGCCGCTCTTCCTGCTCTTTGCCTCGTAACACTCCAGGCTTATTGCCCAGTTAAGCTGCTTTCAGCATCTATTATGGAGCCGTTTCAAGACATTCGCACACATCCCAAATTGGCCATTACAGTAATAACACCGTGCATTATCCAAACCAACACAAATGGAGGCTGTAGAATATTTTTACAGCCTTTTACAGAATAATGGAGTCTTCAGCCACAAAGTCGCACACCTTTGGAGGAAGTCGGTTAATTGTTGCTGGGGCAGCCGGTCATCTCTCGGTGAAATTAGCTCAGCTTTTAAAGTTTGATGTTCTAAATCTGCAGGATTCTTGAAGAGCCGCGATCGCTCTCACCAGAAGTTTTACTCGCTCATGACCAAGACCCAAATGTTCATCCGCTTCATCGAGGAATGCTCGTTCGTCAGCGACAAAGACACCAGCCTGGCGTTCTTTGACGACTGCGTTGACAAAGTGAGTTACACGTTTTCATACATTTTCATTTGGCTTCCTAAAAATAAACTAAATCTTTTCTCGTCCTTCTCTTTCTGGTTCTGCTTTGGGTTGGAGTGTTTCAGTGAAGCTCCTGTAACTTTCTCTGCTTTCAAGTTAAGTTTTTTCCTCTTGCTTCCTCTTGCGAGCAGCTTTACAACTCAGAGCGGAGCGCAGAGAAAGGAGGGAAGGTAAGTTAGCTGCCGTTTTACCTGCTCTGTGTGCATTACTTACGAACTTAACCAAATAATTTTGAGTGAAAATGTATTGCGTGGCTAACCTGAAGTTCTGATCTTTTTGGCGTTTTGCTTTCGGAAACCTTCAAAACCTTCATGTCTGATTTAATCCTGCATTCACACCAGCTCTGTTTAGTCGCTTTAATACAACTCTGCTCTGTTTGCGTAGAAAATTTGGTCCAAATGTGTAATCTAACTCTGATGTGGAGCAAAAACCTCCATATAAAAATGTACGTCTTGTCTCTAGAGATGCAACTTATTAGTTAATGAGTTGATCTAAAGTTGGTTGATTGATAAGTGGCTATTTTCTTAAAAACCTGAGTTTTTTTCTTGTGTCAAGAGGGATGACCGTCTTTCTATCACATTAAGGGCTAAATTTTTCAGAACGCTAAATAAAAATAACCCAAAAAACATTTTGTCAGCTGTGGTAAATACTAACTGAATAGACAAAAAATTGTGGTTTCCTCACATTATAAACTAAAACATATTTATAAAATGTAACAAAAAAGGTTGCTGAATTGAAAAATAAAATTTTTCAAATCAAAGCCGCATAAAATGCATTTTTCATCCCACACTGGACTCTGTTGGGACGGTTCTCTTTCCCGATCCGGGATATCTCCACCATCTTTTTTTTCTGTATTAACTGGACTCCGCTTCAGGATCACCAGCGGTGCCCCCTGATGGATGGAGGTCAAACTGCGACACAGAAAGTCTAAACAGATATTAGTTAATCGATTGGAAATATACCTACTTTTCTCAGTTGAAGTGAACTCGGGTGCAGTTTGAATGGATATGTGAACGCTAGGTGGACTAGAGACCAAAAGCAATAAGCAAAGTATATCTCAAAGCATTCTGGGTAAATGTAACCAAAACAAATGCGTGAAAGAGAAATCCTACAACCCCTAAAATCTGACTCGACTCTTATTTTTGTTTACATTTTGTGTAGCAGGAAGTTGTACTCATATCTTCTTCAGAGTCGTTTCCTTTAGTGGTTCTTGGTGCAGCGCCCCCACAGGCGAGGAGGGGAACAAGTTTCCAAAGGGTTTGGTTGGTTTGAGAACTGCAGCAGCTGAAAATGTAGCAAATGTTGCGATTTTGGTCCAAGTCTACTGGTCGATCAGGTGTGAAGACGCCCTTAGTTTCCTCATTTTCACCTCCCTTTTTCACATGGCTCCATTCAGGCAGCACCAGCCTGCTTGGTGTTCTGCATTTTTAATGTTCATTTAGATATTCACTGCATGCATTATTCCTGCTGCCTCTGCAGTTTCTCTTGCATGTGTGAAAGAACAGTTTTAGGTCATCTGTGTGTGCAGACTCCAGCCTTCTGGCTCCATTATAAAGGGCGCAGCGTGAACTAACATTAATGATCCAACAGAATGTGTGTCATGTTTGAAGGGTCTTGATATTTTCTTTACACCGCAGTGTGTTTTGCACTAAATGTGGTGGAGCTAAAGAGTTGTGAGAATTCACAAAACTCCCTTAGAGAGTCAGGTTTTATTATTGTCTCTTTTGCTCTGAGTGCAGCATTTGGAGAGTTTAATTCATGTTGGTAAGTTGAAGGGTACGCTTAATGTGTTTGCAGTTTCAGCTGCCGTTTTCCCTGAGTCACTTCCATGGGTCACCGGTTTTAGCAGCGTCAGAATAGACCTGCTGTAATTTAGGTTCAGTGGAAATGATCAGAGGTTTTTCTGTTCTGCATTGAAGTGAGTCCCGATCTCCTCCTGTACAGACGATTAAATCCTGAGTTTGTCTTTGTTAGCTCTGGCTGTGTCATTTCTCAGCACACAGAGATCGCTCAAGTGAAGGAAAATCAGCTTAAAGCTCATTGATCCCTGAAGGAGAGACGAGATATGATTTATTGCTTTTTTTTAGTAATTATTAATCCTTATAATAAACACAGAAAAAATAAAAAACAAACACAAATGCAGCTGGATGCCTTCTGCAAATTATTTTCAATCATTTAGGTACTTTTTGTTACATCTACATGTAATGTATTTTTATTTATCAAATGAAGCAATCAGGATTTTTTGAGCCAATGAATCAATTAATCACATGAATTAAAATAAACTCAATAATTTCCATTCATATCATTCATTTTTATCAAAAATTGGATGATAAAAGTTTCCAATCTTTTGTCACAAATAGTCATTTTTTTAAGGATAACTTTGTTTATAGAGACTTCATATATTTTCATATATTTTTTTTATTTTTTTTTCTTTATTAAACCAGATGATCCCCGTTGAGATCTGGATCTCATTTTCAAGAGGGACCTCTTGTTCATTTATTGTAATTATCTAAAGGTTGGGTTTTAAATTTCTACTTTTGATGCATATCAAATTAAACAAATAACTCTGGGAAGTACAAAACAGCTACTGCAGAAAAACTGTTAGTTGATCCTTAATCATCAATAGTCTGCCAATTAACTGCCTGGACGATATTTTGCATCAATATTAGATCCTGGAAACAATTTACTGAACTCTTCATAAAGGAAAATTCTGGGATGACAAAAATCTTTCCAAAATTTTTCAGTAACAAAAAGCTCTTATATTTATTACTTTGCAGCTCGGAAAACTTTATCTGAATGCTAAAAGAGAAGCAGGTTATTTTAGTGGCATATTTTTATCCTGATTGCAAATGTTAAGCTTTGTTTAATGAAAACCTATAAAAACAAGGAAAGAAGAGAACAAAAAGAATATTTCTTCCTCACTTCGACTTCGACTGATTTACTTATTAGTCTTTTAATTACCTTCAGGCTAACTAGGCTAACTTATGAGCTTTAATACCCACCTGACCTCGCCTCGGTTCCGTCAGTGGATAAATCAGCGCCGGTATTAAGCACTTTTCAGTATATTCTGCTTGCTGACTGTTAATTCTTCCCAGATCCACCATAAATCCCCAATCTGTCCCCAGTCACTGTAGCAGCAATTATCTCATTAAATCTAAGCAACTCAGGAAAATAAAACAGGATCGTTGCTTTTTCCCCTGGTGTGTGGTTGTAAACTTGTATCCTTTGGGTTAAGAGTCGCTGTTGGAAGCAGTAATTTATAGTATTTAATGATCCTGCTGAGGCGATTGGAGACTTATAAATGTCTTGTACCAAATGCATCGTCTGACAGAATCCCAGATTTATAACGGGATGTAAAAGATGAACCTCTGAGGTACAAACATGTTCTCTTTCAGTGTCACTGCTGGTCTTCAGAGATTTGATGCTTTGGCATCATGTAGTCATTCCATATACTTTTTAAGAGAAATTCAGATAAAATCAAAAAATCTCATAGCATCGTTTAATCCATTGTCTTAAAAAAATACACATTAAGCAAGAAGGTAGAAGGTGAGCCAAGAAATTACTATTAATCCACTCTGACAAGGAAAGCAATAATCAGAAGCAGCCACAGTGTGATTGAAGGTCCTAAACAGCTTTTCTCAAAGTAAAACGATCTAAATAAAGAAAGATGTCATCTGCATAAAGACAAACTTTTAACAGCTGACATATTCCTACAAGTTATGCACCACAGTGTCTAAAGGCGAAGAATAGGAAACGCTTCTTAAAATAAAGTGGGGTGTCATCTGCATAAAGGCGAACTTCAACAGAAGATATATTCTTACCAATATAATCTGGAATTTATTTAGAATTTTCAGACACTTTTCCTGAAAATCAAAGATAATTTTAGCCAATAAATAAATACATTTAAATAAAACCTCAACAAAAACTGCAGGATTCTATGTCTTGATGACAAACACTGTCATTTTTTTGCTGTCGACAGGTCAGATTTATTTTACTCTGATTGTTTTCCTGACAGTTTTCTATAAGTTGTTATTAGATATTTTTTTCGGTTATGAAACCTCTGAAATATTACACATCAGCTTACTGCTTTCTGTTTACTGCTGACCTATAAAAACGGCAAAATGTCACCCCGACGTTTGACCGCAGTGAATGATTTGTTGTTCCGTGGATGAAATGGAGACAGACCAGCAGGAAGCTCGTTGTAAATGTAGCTTAGCCTGGTTGTCCTGCATGTTTCCTATTATAGGAGCTTTATCTGTCTTCATTAGAGGCTGTTTCTCTCCATCTGGCTCTTTCCCTGTGATATCATTAATTCTGTAATGGATGTGAATGTGTTTATTGTAGCTTTACTTTGCATTTGGATGTCATTTGTTTTGTGTGTCACAGTTTGCAGAGAAAGCTGCAGAGGTAGAGGGAAAACTAGGTCACCTACTGTCGCCCTCCCTCTTCTCTCACCTTCATCACACCGTTAAATTACCCTGAAGGTTTTTTTTTTTTTTTTTTAGGTACAAGAGTTTAATTGGTGTGTTCACCAAACACTGACCCATGCATCTGACATCCTGATTTAGACGGATGCTACTCACCTGCTCAGGGCCACATTCCTGTTTCCATCAGGTTTTTAGCCTATTTCAGTGTAAATAAATCAAATAAAGGCATTAAGATGACATGAACAGACACAAAAACAAAACAAAATGGATGAAAATGTCATAAATAGAACCAGATCGGTGCGGTAAAGAATGTGTTTTTGTTTATATGGTTCATAAATGAGAAAGAAATTAATAATAAAGCATAAAATAAAAAGAAGGAATTAAATTAATATTACAGGGTCTGCACACATTCTTAAAAAGTCTTAAAATTCCTGTATCTAAAATTAAAGCCTTAAATTGTCTTAAATTTAAGTATGGCTTAAATATGTTAATCAGAGATCTTGAATATAATATTACAGTCTATGTAGTTTTCTTTCTTTCTTGCAGGACTTTACTGTTGCTCAAAACTTTGCGTTGCAAGTAGACATTTTGACTCTCAGCGGTTACTGCTACCGCTAACAAGCAGCTAATATTCCCTTGCTAGCTAGGCAGCTAGCAAGTGTAAAGCTAGCTGTTGCTATGAAAGGATTATAGGAATAAGGAAGACACTACTTTCACAACTGGAAAGAAAACAACTGGAAACAAATGGCAACAAGATGAAAACAAATGTTGGTGTTAATATTGACAAGGTTTTATTTATCAACATGTTAAAAAATGACTAATATCGGCCGATACCGATGTTAGTACCAATATATCGTCCATCTCTAGAATAAAGTAAATAAACAAATCGCCATCTCCCCTGCTGAGATGGATGAAAGAGTCTGTAAATCGGGAATCTCTCTCCATGTGTGTGCGCTGCGGCCCGCAGGTGGACGGCGAGCGGCCGGACGAGACGCGGCTGATCGAGATCGACGAGTCGCAGCGCAGCGAGCACACGGTGTTCATCACTCCTCCAGAGCTGCCGCCGCTGCCTGACGGGGAGGAATACCCGCTCTGCTACAGGTACCGACTCAGTCTCTGTGGACTTTCTTCTCCTTCTCACCCGTTTTCTGGACAGTTTCTGGTTGGTTTGCAACGTCAGTCAGGTGTGGAAATGAGATGGGGAAAAGGCACGAAGGTACAGGGCTCATGAAATTCTGGAAAATACTTTTTAGTTTAGTTTTAGTTTTAGATTCATCTCAGATATTTTCTACAAAAACTTGGACATTTTTGAGAATAAAATATTCAAAATTGGCTTGAAAATTGTCAGAAAATTTTGAGATGTAAAAAATTTTCTAGAAAAAATATATTTCAAAAGTGAACATTTGTTCTAGAAAATGTTTTTTTTTCAACCTCAGAGATTTAAAAGTTTTTCTGAAAAGTTCTGAGTTTTTTGGTGAAAATTAACTCTCCTTTTATTTTCTTTGACGGGTGGTTTCCGTAACGATTTTGACGTGTCGTGGCGTTCGTCCTGCAGGTATGACGGTTTCCCGGTGTTGACTCTGGAGCTGTTCGACCCGGTGGAGGGACTGCGGACGCCCTCCTCCCGCCTCGCTGCCAGGCACAGCTGCCCCACAAGCCCCGCCCCCATGTTCAGACGCACCAAACAGGTGAGCAGCAGTAACCTACTTCCTGCTCTAACAACAGTCTGGGAGAAGAGGCGCTTGCTACGATTATATCTTGTAAAATCTCTTCCAGATACATCTAAAAAATGATAATGTTTTTTTGTCATTTATTTCAGAAAGTTTCTCGTATAATAAAGTATTTGCAATAGAAACCAGACAAGAATACTCAGTAAGATTTTGTGTTTTTACAGTGCAGTGAATCAAAATCTAAAATACATAATCTGAATATTATGGAAAAGCTATAGCATATTCATAGAAAGTTGAGTGGAAGAAAAATGTGTGATAGGAGAAGGTTCTGCAGCAGCCAGTTGGGTCGCCTCGTCATCTGCTGGTTCTGAAGGCAACACGACTAAATCAGCTTCGAGCTCTTCATGCTTCCTTCTCCTGGTTTTCACCCCCAGGAGATCAAATCAGCGCAGAAGATCGCCAAGAAGTATTCGTCCATCCCACAGCTGTGGTCCAAGTGCCTGCTGCGTCACTGCTACGGCCTGTGGTTCATCTGCCTGCCGGCGTACGTCAAGGTGTGCCACTCCAAGGTGCGGGCGCTCCGCACCGCCTACGACGTCCTCAGGAAGATGCAGGCGAAGAAGCTGCAGCCGCCCGACGAGGTAGACGAGCCGTTTTCTGTTCGGCCAATCGGCTGCGTCGGAGCAAAGCGGTCACACAGGTTTCCCTGCAGGTGTGCTACCGGGTCCTGATGCAGCTGTGTGGGCAGTACGGTCAGCCGGTCCTGGCGGTCAGAGTCCTGTTTGAGATGAAGAAGGCCGGCGTTCACCCCAACGCCATCACCTACGGATACTACAACAAGGTATGTTCACCAGAATATTCACCAGCAGAAATGCAAACAGAGCTGATCTCGTAAAACAAACTCTAAGATATCCATATTGTTCATTATTATGCAGCAGTTTATGCTAATATGCAAATGTGAAAATTCACATTTTGCATGTTTTTTGCTTCCAATTGGGTTTCTACTAGAGATGCACTGATCCGATATTAATATTTGGATTGGTCCAGATATTTTAAAAACTTTAAAAACTTAATTATAAAATAATTTATTTTATATTATATTTAGTTCCTAACTGCACTTTGTTCCTTTTGAAATAAAGTTTGTTGCTGTTTCTTTCTATGTTAGTCAGCCTAAAGCTTTTGTCAGTTTCTTTATTTTAAATTTGCTGTTATTCTCCTAATTTCACTTACTGAACAAATTAAAATAGTTTTTCCATGTTTGATCAAACGTGTGAAGCTGTATATGAATTTAAGTGAGTTATACTGATGCACAATTATTGAATACATTTCTAATTCAGTACAATTATGTTTGTGTTTCAAGAAATGCTTTACATTTTCAGTATCAGCCGATAATAAAACTCAGATATTCGTATCGGATGTGAACAAAGTGGATCGGTGCATTTCTAACACAAACAGCTTTTTAAAAAAAGTGTTCAAGAAAAATTATTCTAGCCAGTTTTTGGCAACATTTGGTGTCTGGAAAACGAGCCATTTCAAAACTTTTCAAACATTAATGAGATTTTTTTCTTAATATTCTTTAAACTTGAGACTAAAAGTGAGGCATTCTGGCTAAAACAGGCTGAGGTGTTTTATATCTTATCCATAATTTTTCTACAGTTAGGGTTTAATTGCTGCTCTGAATATGTTTTTCTTTCTTCAAATGGCCTTTTTGTTATTTGTATACAATAGTCAATAATCAATTAATCTAATTGATCCAATAAATCATTTCAGCCTTACTGAAAATGTGGAAATTTTAGTCTGGAAATGCGAGGGAAATCCTGCGGCTCTGAAAGTTTGACAGGAATAAATGTTGCTTCATAAAATGTGGAAAGTAATTGATCGAACTCATTGAACTCGGTATCAGAAATGGGATGATTTCAGCCTTGACATTGATCATTTATGCATTATTAATCACGTTCAGATTATTGAATCACTCCACCCTTACCCAGAATGCACCACGATTTCCCTCCGAGGTTGATCGGGCATTGTGTCATCACTCATTCATGTCCAGATGAATCGCGCCTCTGCGATCCGTCAGGAAGAGGAGGCCACGGCAGGAAATGTTGGATCAGCCATATTTAGCATAATAAATAAACATTTTGTTCACTAAAATTCAACAACGGCATTCCTTTAGTGAACTTTTGATCATTTGTAGCAAAGGATGAATCTGCAGCTTAAAAAAATACTTCTAAAACTCTGGCCTTTCTGCTGTCCAAAAGTAATCTGATTATTTCAATAATCAATTCATCACAATTTACCTGATTAATCTTTTCAGAATGTTGTGGTGACATTTAATTGTACCAGCAGATATTAATATCGGATTCTCAAATTCTCAAAAATCAAAATTTTAAACCTTTTTCTTTGGAAACAACAACAAAAAAAAAGAGAACATTGATAGATTCATAGAACATATCCCTTATTTTTTCCCTCCACCAAACTTTCCTGGTCCTCTGTTTTGTGTGCAGGCAGTGCTGGAGAGCACGTGGCCCTCCAGCACCAGAGGAGGATACTTCCTGTGGATGAAGCTGAGGAACGTCATTCTGGGCGTGGCTCAGTTCAAACGAGCTCTGCGCCGACACGGACCGCTCACCCAGAGCCCGCTGTCAGGTAATCACCCACCTGGTTACCAATGGCAAACAGTAACGTCCCATAGCCACTGCAAAACGCCGGCCGGACAGTAAAACTACAGTTTCATCTCAAATGATCAGCAGGTTAAATATTTGAGTTTCTGTTTGATTGTCATTAAAATCCAAACATATTCAACAACTCAGATCGCACTGTAAAAACTGTGATCAAGTTAGAGAAGTTTTTTTCACTCTTCTCCATATTTCTGGGAAATTTTAGTGTAATGTGTAATTTAAGACGCAGTTTATTGTATTTTACTTAGTTTTTTTTATCTTTTTTAATTAAACATGTCAAAATAAACTACAAATAGATTTAGATAAAAAAATTTTTAGATTTGAAAAATATAAATTCTTTATGACAAAAGTTAAATACAACATATAATTAAAACACAGATTATATTAAAACCTGCTAATTGAACTGAAGCGTCTCTGTTGTGGCCGTTCTTCCTCTGCATGATAATCCCAGCCTGCTAATCCCTGCTTTTTTAAGATCCCCCTGTTACCGGCCGGCGCTGTGGGTTCCTGACCCGAGTCCGGTTCTGATCCACTCAGAAACAGCCAGTTGCTCCAGTGAAACACCAAACTGGGATTCATCCTCCTTATTCTGAGTTGCTGGTTAAAAGTTTATTACTAAACATTTTCATAAAAGGGTTGAAGCGCCGTGCCTGATTCTGGAGGATCGACTGGAGGAGAGAGCCGCTTCATCCAACCGCTTCATCCAACAAATTCACCTAACCGCTTCATCCAACAAATTCACCCAACCCCTTCATCCAACAAATTCACCTAACCGCTTCACCCGACCGCTTCACCCAATCTGTATCTTAATGATCCGCTTTACATCTTCTATAAATACAACCTGAATCCATTAGCAAAAATTATGGATGACGATAGAAAATAATTAAAGCTTCACAGTTTAAAATCCATCCATTCTCCATTCCTCCCTTAAATTCTTGGTGATGTTGGTGATGTTGTTATCCCCAACTGGTTTAAACTGGTTCAGCTCCAGGAAAGCGTTTTTTAAAGAACCGGAGCGTGGATCAGTGGTGCCGCCATCTTTGTTCACCGGCTTGTTGTTTCTGGGCAGGTGGCAGTGACCTGGATGCTATGAGTCACGGCAGTCTGGACAGCTCTGCCGACCCAAACCCGGCCGAGCAGAGCCCAGTAGAACCTGCTGACGATAGATCTAGCACAGGTACACCTCAGACGCTCGCTGACGCCGGCAGTCCTCATGTTTCACATCTTTTTTTTCTTTTCCTCTTCTCTCATTGACATTTTGTTAATCCTCCCTTCTTTTGTACTCCGCTCCACTCGTTTTCCTCTTGGTTTCCCTCCATCCCTCCTTCTGGCGCTCGTTTTGTCTGTCCCTCCTCCTCGGCTGTGGTTTCTGCTCTGCTCTGTGCGTAACCCTTCACTCTGGCCCTGCCTGTGCTGCCGTTGCATGCAGTGGGCGGCGGGGGCGTCAGCGCGGGGGCCAGGCCTGTGACGGCCCGCTCTCCCTGGGTGGGCGCTGAGCTCAGAGAAGCCACTCTCCACCCAGGTAAACCTCTCAACCAGCCCACCTCCTCTGTCCTCCTCTGCATCTGTTTGGGTTTTTCTCTCTTCTTTTCCACTAGCTTCGTTTCCATCACAGTAGTGAGCAAATCTTTAACAGCATTTCTGTAATCTAAAAAAAAACACAACTTTGCAATTGTGGTGTTTTCATTAAAGAAGAAATGCAATTAAAATCACACATGAATAAGTTTGTTCACTCGATAAGCCATTAAATATACTGAACCACTTCCTGTCTTCAGCGTTTCTGCCAGTAGTAACATTCTGTTGTTGACCAGAATGTGATGTCAACATCACGTTCTGTGATGTGAAAAAACTTTTTCCATTGCAGTTTTGTGAAATACACAAATGTTGATTCTGCCCAAAAAAATCATCCTGGTACAAAAACATTATATTGAAAGACAAACTTGGCCTGTTTCCATTCAACAAATTTCATTTTTTAATTTCAGTTTGCGCAATCCTACAGTTAATGGAAACCATAGAATTGCTGTTAGTTGTGTTTCTATTAACCATAAAATTGAACAAATTGAAATGAATGAAAACATGCCACTTTCGGAAATAACAAATTTTTCAACATGTTAAAATGACACATAACTTTTTATGAACTGCATGATGTGATCCTCACTTCCTGCCATCTTTTTTAACGTTTCCGCCAGTAGAAACATCCTGTTGTTGATCACATGACTTGTGACGTGAAAAAAGTGTTTCCCTTGTAGTTTTCTGCAATAAACCAAAAAAACACCTCATCCTAGCACCAAAACTTATCAGAAGATCTGTTTTTAATTTAAATTATGTTAAATCATGAAAATACATTTATTTAATGGAAACACTGTAATTTTGAAAATCTTATGTTTTCCAAGAAAAGGTTTTGAAGTTAGGATGAGGTAAATTTTTTAAGATTAGCAATTTTCACAAAACTGCAATGGAAATTTTTTTTAAATCACACAAGTTACATGATCAGCCAGCAGAATTTTCTACTGGCAGAAACGTCAAAGAAGATGGCAGGAAGTAGTAGGAGGCTGAATGTTTTTTTAAAAATTTATTGCATGAAGAAACGTATTCACATTTTGTTTTAGTTACATTTCTTATGTAACCGAAACACCACAATTGTGAAATTGTGTTTTTTCACATTAGTGGAATATAGACAAAGTTTTGCTCACATTTGTAATGGAACGCAGCTAGTCTTATCCAACACATCCGTCTGCTCCTCTCCCACTCTTCACTCTCAGCCCTGTCAGTGTTTCTGTCTTTGTTAATTATGGCGTGTAATTGCCCAGAGGCATATTCTGTTTGATTATCATTTTAATAATGGAGACGCGTCTCTGTGGGCAGCCCGGCTCAAAGAGGTAACGGCTAAACATGATGGATGTGCAGCTCAGCCATCACCCCAGAGCAGAAGAGATGTTTTTTTATATATATAGCTAACGTGGGGTGATAGACAGATTTTATTGATTAATCTAATTTTTGTTTTTAGAATATTTAATTTTTGGAAAATGTATATTTTTTTCACCAATGCTCTCCATGGGTTTCAGAGTCGCGGCCATCTTGTTTTACAGCTTTTACTTATATTGGACTTTGACTTCAAGTCATTGTTTATTTTAATTAAGAGAAATAAGTCGTAATATTAGAATAAAGTAATAAAATTTTATTAGAACTCCAAACAAAATATACCCTAAAAAATTTAAATGTGGAAAGTCTAACAGATTGTGAAGTTATATTTTAGTTTTATTTATTTTAACTTATACATAGACTATATAGTTTGAGTTAATACTTAGTAGAAATACTGAATCTCTTAATAGATCAGCATCAAATTATCAAGGGTTTAAAACGACTGAATCGAAGAAAGAAGCACACTAACTGAGCAGATCACTTCTAATCTGGATTATTAAACTTTTTTCCCTCAAAACAATTTTTCTCATCATTTTCAGATGGTTTTTTTTTTCAGGTAAAATTATCACCATATTCTCGTAAGTAAAGAAAATTTCTCATAGGCCCTAATACTTAACCACAGAAGGGAAGATTGTGTCACATAGAAGCTGCGACTCGTCTTGGTTCATTTAGATTTGACGACATGAGAGTTTTATTGTCAAATTTATCAGCAGCAAAATAAAAAAACATGTTTTTCTCACAGAAACGTCAGCGATCTGCAGATCATGTGGCTTGATGTTTTATCCACCTCAGAAATCTGCAACCTTTACAAACCGGAGACGTTTTTCCCCATTTAGAGCCGCAAATGTTACAAGAGCTTCTGTGAAAATGCTGAACAGGAAATTTGGTTATTTTAAAAGAAACACCATTTTATTTCTGTTTTTAGGCTTTAAAAGTAAGAAAAACATTTACAACAGGAGGACTGATACATTTTCTTCTGTTGGAAAATGATAGAAATAAATAAATTAATTCAATAATTAATTGAATTAATTGTGATTAATTAGATTGTTGAAGTAATTGTCATATAATTTAGCAATTGGAGTATACAGACTCGGGAAAATAATTGCTGTTTGCCAGAAGAAAAACATATTCAGAGCAGTAATTATGCAAAAATTATACAAAAAACAAAATATTGTTTTTAAGATCAGAAACTTTTTTCTGTAATTATGTTTTAGTTACAACTCAGTAGAAGCTTCGGACCTTGGAGAATTTCTCATACTAAAGACATTTTACTATCAATTATTAATCGGTTAATTAAAAAATTAATCACTTTCTCGACTCTGTGTTGATATGTCAAGCAGAAAGAGCTGAACTGTTTCACATGTATTTTTTTTAGCTTCTTTAGCTGCAAATAATCAAGCATTTACCAATAGAATAATATGTTTATATTTTAGGCAATTCAATGTTTATTTTCTTATTTTAAAAAAAGAAATCTAATTATTTATTTGTATCTTTTAATGTATTTCAAATAATAATCTTAAGGGATTAAAGGACAAATCTGCAAAATGTTCAGATTTTTTTATCCTATTAATTATCAGAATAATGAAGAGAATGATGACAATTCAATGAAAAACAAATAAAAAGCTAAATTCTGCTTTTTAAAGCCAAATTATTAAGCGCTACTGAGAAAGTTGCAGATCCTTGCTGTGGCTGATTGTCTTTCTTACAAGGAAATTGAGGAAGAAATTTAGTTTTATGTTGATCTTAATATTTTTAGATTTGGTTTTTGGTACAGAGTAAAGCCAAGATCTGTTTTTCCCTTCGGTTTGCCAGGAGATCAGTCGGATTTGGGCTACAACTCTCTGTCGAAGGAGGAAGTTCGACGAGGCGACGCGGCTCCCCCCGACAAAGACGAGAAGAAGGAGAGCGACTGCAGCTCCTGTCAGTAGTTCATCTCTCAAACTAAAACATGATCCTTCCTTTCCTCCAGAGATTTTTATGTTTGTTTTTTTAATCATCCAATCCGACTCTGGTTTTCCCGTGTCCAGTGTCGGAGACTGAGAGCGCAAAGGGCAGCAAGGACTGCCTGCCTCAGCTGGACCTGGAGATCGGCTCCTCCTTCAAGCCTCGAGGAATCGTTCGGAGCAGCTATCCGTACGGGGATTCTGCCCGGAAACCCAGGAGCTCCACCAGCGCAGGTAACTCCGTTTGGTTTATTTCAATTTTCCATTGCGACAGTTAGAAAAGAAAGAAAGAAAGCACAAGCTCTTAAATTTAGGATATAAAACTGAGATCACTGATGTGTGCAGACATTTTGTTTCTGCAAACCTCTAACGAACATTATTTCAATCAGGTACATCACTCTCTTTGATTTTTGTAGCATTTTGTGCACATAGTTACAAAATAGAGGTCGATTTTTTTCTGCTTTCAAAATCGATTATGGGACATTTTCAATCAATTGTGAAGGAGTTTTCCAGTCTGGAAGACTCAATTCGATTTGGGAAGTTTCAACATTTGTTAAATTTTCAGCTACTGAGGTTCTCTTTCACTCTCCACTGTGTCAAACCAACCAATCAAATTGAGAAACTTGTTCTCCTCCTGGCCTGTGGGGGCGCTGCACCAGAAACCACTGAAGGAAACGACTCTGAGTGCAACTTTCTCCTTTACAAAATGTGAACAAAAATGACGTGGCGTCTGATTTTAGCAGTTGAAGAATTTCTTTTTGATAAGATCGTTGGACTGCTGGGCGCTGACGCCAACATCCTGTCCGGTACCAACTACAGCCGGAAGCGTCACTTAGGAGGCGAAGAGGAGTGATGAAGATAAGACTCCCCAACCGGACCAGACTTCAGTAGCCAAACCTCGGGTTTGGTTTGTTTGACGTGATCTCTGGTGTGGTTTGAATGCATATGTGAATGCCAGTGCTCCAAAACACAAACTCTGGACTACAGAGCAGAGAATTCTGGGTAAACACAACCAAAACTGATGTGCGAGAGTAACGCCAGAGAAGGAATTTATCCAAAGACAAACGAGAAATCCTACAACCGCTAAAATCTGATGCCACTCCATTTTTACCCTCGGTTTCTTCTTGAGAGGTTTTTGTGCAATTTCCTGCAGTGGTTTGTTGGTGCATCGCCTCCACAGGCGAGGAGGAGGCGCTGCACCGAAAAGGAAAGCAGCAGCTGAAAACGTAACAAATGCTGCGGTTTGGCCCACCATGAATTGAATTAATTTATCTATTTATTAGTCACATTGTGAATTGTTAGCTTCAGCAGCTGTTTTCCTCCTGCTGTCTGCCAGGCCACATCGCTGGCCTCCTCTTCACCACGTCTCTGGATGAGATCGGCGAGGTTCACGCCAGCAGCCTGCTGCGGCGCCACCGCAGCGCCCTGGAGGAGGTGGTGGGCAGCGCCGCTCTGGACTGGCAGGCGGCGCGGGCCCGCCGCGTGAGCGGTGACACGCCGGGCAGCGGCGGCAGCGGCGCCACCGTCCTCGGCCTCGGCATGAGTCAGGCGGAGACCGACCCTGATAAGATCGCCGGACTGCTGGGCGCCGATGTCAAGATCCTGTCCGGTACCAACTACAGCCAGAGGCGTCACTTAGGAGGCTTTAATTACAAAGAGGAGGAGGAGGAGCAAAGCTACAGTGATGAAGATAAGAGTAACACGGAAGCCATTTTTGATTTTGAGGATCTGGACTTGGAGAAGCCGTCTCAGGGGGTCAGACATCTGAAAAAGCCCGATGAGCGCAGCGCCAGCTACGGCGGCATGAGCTCGGCGGGGCCCAGAGGAGCCGTGACTCGGACCGGCATCGCAGCGGGCTTCGACCCGCTCTCCCTGATGGCCGCAGAGTCGCAGAGCGCCACGTACCCGGATGGCGACGAGGCCGGAGCGCAGGGCGCCCGCCGTAACCTGGCCCGGGAGATCGAGCTGTACATGAGCCACCTGGACACCCCGCTGAGCAGCCGCACGTCCAGCTCCGAGCTGCAGGGCCCGGCCAGCCCGCTGCTGCTCCAACCCCACGCCGCCGCCGCGTTCCGGAGGTCCAGCTTGCCCCACGCTGCTCCACTCAGGACCAGCGCAATGCCGCGCTCACGCACCTTTCACCAGGCGTCGCCGGCCCGGCCCGCGTCCCGCCAGCGGTTGATGTCGTCGCCGTCGGGCCGCAGCTCCAGCACCAGCCCCAGCCTCAGCCCCTTCAGGGAGCGCCTCGCCTCGCCGTCCTCCTCCGCCTTCGCCCTGGACGCCCTGCTCACCCCGACACTCGACGTCTTCAAGACCAGCGTGGTTTCTGCTGGGAAGGGCGTGGCGGAGCGGGCCAGCCGCTGGTACTCGCGTTTCGCCACGTCCAACACGCCAACCAAGGTACAGCTTTGACTTTTAGTTTGGATTATTAAAGGTGCAGAATCTCATAAAATCAGCTTCATCAGAATCAGACCTTCATCAAACCTTGAAAGAATTTCAGCTTTGTGTCTGATTGGCTGAAGCTGCTGGAGATCTGCTGCCACCTGCTGGCTGGAAGCATCAGGTCACTGCACCTTAAAATCACCATCTGTACATTCGGAGAGGGAGAGACACATTTGATCCATCTCTCTCTGTCTTCGTCTCTCTGTCTCCACCTCTCTCTCCATGCAGGATGGCTTCAGCGACCGTCTGAGCGTTTCCTCCCTCAGTGTCGGAGATCCAGACGGCTCCATCCAGGACGAAGCGGAGTACGAGGAGTCGGAGCCGCTCGGCGTCTCCCCTCAGAAGAACGGTCCCTCCTGTCCCCGCAGGAGTCCCGTCCACAGCCGGGTGGACAGTCCCACTGCAGGACGCAGCCTGGGCAGACCCACGTCTCTTCCTCCTGGTGAGAACTTCCTCTGCCTCCGTCTGGATGCTGATCCGAAACGAAAACGTACCCAGACCCTGACAGGTTGTCCCATGTCCCCAGGTTGTCCTCTGTCTCTGCCCGGGTTCTCTCTGCCGGACAAGTCCGACCTCGGATCGTCGCGCTGCACCAGCAACACCAGCATCTTCAACAACTTCGCTATGGAGGTAAAACACAGGAGGCAGAGCACCAGAAACTACAGGCAGAGTAGAAATAAAACATATTTTTACTCAAGTAAAAGTTTCCTAGAAATTATTCAACTGAGAGTGAAAACATTTTTAATAAAAAGTCTATTAAGTACTAATTGATCAAAGTATCAATCGTTTGATATTTAAAGATATTACATCAGCAGATTTATGAATGTGGTTAAGTGGAAAGTTTGGCATTTTAGGACCAAAATGACAATAATTCATACAAGTAACACAATCTGACAGGAGAAAATGTTTTCTTTTGATAAAAAACTTCTGAATTTAACAAAAACTGCAGGTGTGTTTCTGCATCTGGTGAATGTTGGGTTAAAACATGTTTGTTTTTCATTCAGTGGGTCGAAAATCCAGAAATATCACTCAAGTCAGACTAGAAATACTTCATAATAAAATTACTGCAGTACAGGTGGACAGTGCAGCGCAGTAAAAATACTTCTAAACTCTTTCTCTTTTCTGTCTGCAGCTGCTGATCTCCAGCTGCTCTCGCTGTAAAACCTGCGACTGCCTGGTTTACGACGAGGAGATCATGGCTGGATGGACGGCCGACGACTCCAACCTCAACACCACCTGCCCCTTCTGCGGAAACCCCTTCCTGCCGTTCCTCAACGTGGAGATCCGGGACCTGAGAGGACCCGGGAGGTGAACTGCCAGACTCACTAACAGGGATCCTTCCCCTCTTTCTGTCAGAATTACATTGTTTTCCAGACTCCGACTTCCATGGTTTCCATTTTAGAATGAACAGAAAAGTTTACTTTGAGTTTGGGATCATAAACAGAAGCGGAGAAGGCAGGAGAGGAGAACTGAAAGAGGTTGGGAAGAAAGAAAGTAAAGAAATAAGATGTGGAGAAAAGAAGACTAAATAAAAAGAAGGAGAGAAGTGGAAAATGTTGGACTGTATTTGTTTTAAAGGTTTAATTTTTAAAGGTGAAGATTTTCCACATTTAGATGTAAAGGATCAGTCCATGAGGTCTGTCCTGTTTCAGGCTCTTCCTGAAGGGCAGCCCGTCCATGGATGACGCCATGACCTCATCGTACTCCGCCTCCACGGGTCTGGACACGGGGACGTCCACGCTGTCCACGCCGTGTCCCACCACAGCCGTGTTCCCTCCCTCACCCACAGCAGCCGCGAAGGAAACTCCTGGGAGGTACATCCCTGATCCATCCGCGCATTTATGCTTCAACTAAATATTTGCAAACTTCAAGTTAAATTTAAAAAAAGAAAGCCGTTTCACCCGAAACCAAATCAGACTTTAAAACATCAACAGATTTTATGAAGCAGAACTAGAAAAGCACAAAGAAACAAGGTGCTTAAAACAACACGAAACAAAGAAAATCCCTCGCACATCAAAGCGTTTTTAGTTCATATTCACGTTTTGCATCTTTTTATTGGGTTTCAACTGTTTCTACAAACAACACAATGCTTAAAAAACATTTGGTGATGAGTTTTCTGGTGTCTGGAAAATGAAAAACCCTGATTATTTACTCACAGTCCAAAGGGACTGTGTTGTTGTTACCTTGCAACACCAACGAATCACAGCCTGTTACCTAGCAACGCTTAACCCTACAATGGCTGCTGGAAAAGACAACAGTTTTGTTGTTGATTTACCATCCAGAAACCACTTGCTGCATTCTTGTTGATTGTGTATAAGGCTCCACTAATGCTTTTCAAAGATGTAAAGTTCTATAATTACGCATCTGTTGGCAGCCATTTTCATTGTTCATGTATAAACGTTGAGCTGGGGGGCGTGGCCAGAACTGAGCAAACTGAAATCTCATTATCTAAGAATGATTCTGTGTGAAAAATGTGAAGAATATGTTTTAAATAGGCCACAGACTCGTCCTGACCTGTTCAACCAGTGGACTCATGCTGCCTGTTGCAGTGTTGACTTTTTCTGGATCTCCTCAGGACTCGGCCCAGCAGGGCTCAAGGCATCAACATCCCCACAGAGCGCCGCCAGGGGGCGCTGTCCTCCGGCGGACCCATAACCCGCAGCGTCAGCGCCTTCGGCCCCATGGAGGAAGAGTCTCAGCTCAGCCACCTCCTGCCGACGTCCGGCAGCCTGCCGAGCCATCTGAACGAAGCCGCGGTGCGTCTCAACGCCGACAGGAAACAGAAATGATGCGAGGCAGAAAGGCGAGAAGGAAACGGTTTAGACGTGAGCAGATCGGTGTCAGAGGATGCTGGGAGCAAGAAAAGAGTTTTATCAGTGTACAATGCAAAAACAGAAAATACTATCATGCATTTTGGTCGAGTTTCTAGTGCAAATATCTTAGTACACTTAGAACAAGACAAAACCAACATCCAGGTAACTTTTAAGTGAATAATTTCTTAATATTGATGAAAATGTTTTAGTTCTTTCTCTATTTACTTACAACATTTTTCCTCATGTTGAAAGTGAAACATGAGGAATAAGGCAGAAGAACCGCAGCCTTATGATGAAAAGCACTTTGACCTGCAGTGTGGATGAAATGTTTCCATACCAATAAACTTGATTATTGATTAATGGCATAACAATGCAAGAACAGATTATCAATAAACCTTAAATACCAGGAGATATTTAACACTGGAACTGGAAGACATTTAAAATTGGCATGAATCCCTGTGAAACCGTCACCAGGACCCGCTCAGCATGGACTGGCAGCTCCACAACCCGGAGCCCGTCACGGTGCCGTACCTGAGCCCGCTGGTTCTGTGGAAGGAGCTGGAGAGTCTGCTGGAGAACGAGGGCGACCCGGTGATCGCCGAGGCCGACATGGTGGACCACCACCCCATCATCTACTGGAACCTGCTCTGGTACTTCCGGCGGCTGGACCTGCCCAGCAACCTGCCGGGCCTCATCCTCACCTCTGAGCACTGCAACAGAGACTCCCAGGTCCGAAACGTTTCCCCGCCGCCGTCCGGCTCCCAAAGACCCGGACGGGAGAGTAACCGAGTGTTTTTGTCCGTCGTCAGGTCCCTCGTCACTGGATGTCCGAGGACAGTAAACATGTTCTGATCCAGATCCTGTGGGACAACCTGAAGCTGCACCAGGACCCGGTCCAGCCTCTGTACATCCTCTGGAACACATACAGTGAGTCACGGCGCCAACAGGGACGACTCTGGGTCAATAAGAATCTTCTCCCTGGACGTGGGGTCGCCAGGGAGAAAGCAAACTCAAATAAGAGAAGAAGAAATAATATTTTTACTCAAGTAAAAGTAAAAAAGTATTTGGTAAAAAGTCGAGTTAAGTTCTGAGTAACTGATCTAATAATCAATCATTACATCGTCATAGAGACCAAATTATAAAATTAAGTTGAAATTTTGGTATTTTAAAGATGGAAATGACAATAATTCATATAAGTAGCAAAAATAACAAATATTTCCAAATCAGTTTCTGTCGATAAAAAACTAAAACTGCAGGTGTTTCTGTGTCTGGTGAGTTTTTGGTCAAAATGTTTGTTTTTCATTCAGAGGGTATTTACTCCAGCGTAGTAAAAATACTCCTCAAAGTACATTGTATCTAAAAACTAGCTCCCACTAGCTCAGAAAATACGATTAGCTACCATAACTACACAGACGACCCGCACCGAACAGGCACCGAACAGAAGCTTGAACAATTCACCCAGGTGCTGAACAGAAACAAAATTCAGGTCTTTGGACCTAAAGAGCAACGATCCAGTCGACGCACAGCTTCAGTTATTAGAGCTGGAAGCAAACAATCAGGATGAACTCTGACCTGAACCTTCACAGCCACATAAAGACGGTTACAAAGTCTGCCTTCTATCATCATCGCACCGATTCCTGCAACAGTGTCGTCACAGAGAATAGACTTCAAATCACTGAACGGCTCAGCAGCACATTTCAGATCTGCTGCTGTTATCACAGCAACCAGAACCAGAACCAAACCTGGAGAAGCAGCATTCAGCTTCTATGCACCTCAAATCTGGAACAAACTTCAGAAAACTGAAAAACAGCTGAAACACTGAGTTAAACAAAATGTTCACTCATTTTCTTGAGTGAACTTTTTCTTTCAGTCTCCACTAGAAACCCCGCTGGTTCGAGTCGCTATTGATTCATAATAACTGGAGCATTGATCAATATGTTTGATTATTTTTATGATGGCATTTGACAAAATGTAATTGTTTATTTCTTGCTTCATGATTTTGTAAAGCACTGTCTTGTTGCTGAAACGTGCTGCACAAATAAACCTGACATAATGTAAACAGAACCTGGATCCAGTTACGATTTCTGGAACAAATCGTTTGGCAAACAAAGTTTATCTGGACGAGTTAAAAGATCAACGGAGGAAGCGCTGCAGTGGCCGCCGGTTAATCCTGCTCTCTTCTCTCCTTCCAGGGCTTAATTGCACTCTGTTGTTAGAGAGTGAGTTCTCGTCCTCCGCTGTGCTCTGTGTGCTTTGCTCCATGCGCTGCTGTGTTTTCTGTGCAGACTCAGCCTCTTCCTGTCGTAGTTTCAGTGTTTTGATGCTGAACCGTATTCCTGCTTCCTGCTTCTGTTTGCATCTCCTGTGACTGTCCGCTTCATTCGTCTTCTGCAGCAGCGTAACCATGGACTGTTGGTCTTTCGTGGGACGTTGGCTGATGTGTCATTCATTTTTCTGATTTAAAATGCAGTGAATTGGATGTTGACGGTTACATTTCTTCTAGTTTTGTCAAATTGGAGACAAAAACCTTTCATTGGGTTTCCATGTTGCAGTCCACACGTTTGTAACCAATAAGCTTTTCCTCTTTCCACAACAGCTCTTAACTTTGGATAAAATAATACAGAATCACCCAACCCTTTTAAATACAGATATTACACAATATTATGTGTTATTTATAGCAATAGCAGCAGAAGTGACATAATATATACTTGTTTTGGGAATTTCTTAGGAAACTTTATGTTGCTGCAGTCAAAGTTGCACAAATATTTGGTCATATTTTCATATTTATTCATACTGTAATAGACCCAACAGTAGAGAAAATAGTATAAGTAGCTATTCTGACAGAAATTAGAATGTATTTATAGTTGCGATAAATCCAAAAATTGTTTAAAATTACAATAAATGCATGGCTAATGGATGTAACAAATGCAGGTTTTAGTTGTCTTTCTCTTCTTATGGTATAAGAAGTAGAATAAATTTCCACTACAGAACGTGGAATGTTTTTTTTCCTTCTATATTTTAGAAACCTACAACTTGAAGTTAAATTAGGGTCATGTGATCAACAAAAGAAATTAGACGTTTTCATTTTTCCTAAAGCTCCTGTAACATTTGTGGTTCTAAAGTTTTATTTAGCTGAACTGAGAGTAAAAAGGTTTGCAAACGTTGCAGACCTCTTTCACGCACACGCACGCACAGTCGTTAAATTACGGTAATAACTTCCGCTTGACCTGCTGTCAGTCACCATCCAGCAGAGGGCGCCGCTGGTCAATGAAGATGACCAGCGGCCAATCAGAACTGAGCTGCAGGTGTTTGACTGGTGAATCTTTTGTTAAAACATGTTTGTTTTTCATTCAGTGGGTAGAAAATCCACACATTTTACTGAAATAAGGGTAGAAATTCTTAAAAATAAAATTACTTTAGTAAAAGTAAAATGAACAGCGTAGTCAAATATAATTGAGTAAATGTAACGAGTGACTGCAGCAAGAAGCTCCTGATCTCTTTCTCTCTGTCTGTCTGTAGACGTGGGCTACCCTCCGACCCGGCCGGTCCCGGATGACGAGAAGCCTCTGACCGACGAGCTGCTGCAGGCCGTGGTGCGCAGCATCCAGAGGAACGACGTCGGCCGGCCGATGGCGCAGCTGCTGCAGCTGCTGGACCGGATGCTGGGGGTCAAACGCCAAAGGTCGCTGTCAGACAAACCGCTGGGCTCCAGTGATGCTGTAACATTATGAATGATGGGTTTTTGTTTTGGTTTGTCAGGAGTTTGTACAGAGACATCCTCTTTCTGTCCCTGGTGGCGCTGGGAAAAGATAACATCGATATCGGTGAGTCGGAGTTTCACCTTCAGTTTCTGAGTTAAATACTAAATTCATCAGGTTTTTGATGGACTCATTCACTGATCCAGATTCTCTGGGTAGATTTTCCAAAGAGCCAATAATCAATATTTGGAAATCACCATTTGATTCATGATGATCCAAACAGTGCAATAAGAGATCTCTGATTAAATTATTAAAATGAAATCCATCAAAACCCAAACAGTTTTCAATTATTGATATTTAATCTAATGTCATGTTTAGCACTTGTTAAACACACATTAACAAAGACAGGAAAGACAAGAGAGCTAGATTCTTTCTAACTCGCGAGGAGAACAGACAGAGATGTGCTTTCAGTTACAATCTCCTACTTCTCTGAAGCACATTTGTCTCTTTTTTTATTGTTTTAAGGATCCATAATCACAAGGACGCTGTAACTAAAGGGAGGGGAAAACATTTCATCACACCGCTACAGCGTCAAATGTCATTCACTAACTAAGACACAATTATCCTGCACTAGATAATCTCCTTCCAGGCACAAAGCTAAACAGAATATGTAGTGAATCTTCACAGTGACAGTTTTGTAGCAATCCAGCAACTGAAACGAAGCAGAGCTCTTCACCAAGAAATAACCCCTGCAGGAAGACTGTTGTCTCTGCTTTTCGTCAGTGAGAAAGGAATCAGAGTAAATCAACAATACTGGAAACATTCTTAATTCTATAATGAGATCAATTATCCTGCAGTAAAATTAGTTTTTGTGTGTTTAGACGGCCGTCCAAAATATAATCTGTTATCCATTTATCTAAATGTTTTATTTTGCGTGGATCCGTTTGATTTTAGACTGTCTGTTGGCTTATTTTTACTTTTCCCTTTCCCATTTTTTTTGTAAAAATTTGGACCAGTTTTGCCGACTCCTAGGGAGTCCTAGAATCTGCAGATCTGATTCAGTAGCCCAGCAATTGAAAGAACCTGTTGCTGTAACCCCCACTTCAATTCTTTGGAGTCGAGAGTTCTTGCCTGTGCATCCACAAGAGGTTTGCTGCTTGCAACCCTTGATATGAGATAAAATACCAAGTGGTATTTATACCTCCAATCACGCTCACATGCACACACTTTTTATTGCCACAGAATTTAAGCACCTGTTTCGCCGGACTCCGCCGTCCGTTTAACCACAAGTTTTGTGGCTCCACGGGTTAAACCCGGTTGGGCTCCATGGGTTAAAACCCGGTTGGGCTCCATGGGTTAAGGCCCGGTTGGGCTCCATGGGTTAAAGCCCGGTTGGGCTCCATGGGTTAAAGCCCGGTTGGGCTCCATGGGTTAAAGCCCGGTCGGGCTCCATGGGTTAAGGCCCGGTTGGGCTCCATGGGTTAAAACCCGGTCGGGCTCCATGGGTTAAAGCCCGGTTGGGCTCCATGGGTTAAAACCCGGTCGGGCTCCATGGGTTAAAGCCCGGTTGGGCTCCATGGGTTAAAGCCCGGTTGGGCTCCATGGGTTAAAGCCCTACCGGGCTCCATGGGTTAAAACCCGGTCAGGCTCCATGGGTTAAGGCCCGGTTGGGCTCCATGGGTTAAAACCCGGTCAGGCTCCATGGGTTAAGGCCCGGTTGGGCTCCATGGGTTAAAACCCGGTTGGGCTCCATGGGTTAAAGCCCGGTTGGGCTCCATGGGTTAAAGCCCGGTTGGGCTCCATGGGTTAAAACCCGGTTGGGCTCCATGGGTTAAAACCCGGTTGGGCTCCATGGGTTAAGGCCCGGTTGGGCTCCATGGGTTAAGGCCCGGTTGGGCTCCATGGGTTAAAACCCGGTCAGGCTCCATGGGTTAAGGCCCGGTTGGGCTCCATGGGTTAAAACCCGGTCAGGCTAAGGGGTAAAACCCGGTGGGCTCCATGGGTTAAAAACCCGGTTGGGCATCCATGGGTTAAAACCCGGTTGGGCTCCATGGGTTAAACCCGGTTGGGCTCCATGGGTTAAGGCCCGGTGGGCTCCATGGGCCCCCAGGCCTCTCCAGAGTGGGACCTCATGTTCGGGCGAATACGACCCTGTTTCCAAAGGTCGTATTCATCATGAGGATCTTTGGGCTGCACTTGGTCTGGTTCCTCTCCTTGGACCCGTCTGCATGGGTGGCCCAACCAGAGGCATGAAGCCCCGACAGCAGAACTCCTAGGATCACTGGGACACTCAAACCCCCCACCATGATAAGGTGGCAGCCATGGAGGGGACGTGAAAATGTGCATGTATGTGTGAAACTGTATGAATATTAAGTAACATATAAATTATGTAAGAAAGGGAGGAAATGAGAGAAGAAGAATGTTGTTTTTTAACATGAGAAAATGAGAACAATGTGGTGCAAAGACGTTTCTTCCTGCCTTTTTCTCTTACTGTTGATGACACTGAATGAAACCGCTGCTCTCCACTGACCCCCCTTCCTTACTTCCTTAGCGTAACGCCCAGCGCGCTGCACCATCTGATGTCGCCGATTGTCGGCCATTATCAAAACCTGAGAGACACATCAGCCGACAGAAATCCTGGCTATAACGGTTCGATCGATCCGTGTTGTGTCCAACAATGGACACAGCATAATAAATCCAGTTCACTAATATTGAAACCTTAATCAATTCCTTACTACAATCTACCATCAATGCATGTAGCGAGTGTCAGTCTGACTGAATGAAAATCATTATAACCATTTTATGTCACCTTAACGAAGAACAGCTGAAAAGTTACCAGGTTTTCTGGTAGAAATTTCGCTCCAACTCCTCCCCGAGTTATTTATATTTTCTTTGCATGAAATGTTGGTTAAACATTCATGTTTCCACATATCATCTCCGATGTCTGCTGGACTTCGGGTTGCACCGTGTCAGCTGTTCAGGATTCCTCTCTGTGTTGTTTTGAAAGTAAAGTGCATCTGTCTGTGGCAGGAAGTCGCATGTATTATTACGTAATATCCATTAAATCAGTGTGAAAAGATCTTCAAACAATATTATAGTTTATCGCGATAATTTTTTGAGACGATTAAATCACTCAGTAAAATCTGTTATCATAACAGGCCGAATCGCCACAGGCCTCGTTTTTTATTGAATTCACTCCTGTGTTGTTTTTTTTGTCTTCTTCAATCTAAAGATGTTTCGAATTTTTTTCCAAATTGGAGTCTTTGGTTTTTTCTTCTTTCCTTCTTGTTTGCTGTTCATATCTGGAGTCTCTAAATCCTGCTGGATGGTTTCCTCATCGATGTCGTCTTGTATGGATTCCAGATCATTTGAACATCCTGGTATTGGTTCTCTTGCTAAATCCTCCTCCGAGGAAATAAGATGACTAGAATCCATAACCGGGTCGACCCGGTTCTTTTCCTCCTCCTGTTGTGAAACTGTAGTTTCCTGATCTTCATGCTGATCTTCCTCAGTGTCTGGCTGCAGTTTATCTCTGGTTGTCTCCAATTCTTGCTTCATTCTGCTTATTTCTTCCTGGAACTGCTCTGCCTGTGTCTTCAACATATTAACATCATGAATGTAAGAACACTGCAGCTCCTTGAACAAAACTCTGAGCGTCTCCAGTTCATCCTGTGCATTTCTGTCCTTGTCCTGGAGGACCTGGATTTCTCGCCGTGTGTTTTCCTCCAGGACGGCGTTTTCCTGTCGCAGGCTGTCGATGAGCTGCTGCTTCTCAGTCGCTGATTGCAATGAGGCGTCTTTCTCTTGTTGTACTTTCTCTTTACATCTTTCCATCTCCTCCTTTAATCCAGTAATATCCAAGTTAAATTTAAGTTTGAGCTTGTTGTAAAATGTTTTGCTCTCATCCAATTCTTTCTTTAAAATCTTTGCGTTTTTCTTCAGGAATTTGGCGTCCTGGTTTGCTTTGCGTTGGAGGATGGCGTACTCCTTTCTTATTTTCTCCACCAGCGCCGTGTCCTCCTCTGATTTCTCCATCAGAGTTTCTTTCTGTGTCTCCAGCTTTTCAAATTGTTCAATCAATACAGTGTAGTTTAATCCAAGGATGACATTTTCTTTCTTTCTTTGTAAAGAGCAGCTTCCTCTTTCTTTATTTTGTCTTGGTAAATCTCCGCCTGCTGCTTTAACTCGTTTATTAATTTTGATTGTTCGTTTGTTCCACGTTTGCTCTCCTCAAGTTCGGCTTGTAAACGTTTTTCATTTTCTTGCAGGAGGTCGATCTTTTGGGTCATGTCATGTATGATGTTGTCTTTCTCCACTCTGAGCTTCTCCAGGCTCTGTTCCTCATGTAGCTTTGCCTCATCACCAACGTCTGCTTCGTATTTACGGCGCAGCTCCTCATACGAAGCCTTCAGGTCATCCAGCTTGTCTTCCAGGACTTTATTTCGCTGCTTCTCATCATGCATTTCTGCCAGCAGTGCGTCCTGGATGTGGAACTGAGACACCTTTAAATCTTCGTATTTTTGTTGCAGCTCCTCTTTATCCAGGTCTTCCACACTGAAGTGTGCCTGACAAGCAATAGCAACAACTTTCAGTGTTTCAGTGTCAGTGTATCTCTGGAGTCTCTTCAGCTCCTCAGTTGCTCTGTGGGCCTTGTTGAAAAAACCCACTTTGAGCTCCGTTTGTTTCTGCAGCTGGAATTTGGTTTCTTCCAGCTCCTCCTCCAGGTGGGCCAGTCTGCGGTTCTGGTGTCTTTCTGTATTTTGAGACATTTTTATTCCAGTAAAATCACTAAAGTTGTCGATTTCGAAACGAAGTGAACGGTCGATGGAAAGTGCTTTGCGGGCGTCTGAACTGGTCAGGGGTATTGCAAGCAATGACAAATATGCCGAATTGTGTTACATACGATTCTGCAGTTGATGACATCACAGACGGCATCGCCAGTGACATCACAGAATCTTTGCTGGTGCTGTGACATCATTCCACCTCCAAATATCTTCATTCTTGTTTACATTCAAAACAGGATTCTCTTGTTTTATCCCTGAATATCAGGACATGAAACTCATTTCCATTTGGGTCCAGATCAAAAACTGGAACGTTCTTAAAGGGCCTGTTGGGCCAGAACGTCTGGATAAAAACTATTAAATGGTTAAAATATCAATAAATTGGTGTTTCAGCATCAATAACTGTTACTTAAAATAATATAATATTGAACATCTTTTCACACTAATCAGTCCATCCAGGATTGTTTTTGTGCTTTTCTGCAATCAACATAACAGATTTTGTGTGTTAATTTAGAAATATTTTGAAGGAATTTTTACAATATTTGCGCTAATATGATGTTAATGTTGTATTAATTGCTCTGTCAGTCGTATAATATGACATGCCATCAAGTAACAGCAGTCAACTGAACCCAAATGTTTTTGGGTAATTTTGAAAAAAATTTTTTGATAACATCAGAAAAAAATGTGGGGATCTGTTGATTTTTGTGTGAATTTTGCAGTTATTTGTGAAAAGCTGGACGGGCCTGTTGCCATAATTTGGAGTCCAGAGGACCACATAAAAAGCTGAGGCGGGCCAGATTTGGCCCTCGGGCCTTCAGTTTGACACATGTAGCATATATGATAATCTTATGTGAACTTTTTTCAATATCTGCAATTATCCTGAACTAGATAATCTCCTTCCAGGCACAAAGTTAAACAGAATATGTAGTGAATCTTCACAGTGACAGTTTGTAGCAACTGAAACGAAGCAGAGCTCTTCACCAAGAGATAACCCTGCAGGAGGACTGTTGTCTCTGCTTTCCATCAGTGAGAAAGGAATCAGAGTAAATCAACAATACTGGAAACATTCTTAATTCTATAATGAGATCAATTAATAAAGGCATAAAGGAAAGATAATACTATAAGATTATATGAGAATAACGAATATTTCATCATCAATTTCTCCAACAGTCATCTATCCATCCCTCCATCCATCCAACTTCCTCAGTCCATTTTTTCTTTTTTTCAGGTCCTTCTCTTTAAATCTTAAATTTGTTATTTCAAACGTTATTTTTCCTGTCAGACGCCTTCGATCGTGAGTACAAGCTGGCGTACGACCGCCTGCTGCCCCCGCTGGTCAGGCTGACCCATAACTGTGACCGTCCTCCGGGCGCCGGCGTCATGGAGTGCCGCCGGACGTTCGGAGAGCCTTACCTGTGAGTCGCTGCCCTCCTCCTCCTCCTCCTCCTCTTCCTCACCGCTTCACCTCCAGCTCAGGAACCCGCAGCAGGACTGGACCGTCGCTGTGGTAATGCTCGGCTTCGTCCGGCACCTCGCCTTGTTTCTGTTGAAATCCAACCAAAATACACAGAAAAAAATACCCTGTAAATAAGCGCCGGTTTTTAATCCAGCATTTATATTGTGTAATCATAAATCACATGGAGACGAACTGCAGCAATATTTTAACTTGAATTCTATTTGTACAAAGTTAGCTTTATTTATTGCGTCCTGTTGCAGCTCACTGCGCTCGCCTGCAGACTGAAGGAAACCCGCCTCGTGTTGCATCAAAACACCAAAAAATGCAAATAACTAAAAGCCGTGTTCACCAAGCAGCTGTGTTAAAAACAATTTCATCCCAAACATAAATGTTTCATTCAGTGACGTTTAATGTGCTTCTCTGCTTTATTCAAAAGAGACCTAGCAAACCGGCTGCTCTACTCAATGGGAGAGGAGCAATAAATCTAGATTTTACTTTCGTATATAACTTGAAATGTTCCCATAATAACCAGACGATGTCTCTGTTTCTGTTTGGTTTGTTTTAAAACCTTTTTCCAATATTTTCTTTTGTCAATCACCTTCTGAACGGAGCGTCATCATCAGGACTCCTCTGGTTTATCTGGTTTTCAAAGTTATTCAAGTCCAGATTTTAAATATAAATCCTGAAAGTACAACACAGACATTGTTATACACTGCAAAAACAAAATATTACCAAGTATTTTTGTTTCATTTTTATTGCAAAAATCTTATAACACTCAAAATGGGAGAAGCTTTTTAGTAAAACATCGGAGTTTATTTTACATTGGAAAAATGTCATAAGTGAAATGATGCTAGTGAAACTTGAACTTTTTCAGAATATTAAGTAATACTTTCTTGAAAACGGGCACTAATATCTTGTTAAAAAGTAACGTGTAATTTATTTTTGTCTTATTTCAAGTGCACTAAGAAATTTGCACTAAATCATTCTTGGTAAGATTTTGTGTTTTTGCAGATAGAGCAGAAATGCATAAAATATCAAAATACTCCAGATGTTACCCAGTTTATTAGACTGTCGGTTAAAATACAGTTTATTTTTAAAAGCACTTTAAATTTAATTTTAGAAACTACTTTCTAGAAGCTCAACAAACTCTTGATATTCAGCAAATGTTCATTTTTTAAATTGTGAATTCTCAAAGAATATTTTGCTCTACAGTTATATTCCTAATATTTTCTGTCATTTTCACAAAACTTTCAACTTGACTGACACTAAAATTCACATCTAAAATTAACTATCCAGATTTCATTTATTTAAGGCTGCTTTAATTTTGTATGTGGAATTAAAATGTTCTTAAAATCCTTTCAGCGTTTAATTTTCAAATATTTTCAAAAGATTGAAATCTGCACAAATAAAAAATCTTAAGTATTTTGTCCATCTTCTGGTGCAAATATCTTCGCACAATTTAAATAAGACAAATTACAACAAACTTTTCATAAAAATATTGGCAATAATTCCTTATTGATTAAAGAAGTACCAGTGGAACTTCATATTTCATTTTAAGGGATTATTGACTTAAATCAAACTGAAAAGTTTTGTAAGTTAGTTTTTGTCTTATTTCAAGTGTTGTAAGATAGTTATACTGGAAACCAGATCAAAGATACTTTGTAATATTTGTTTTTACAGTGAATGAAGTCAAACTTTTTCAGATTCTTCTCGATTGTGTGACATCTTTGTTCATATTTGGCGGAAAAAACACATTTTCTCTAAATTTTCTGTCGCAGTTGCTAGAAAACATGAAATTTGCTCAAAATCTAAAGATAAATATCACTGCTAAGGTACGATGTTTAAATATGGGTCCAGAATATTTCTGAAACAAAACTTTACTGATATTTTTACTTTTATGAAGTTGTAAACTAATGAGATTCTGTTGGGAAGAACCAAACGAACTGGACAGAAGTTGATGCTAACACCTTATCAGTGTTTTTATTTTATCTTGTGTTTTTTCATGAACGGTACCGGTCCCGGTCCCGGTTCTGGACCTGGCGTCACATAAATGTTTGTTTGTGGATTTGGTTGAAGGAGGACTCCCAAGTTTAAGCTTGAGGGTTTCATGAACGTCGACCAAATGTCGCAGAAGAGACCAAAACTGGAAAAAATGAACAAGTTGCACTTTAATCCTTCCAGAAAACAAATACCTGATGAACCGGGATTTCTGCTGCTTGGGAAAAAAAAAAAAAAAGGTTTTCCAGAACCAAGTCAATAAATGTTTTGTTTGTAAAACAAAAAAATAAAAAAAATCACATTTTTTTGCAGCGGGTTCTTTTACCGGTGTAGAAGGTTGAACTACTGGAACTGTAAATAAAATCATTTAACGCTCTCATTGTTGGCTTGTCTTTATTTTTTAAAGTAGAAGAAAAACCACTGAATAAAAACATAATTGGTGAATCTTTTAGGAATTAAAATTGTTTTTTTCTTGATTATTTTACTGATTCAAGATTCTGTTTTAACAAGAAAAATGTAATGAAACACTTTGTAAAATTTCAAAATATAATACTGGCTTTAAATTTATCAGTCACTGCAAAATGTAGTAAAGAAGAAAAACTTTTTTTTCAGTCAAACCTTCATAAAATAATGGCCTTTTTTATTTTATTTTTTTTAAATAATAATAAAAAAAAAATTTTAAATCATTTTTGGCAAAAATTAACATTGGCCATTATTCCAGGAAGGTGATATTTAACACTCGGCTCATTTCTACATATTATTTTTTATATCTATTCAAGTGCAATTTTAGTTTGTTCTAAAATGTTAAATTTGATAAATTGTGATTCATGTCCATCCATTTCTTTTAAAGTGTTGGATTTTACCTTCACATACTCACCAAAAAATAAAAATTGATGAATGTCAGTGACGTTTTCTTCAGGGCACGTTTTAAAATAATCACATAAGAAACTGTAGAAATATTTGGTTTTGTCGTAAAACCCCAAAAGTTTAAGATTTAAAAATGTTTCCAAAACTCACATTTGAGCCATCAAAATAAAAGTCACTCTTAAAAAAAATAATTTATTACAGCATGGAATTACCATCTCACACTTTTTAAAATTTATCCATGTTTGCATCCATTTTGATTAAAAAAACTAAAAAAAAAGAACAAAAGCGGCATTTTTGCGACTCCGCTCGGCTTTTTCCTCACAGCTACGACAATCTGACACACAGGTAACGACACTTTTCTTCTTTTCACATCAAAACAGGAACAAACAGAAATTCGAGGGTTCAGGATCAGAAATATTGACCATTAAATCTCAGTGCACAGAGAATCTAAGTATTTTGAAGTTTGGAACAATTCAAAAAAAAAAAAAAAAAAGGTGCAAAAGTTTGGATTTATGGTGGGTTTCCAATAAATATTAGATTTTTCTACATTGATAAATCATAAAATTATTGGTTTTATCTCAAATGATGATTGCAGAATCTACAATTTTTCATCTGACTGCTAAAAGAAGCTTAACCATTAACTATTACTTTCTACTGGAAAAAATTCACATATAGTCAAACTGCTGCACCATTTTTTTTTTATTGTGGCATCTTTTCATCCTGGTCAAAAAAAAAAGCACCTCCAATAAAAATTACCTTTTATTAATCTGAGGAGTCAGAATAAGATAATTAAAATGCAAGACGGAAACATTCCGCATCTCATTTAACAATCATGTGTTAATAAAAAAACATTTTCTCCCCTTTCAAATGCCATAAAAGGACAGGAAGTGGAATACTGCTACGTTGGAAGAAAATGAGGAACTGCAATTAGTAAAACTACATTTACTGACTTTAGTCTTCTTCTCTGGGATGTAACTTTGCCTTGCTAACTGTAAATGAGCGCCATCTTGTGGTCGTTACTAGAAGTGTTGCTAAGATGTCGATAAAGTGCGCCAAAAGAACCGTTTTTATTTTATATTTCTCTTCATGTGCCACACAAATTCAAACAAACATTTGATGCTACTGCAGGTAAGGTGTATTCTGGCAGCTAGTTTTAGACGTTTGATTTTTTTTAACGAACTAAATAGCAATAAACTGGCACCTGTCGATAAAATGCAGACTTAGGAATCCAGCAGTAATATATATGGGGTTAAAAACTAACGGCAATAATTCGTTATTTAGCCTGTCACAATAGAAAAAAGTCGGTTTTGAATTAAGTATTTATTTAGCAAGCTAAATATTTAGCTACTGTTCTAAATATTTGTTTTTTGAAACCCAAACAACGAATATTTACGTTTATCTCAGCTAAATGTTTAGCTAACATGCAACTTCACGTACCAGTTACCGGAAGTAGGTTATCAAAATAAAAGTTCTGTTTTCCTAACACCCGCATGTGAGCTCGGGCTGTATTGACTCATTTCCTGAAGCCAGTATCGTCATTAAAAAGGCGAAATGTTGCACATGTCGAGAGGAAAAACTAAGAAGTGACAGGAACTACATTTAAGCGAGTCAGTCGCGCCAGCAAAAGTTTAAAGATTCAAAAATCTGAGCTTTATTTTGGTAGTCCACTTCCGGTCATCGACAAGCTAATTAGCACTTTGCCTGCTATCGCTGATATTAAGGAATATTTACGATAGTACCCATTCTTGTGACATATGTTCTAGCTATCATGGCTATAGCGAACAACTACTGCTTAGAAATATTTAGATTGTAAGCTACATATTCAGCTTGTTAGCCTAATATGTAGTTAGAAGCTAAGAATTGGACCTCAAGCTAAATTTAGCTAGCCTATGGTGGTGTTTGGGCCACTGCAGATTAATAAAAAAGGAATTGAAAAGCAAAATCTCAAACTTCTGTTGATCTAAAACTTTTTTTTTGTCTTTGCCAGAAATGTCCTTTTTTCTGTCCACAATGAGCCCAACACACTGGCTAACTAAATATTTAGTATGGAGCGAGATGTTTAGTTCAACCTATTGTTTAGTTTATTTATGAATGTGTAAACATGAAGAAATGACAAAAGTTAAATCCCTTTTTTTCTTCTGACGGGTTAAATAACTCAAATTATTGCAGTTAATATCTGACTGTACTTTACAAACAGAAGCCAATATCTATGAAATCCAGAAACTGCAAATTTATGGGTTATTGTTCAGCGGCTTTTCTGAAGGATCGGATCATAACTACTGAAAATATAACAATTATATTTATTCTTGCTGAGTGGGACTGAGACATAATGAGGAAATCTGGATAACGGATATATTTCTGCACAAACTTGTAGAACCTCTGACCCAACATAAATCCCTCAGAACCGGTCTGGTCCGGTCCAGGCAGTCTCTGCTGTCAGATTGAGATGGGACAGATGAGGATGCGGTCCTCCAGCAGGACACTAAGGACGAGGAACACAATGTACAGGACGAACATGGTGAAGCCCAGCTTTTTGCTCATCTTCCAGCGGCAGGCGGCGATGGAGATGATGACGAAGAGGAGCATGAGGAAGAGCAGCACGATGGCGCAGAACAGGCCGTTGGAGCTGACCGCCACCGGCTTGCCGTAGATGGCGGTGTAGATGAGCCAGGGGACGGGCAGCCTGGAACCACACAGGGCAGGAGCGCGTTAGTTGCCTATTTTTAACAATTTCATGCTTTTATTAACCAGAAGTGAATGTTCATTCTAGTTATTGTTGAGAAATCACAGCCAGAATAGAAACCTGCCATCTGGTTTAATATTAATCCTGTTAAATTTCCTGGTTTGAAAAGTTGAAAATTTGAGACTTTTGAAAGTCAGAAATTTCCACCTCACAGAACATTTTTCAGTGCCGAGGTCTTTCACTGTTGTTTACTGGAAAGTTTTATTTTGAACTTCCAGTTAATGGATCTCTTACCCAACTGTGATGTCAAAGATGTTGCTTCCCACGGAGCTGGAGACGGCCATGTCTCCCAAACCTTTCCGAGCTACAATCACGCTGGTGATGAGGTCTGGGATGGACGTTCCTGCCGCCAGGATGGTCAGGCCCATGATCTCCTCAGAAATGCCGATAGTCTCGCCTACCTGAGAGCACAAGAGAAGAAAAAAAACAACTAATAGAGAATAACTCAAAATAACATTATGAAGGCTGAGAGAGACCTGGTCTCTCTTATTAACTTAAACCCAATTGAGATGCTGTTCCTTGCGCTGCTTTTTCGCATATGAAGGACTCACCAACAATTATTATTTTTAAAGGTTAGCACTATTCCTCATATTCAGTAAAAACGGACCCACCTGATGCGCCCACCACACCATCAGGTAGGAGAAGATGCCGATCCAGAAGATGGAGCCGATAAACGTGATGATAAAGAATCTTTTGGACGCCTGCAAAACGATTAACATTTTCAAAACCTAAAGCCTCTGAACAAAAACTGTCACAGACTCAGATTAAAACCACAAAGTTCCAGCTGTTGTGATGGTTGTGGAGAGGGGTAATTGCTCACCAGGTTGCGGACGTCCGGCAGCGTGAGCCACAGCGGGAACACGATGGGCAGCAGGAACAGGTATGTGGCCCGTTTCCGTGACGTGTGGGGCCACATCAAGGACAGCGGCTCGCTCTCCTCTTCGTTTTGTTCTTCTGCTTCTTTGTTTTCATCGTCTTCCTCTTCTTCCTCGCTCTCACTAGAGTCACTGGTTTCCTCTTCGCTGCCATCTTCCTGGACGCCGTCCTGCGATCCTCCAGTTTCTCCAGCTGATTCTGCTGCCTGCAGGCAGAAGGTTGATTCTCAGAAACCTGACTAGCGATGCAACCAATAAGTCCTCTGACGATTTACTGCCAATTAATGGTTTCATTAGGTTAAAATTAGTTTCAATCGATCGCCCAATAATGCCCACTGAGATCTTTCAGTGTTGTGGTTTGGCAGCCATCCAGCAGAGGGCGCCGCTGTTCATTCTTGTTAGCCTTCTGGTACAAAAAGAAAGATGGCGGCGAAACCATCCAAACAGACTCCGGTTTCATGCTGTTCCGTTTTTAAAATATAAACACTCGACAACCTCATTAAGTGTCACGGTAACAGCAGCAACTTTTAAACCAAAACTTTCAGATGTGCTATGAAGGCGAGGAAGTTCCATCCGTTAATCTGACATTTTGATTCATCCTCTGCTACGTTTTTATTCTGGCTTTTTTCCAATTAACACAGCAATCTTTTACAGCAGTCTTGATAACAAGTCTGCAGTTTATTTGAAGGTAATTCAGTGTTTTTTTCTGGATTTTTTTTAGTTTTCATCCATCGCCTCAGCATTTTATAATAAATGTTTAATTAATTTTAAAGAATTAAACCATAAAAAAATCTTCTCAGCTCAAGTGATTTACCATTTCAGACAATTTATTTAAAACAAAGACAATGCCACAGAAACGGAGGTTTTTGAGCAAAACTGTAAGGAAAGTTTTGGTGTTAAATCAGAAGATTGTAAAAGTCTTGCCTTTGACTCCTCTGCCTTGTCAGAGGTTTTCTGCGGAGTTTCCTCTGCTGGAGGCTGCGAGGTGGACGGCTGAGCTGTGGCGCCCCCTGGTGTTCCAACAGAAGAGATTTGCTCTGACTTCTGTTTGTGACCCGCTTCTTAAAAACAGACAACAAAAAGCAAAACAAGCTCAGCCATCGCCGTGGCTCTACTTTGGCAGTTTAAACAAAAAGCTGGAGCGGTGAAGCCTTTCCAGGAGCTGCACATGTACCAGAAATTACCGCTGCAGATTCTGCAGGAATGAAAGTGAACCGACTCCAAACATTTAAGCGATTTTAAAAGGGAAACAATCTCTGACTTCCTGCTGTCAACAAATTACCCCCGACTCTGTTTGTTAGCGTTGAACCAAGTCTCTCTCTGAGAGGAAGCTAGCTGCATTCTGTTGACCGTATCATGGCACAATTTGACATTTCAAAAATAACATCCTGTTGTCCATCAGGTGACTTGTGTGATGTGAATGAAGTGTTTTCTTTGGAGTTTTACTAAATTAATACACTTTGATTCAGCCAGAAAACTCACTTCATTCTAGCACAAAACATTTTTATCTGAAAACAAGGTTTTTCGAAATTGCAGCAGTTCTACAGGAAAATTTGTTTACAGAATGTCAAATTAAACGAACAAAACAAACTTACACCCAAGTAACTTTTCTGCAAGATTATGGAGATTATTTTAAGTCAATAATTGAAAAAAAAATTGACCAAATTTTTTACACTAGCAGATTATTTCACTTGTAAAATGGGGAAAATGTCTGGTAAAAGTGAAATAATCAGCCAGTGGAACAAATACTTTTTCATCAATATTAATTTTTCCTAGATCAAAAATCTGGACTAATAATCTGAATTTGACTGCCTTGTTAGAAAACTAGAATCAGTTTGAATTGGAATCTGTATGACTGGATTGACGGTATTTAAATAAACTGCATTAAACTCTAGTTAAGACAAACAAAATCAACTTTAAACGTCTGTAAACGGATCAGCAGCGTGCGGTGAACCAAAACATGGAGCTGAAAAAAGAGCTCCATGTTTGATAGCAGCTTTGTGTCACTTCAATAAAACTCCTTGAAAGTTGATGAGATAAAGTTGCTCTTCCTTCTGATGGTAATCGTGGCGCTGAGCTGCGTGGGCCTGGATGGAGTGGGAGTGGGAGAGATTTGAGTGTCCACAGATAAACCCTCTCCTCTGAAGGAGCCTCCATCTGCATGTTAACCCCGGGAGCTGATTGATTCGGCCTCGTTGAGGCCTCTCAACACGTCTTTGCTGCGCAGAGCCGAGTCTGAAGCAGCTCATTAGTGCGTAATGTGATGCAGGAACACAGAGATTAAGAGTCAGCGCTGATTGTGGAGGACGCGTCTCACGGAAATATTTAAAATTTAAATTTATAACAGAACCACCGTCATATCTGGAAGTATTTCACCACATTCTTCATTCAACTGACTTTTAATACTTTTCCTGTCGGTGTTTGGACTAAAAGGGGTTATTGGAGCGTCTTAAAGTGACAGATTAGCTTGTATGCTCTACAAACATACACTGCAAAAACACAAGATCTTACCAACTGTTGTATCAACTCTGGTTTCTGGTTCACTTGAAATAAGATAAAACTACAAATATCTTTTCAGACTGATATAGTATTAAGTCAATACTTTCCCCTTATTGTAGTTTCACTGACAGACTATTTTAATAGCATGCAAACTATATTGAAATAAGTAAAATAATCTGCAAATGTAACTTGTATTTTTTTAAAAACAATACTAAGGAATTATTTACTTAAGCTCTTATATCTTGTTGAAAAGTTACATGTAACTTTGTTTATCTTCTTTTAAGTAAACCAAGATATTTACACTATAAACTGGACCAGAAATATTTGTGTTTTTGCAGTGTGTTCATTCCTCTTTTTGCACAAAATCATCTTTAGATAATGGGATTTCAGTCTGCTCAGTTCTGCCTATTTTGAGTTGTTTTAGGGCGTCTTGTCTCTTTAAATCCAAATAAGCTGCTAAAGGCCAAGCCACCCAACGGTTAAGCTCACAGGAAAAAATAGCTACAACAGATGCACAACTATACAGCCACACATATTTGAAAAGCAGAAGTGGAGCTTCCTGCACAGCCAACAGGAATGCGAAGTCATCAACAAAGCACTCGTCTTTTCCAGCAGCCGTTGTGCAGTGCTTATCGTGGTAAAACCAGCTGACCAAACATACTGGAGCTCAGCTTTGGTTGCTAGGTAACGGCGCAGCGCCAGCTATTCCCGATGTTCAGCATGTCTGCGATAAATGTCAGACTCTCTGTTTTTTTTTTATTCCCAGAGAGGTCAGATTTCCAGCTGCGCCTCACTCACCTTCAGCGCGGCGGTGATGCGACTTGTTCTGCTGTTTCTCTGTCACCGAGACATCCAGAGGTTTTACTTTGTTCTTTGCTGCAATTAAGAGAACCGTCACTTATACAGACTTAACAAGAGAGGCGAGAATCCCCCATCTGTCTCCACAAGCTGCTCAGAGTGACCACTTCACCAAATCTTTGACCTCGACACACAGCAACCACAGTAATGAGCCTCAATCAGACACGAGCGCTGAATTCATTACGGACAAAGTGAGTCATCCACCCACGTGTCTGCCAGCTGCATGCGAGAGCCAGCAAATAATGGAGTTATGCAACGGCCGTGTGAAGTTGTTGCATTTGAGGGTCATTTTTGTGAACTTCAGGAACACGACAGCCTCAAAGCGAAAGCAGAGCCGCATCCACAGGACAGAAAACACAAAGCCAAGCACGGGAACATGCAAACCAAAACAATTTACAGCAGCAGCACTTTAATTTGATCTAATTATTCCTAAGAAGCAGTTCTCCAGATTTCCTGCAGGTCATTTAAAACCTCCTGCAGGGTGGGCCATGAGTTTCCATATCTTGGCTCAGAAGTTTGAGGTGGCATTTATGAAGTTACTGCTGTCAAAACTTCACAGCAATAATTTGGGTTGTTTAGTCACAAAATAAGAAAATAGGGGTGAATTTTTAAAAATCTTATTTTCATCGTGTTATTCATTCATTTACAAATTGCATTGTTTCTAAATCACAAAAAGTAGAAAGCTAAATATTTAATTGGAAGTTAAATATTTAACTTGCTCACTAATCTTTTAGTTCAGAGCTAAATATGTAGCTTACATTTAGCATCAAACTGAATATTTAGCTTCAAATTAAAGTTTAAATGTTCTTACTTGTATTATTTAGTTCCAAATTAAGCATTTTTAACGAGCTAAATATTTTGTTTCACACTAAATATTTAGAGTGGAACAAAATGACATGTGGGTCATTTTAAATGGAAAACTAAATATTTAGTTTGGAGATAAATATTTTGCTTACAAGCTACACATAGCTCTTAAGTAAAAATTAGATAGGAAGTGAAATATTTAGCTTCAAACTAAATATTTAACTTAGAGCATTTAGCTCTCAGCTCATTGGCAGCAGTGTCAGCAGGAGTTTCCATTTCCCCTCAGGTTAAGCATTATAGAAAATGGAAAAAGGAGCCAAAGTTCAAAGGAAAATGAGGAGAGACCTTCAGAAAGCCCGGAGAACCGAAGGAAATATCAAGAAACAGGAGGGAATTAAAACTTTTGCACAATGAGGAGCTTAGAAAAACCAAACTAAACACGATGGAACCACGTCTGGAAACAAAGACGACGCCAACATTCCTGCAGCTTACCTTTCTTCTGCACAAGCCCCTCCCCTTTGACGTCACCGTTAAAGGACGTTTCTGATTGGCAGAAATAGACGAAATCATCAACCACTTAAACTGCTCTTGCAACTTCCAGTTTCTACATTTCAGACATAAAATGGACACAAATGAAGCCGGCACCAAGAATCCAAAAGATCAGAAACATGAGCAGAACTTCTGTGTATACTCCACTAGTATTAATACTACTGTCCAAAAGTACTACAAGCGTTGGTAGTACAAAATGACATGCGAGTCATTTTTATCTTGTTTATTTTAGTTTGAATAAATTCTCTGTTCTCCCGACAAGAAGCAGCAGTGAGCGTGAAAAGTTTCCAACCACAACAGAAACACGATGAGAAACGGCACAACCAGGCAGCGTCTCGCCGCTCTTACCTTCTGTGATTTTCCTTGGCCGACCGGTTCTTACGGCGCCCCTGAGGGCTGCTTCTAAGAACCACAGGTATAAATAACCCACAAGGTTTTAGTTTAAAGGAGAACTATTATGAAAAATTTACATTTTGCGTGGTTTTAGTTTCTACTGCTTCTAAAAACAGACCAACACTTTAAATACATCCATCCGTTTTTTGGCAATAAGTTAAAGTTTTTTGGTGTCTGGAAAATGAGCCGTTTCAAAAACCTCTGGAATGTATCGTCATAAATCAGCCCAACCCCTTTACCTAGCAACCCAGCATAATGATGGATTCTCCTGTAGAAGTCTGTACTACAGAGATTAAAGAAGCCTCTGACTGAAGACACTCTATTTCCCCAAAACAGTCTCTTGCAGAGGATGGTCAGGGTTGTCCAAAAGTTCCTTGATTTTACAATTTTAATGCTGTATGCCCTGTACAATGGCTGCTGAAAAAATGTTCTGTGGTTGATTTACCATTCAGAAAATGCTTTCTGCATTCTTGCTGGTTGTGCAGGAGGCTCTAGTTCTGCTTTTCAAAGATGAAGAAATCTTTAATTGCCCATCTGTTGCAGCCATTATGATTTTGTGCAGAAAAATGCAACAAAACATGTTTTGTATTATCGAAACATCAATCCTAACTTGTTAAAGGAAGCATAATAGGTCACCTTTAAGAAAACAAAGAATCAAGTTTGAAATTTATTCTTACTTTTAGTTCTAAAAGCAAAACAGATGTACACATTTAGAGGGTCAGTTTTTATCCAGCTGCAGAGATCTGGACTCAGCTGGTTCCCCAGAGTTACAGCTACCACCGCGCCGGCTCTTATCCAGCTTTTATTAGCCTCTATTGGAAAGCTGATTAAGGATCAGCGGTGGCCGCGGCGCAGCGGGAGCAGGGAACAGCGGCACGCCGCGTCCAAGGACAGGCTCAAGGTCGCACCGGTTCATCTCGCCGCGGTCAGAGCTGAGTCACCGTGATGAGCTGCAGTTACGAAGCAAATTTAAGGTTTGTTTTCTGTCTGTGACGATCCTATAAGGTGACTGCTGATCAAACTTTAATAAAGCCCGAAAATAGATACGTACACCTAAAGTTTTATTGTATTCAAGACAAACTTTCCAAGCAAAGAAGTGGAGTTTGATGAAAAGGAACAAAATCTGTTCTATCAAGTATTTTTGGTGCAAATATCTAATCTTGAAATAAGATCAAACTAACTTACAAGAAACTTTTTCAGTGAGATATGAATTAGTTATCTATAAATAACCCCTAAATATTGATGAAAAATAGATTAATTCACTTAAAACATTTTATAAATGAAGTAATCTGAGGAACAGTTGTACTGCGGTTGCTCGGTAACGGGTCTGGGCCGGAAGTTTTTGAAACGTTTAATTTTCCAGACACCAAAAAACATCAACTTATGTCCAAGAAACGTCTGGTGGTTGTTTGTAGAAGCATCAGAAAACCAAACGCAAGAACAAAAACACGTAAAATATAAATTTGACACGTTTTTGTAAATTTTGCATCGTAAATCTGCTTTAAATCCTGATTAATTTTGGGACGTAACCGTAGAATAAAGAGAAAATGATGCTGTTTTAAACATTGTTTTATCAACACATCCTGCCATAACAAGCCTTTTGAAAACGTTGATGTGGCCCGAAATGAAAATGAGTTTTACATCTCGGACATGTAGGAAAGTTTTACTGCTATATGTCAGGAATGACTCTGAGTATTAAACACAAACTTGCTAATCCAAGGGAAAAATATCAAAAAGAGAAGTATTCTGAGAAAAAATGCTGAAGGAGTCTTTCACTGCAAAAAAATATACATAAATATTACAAAGTAATTTTGGTTTAATTTTAGTGTAAATATCTTATACTTGAAATAAGACAAAACTAATTTACAAGCAACTTTTCAGCAGGTTTTAGGAGCTTGATTCAAGTCAATAATTCCTTTATAGTGATGAAAAAGAGCTTGTTGCTGTGGCAAATTATTTCACTTTTAACACATTTTTTCCATGTTACAAGTCAAATATTCACCATTAATAAATTATTGACTCAAAATAAACCGCTATACTTGATGAAGAATTACTTTTAATTTCTTAAAAGTCTTATTTCAAGTTTTCTAAGACATTTGCATCAATAATAGACCAAAATACTGAGGTTTTGTGTTTCTGCAGTGGAGAAGCTTTAGTTGGTAGTTAGGGTCAGGGTCAGAAACCAGCCAGATCTACCTTCTCCCAGTGGGTCCAGAGTGTGGATCATCAGCTGGAAGATGGTGCTCCGCAGGGACGTGTTGTGGAGCGACGCCGAGCTGCCGCCTCGCTGTAGCACAGGACGCACCTGCAGGTCAGCAGAGACATGGTCAGGATCTAAACTTTCAGAAAACACCCAACCACTGAGGGCCTGCCAGACGAAATCAGCCTGATGTGCAGCAGATCCAGAACTAATAAGTCAGATTTCATTATTCCCTTTTTTTTTTACCTCTGAAAACAGATTGTAAAAGTCTAATGTAAAGGACAGGCGTTTATTTGTTTATGGCCAAACATGATAAAACATGCATTCAGGGTGTAGGTCAGTTTTACCCGGAGCCGATCTTTGTCCTCTTGAGCTTCTGGCTGCAGGTTGTTGTGCTGAGGGCTTCCCGGCGCAGCTTCAGGTTTCGGTTTGTTTTCCGTTTTTTGGGGATCAGCAGCAGGAGGAGGAAGAGGAGCAGCAGCTGGAGGAGGAGGAGCTTCACTGTCCTGGAAAAGAGTTTCAGTTTCACACACAGCCCTGATCTGAAAGCTGCTCCAGTTCAATATTGGATGAAAAAAAAGACACTTTCAAATAATCATTTCATGCTTTATGAGGAGAAAATGCTCTAAACCGAGAAAACCTGTGTGAAAATGTTTTGCATTAAAACACCAGGGGCAAACTGCTAAAGCCTCCTAATTAGATTCCTGCATCCCATGGAGTTTCTGCTGCATAAATTCATTAAGATTTAACCACTTTGGTTCATTAAATATTTAAAAGAAACAAACGCCTGTAAATAATTTAGTGGTGTGAAAGTGTTTGCTTGTTCCTGATTTCTTATTCTTGCTGCATGTTTGTCACTTTATTTCAATATTCGTGACAAGTGGACACAAAATTACGACGCCCCATTAGTGCCAATGTAGATGAAAAAGGGAAGAGTACATCTCTGCCAAAAATGTTTTTGTTTGGTTTTAAATTTGCTTGAAAATATATTTTTGAAATTTCTTGATAAATCTCAGAAATTTTCTAGAAAGAAAAGTAGCATTTCTGAATTTGAAAAGCTACAAATTTGTTAGAAGAAACAGAATTTTTGAGAATAATTTGACATCTTCTAGAAAAAAACAGTAAACTTCTGAGTTTTCAAAGGCATAAATGTTCTAAAAAAAATCAACATTTCTGAGATTGAATCATTGAAATTTCCTAGAACAAAACTTGGATTTTCACATTAATTTTAAGAATTAATAAGAAACTAAACAAGAAATTTACATCCAAATTAACAAGACAAATAAGAATTTCTAAGTTTGAAAAGGTGAAACTTTGCTAGAAAAAAAAATGAGAAATTTTTAGTTTTCTAGCAAATTTTCAACTTGAGATTTTTGGTGGAAATTTTCTCCAGTCTTTTTTTCTGTCAATGGCTCAAATTCGCAATTGTACAAAATGCAGTTTTTAAATTAAATCGTTTGTTATATGTGTAAAGCTCAACATTAAACCAATAAAACGTTTGGTTTTGGTTTGTATTTTTCTGCAGCCAGAACCTCCATGTTGGTTCTGATGTTGGTTCTGCGGCAGATCGGGTTCTGGTTCCTTTATCTGCGGCCGTTTTGAATAATCATTCATCACATTGGGCGCCTGTAGGTATTTCAGGGACCGCAACAAAACCAGAGTGACATTTTCAGCAGCAGGAACACCTGGAGTCCCTGCAGCTCAGCGCCTTCAAAGGGTTTCACACAAACCCGGTCAGTGGGTCTGAGCGAGCCGGGTCCGGAAGATGAAAGGATGCAAAACAAACCAGCAACAAAGGACAGAAGTTTGTCCAGAAACAATCGAGGCGGCGTGCAAAAGTATTCACTCTCGTTTTGCCGCATTTTGTCAGGTTACAAAAACCTGAAAGCGACGTGGAGATTTAATTCAGAAGAACAACACAGACTGAGGGAGGGAGGAAGGAAGGAAGGAAGGAAGGAAGGAAGGAAGGAAGGAAGGAAGGAAGGAAGGAAGGAAGGAAAGAAAGAAGGAAGGAAAGGAAGGAACGAAGGAAGGAAGGAACGAAGGAAGGAAGGAAGGAAGGACTATATTGTCTAGACGGACTATATTGTCTATTTTGACCAAATCTCTGCATCTGAAAGCATCTGAAAGGAAGAACCGGCTGATGAGATGCAAACTGGAAGACCACAAAGATCTTCTCATTAAATAAAGAGGCAGCTTTATTCCCTATGTCTGTCAACGCGGTTGGCCAAGTGCGACGCTTCTCTGAGGAGGAGAAAGAAGTGGTGCTATGCTAACGGTTGTCAAATGACTAAAATGTTTTGTATAATTTCATTAACACATAACATTCAGAGTCTTGCCGACTTCTCATCACTTCAGCTGGTGAACGTTACCAGATTTCAAACGTAGCGCCAAATTAACCAAACCAACATCTCCAGGTTTCACTTAGTTCAAGTAATTTCTTTTTGTGACTTCATTTTTTTACCATTCTATGCTTGATGGTAACACAGTTAAAGACACATGAAGAACCATCCCGACCCAGATCGGACCAGAAGTTGCCGCCACTCACCTTCTCCGGTTCGGCCGAGCTCCACACCTTGACGATGCTCACGTGTTTGCTGAGCTGACCTTTGAACGTCCGTTCAATTTGACTGTTGAACTTCATAAAGGTGACGTAGCTCATGTAGCCCAGCACCAGCATGACGCTCTCCCACCACCAGATGACGTTGTCCAGGAAGAAGACGATGAGCATGATGAGGTCCAGGATGTAGAAGGTCACGTCCCGGAACAGCGGCCACCAGGTGAGGTGCAACATCTCCCGGGAGAAGACGGCGCACATGCCAATCACGAACAGGATGTTGAAGACGGCAGACCCCACGATGGTGCCGATGCCCACGTTGCTGTGGGAGATGAAGACCCCGATGAGGGAGGTGAAGAGCTCCGGGGCGGAGCCGCCGGCCGCCATGAAGGTGGCCCCGGCCACGTCGTCGGAGATCTCCAGCTTGGCGGCGATGACCTCCAGCGCGGGGACGAAGAACTCGTCGCAGACGATGGCCAGAGCAACGAACATGTAGGTCATCCCCATGATGTGGAGGACCACCCACCCTTGGCGCCTCTGCTCCACTGAGAAGATGTCTTCCGGGTAGTCCCCCTGGCTGTGCGGGGGCTGGGTCGGGGGTCGGGGAGGAGGGGCCGTGATGGTCAGCGGCGGAGTTGGAGGCGCTCTGGCAAGTCGGGGATCCACGTAGACGCACTGCTCCAGATCCGTCCTGTTGACCACCACCACCAGAGGAGGCATGGTGATCTCCAGCGACTCATTGGACGCCCTCACCTCCCGAAGTCTGACCTCCAGGGCGCCGTGGCCGCCCCCGGCATCAGTCCTGTCGGGGGCTGGACGCTGCCTGGTCTTCAGACTCAGCGTGTAGATGCAACACAGCAGCGCGCCCGACACGAAGAAGAGGACGCGGCTGCGCTTCAGCCTCCTCCGCTGGGGCGACTGCATGCTTAGCGTCCGGAGTCCCTGCAGGAAGTCAGGTCAGGCGCATCGCTCTCCCCCCACGGCGGCTCCTGCGCCGTTATGTGGCAGAAGACTCCACAGACGGAGGAGAGGAGGTTTCATCTTTTCAACCTGGGGAAGGACTGAGAGCAGAGAAACCACCATCAGCATGTGCGGGTTCCCTCTCTGAGGCGGAGAGGTGAGGGCTTTTTTTTTTTTGTTGTTGATGGAGGATGCAGACAGCCACCTGTTGCTATGGCTACATAATCACTCAGGCTGCGGATTCTCACGAAACATGAGCCCAGCGGGACGCGGTCCGCGTTAAAACTGCACATTTACCATGCAGGAGTTCAAATCGGGGCTTTTTGTTTCTGCTGCGCTGCAGCCAGCAGGACAGTTCAGGTGCAGAAAGTCATGAAAGCTGAGGAGAGTCGGGCTTAATATCGCGGATCATGACGCAGTTCCTCTTTCCATTCTTCTTATCGTCATTTTTTAAATAATGAAATGTTTAAAAATCAGCACGCAGCGGCTTTTTGCGCAGAGAGAAAGTGTCTGCTTACCTGCAGCGACCGCCGGCTGCTGGGCCTCCTGTCCGCGGCGGACCGACCCCTCCAGCTGTGCGCCTCAGACGCAAGAGATGCTGACTCCGGCGTTTGGGCAGCTACAAGGGCGCAGCGGCTGCCGGGGTTTGGCCGCAGCTCAGCATAATGCCGCTAAGCGGATTAGATGAGGAGAAGCGCCTCTCACCTTCCCTCAGGAGGATGCGCTGCCAGCGGCGGCTGGATGCGCAGTGGCGGCCCGGAGGAGACCGCGCGTCCGGCGGGGTGTGGTCACCAGGTGTTGCCTCTTTGAATGATGTCTGATATCAAAACGATAAAACATGTTTCTGTTCGGTCTGCCAGGGGAAACAGTAACAGACTCCGTATGCTAAAATCTCTTTTTGTGTTGAGTAAAAGTTTGAAGGATGTTTTCTTTTTCAAACTTACATTTTCAACATGTAAAACTAGAAAAAAACACTTATTGCTGCAGACCGCATCGATCTCTTACGATTAATCGGATAAAAATTGTACATTCGTGAGACTTTTAATTTAATACAGTACAATGCATGTAAACAGTCCAATTTATTTTTTAAAATAAGAAAATGAACATTTTTATTGCCTAAAATGCCGTGAAATCCTTTAGTGGATGTTTGATCATTAAGCAAATTCTGCAGCTACAATATGTGAAATGTTCTGTTGGACTCAACATCAGCACAGTGTGGCGCTGATCTCATCATTTTCCTGGCCTAATTTATTAATAATTTAATGCAAATTAATAAATAAATTAGGCTAAAACTCCAACTCAGGCGAGAAAAGATTTACAGAAAAAGAAAATGTTTGTCTTAAATGCAAAATGTTTGTATTTTAGCTTAATTAGTCCCCTGAATATGTTTTTAAGCAAATTGCTTTTCTTATGCATGCAGCCTCCAGGTAACAATTGATTACTAAATTAATTAATTAACGATTATTTCAACTATTGTTTTCTCACGATTAATTGTTTTAGCCTTGATTGCTATTATTTGCAGATTGTGACCGGTTTAAAATGATTATATTTCATGTAGTCATAGAAAATTCCAGGTTTGACTGGGTCAAGTTTTCAATAGGAACCATATTTAGATGCTAAAAATGCATAAAATTGTCCCTTATGGTACATTTTTAACATTTAGATTATAAAGACTGTGACATCTGGTGATTTAAAGTATTGTGAATTAATGAGGGAAAAAAGCAAAACAAAAATCTATTTAATAAATTGCTTTGGTTTTTCAGAATAAAACTTGTACAGATGACAAAATGTGTCTTGAAAAAAACAAACAAAAGAAGAACAAAAACAGATTATTTGGATCAGATAATTGTTCTGTTATCACAACACTTGGCTGCTAAACTGAAAAGTCTTTAATAACTGAAATATAACAACTATATTATAAAACATATGTTACTAACACTCTCATTTTAAGGCTACATTAAATATTATGAACATTTCTCTATAGTTTATTAACCATAAAACATGTCTAATGTCTTCCGAAACACAAATACTTACAAATACGAGTCGCTTATCTTCTAACTGCCTACATTCTGGTTGACATGGCTACCGCAGAAAAAAAAACCCGTCAAAGATAGTTTGCTCGTTAAGAGTACTCACTCGGTCACGTTTTTGCAAATACGAGACAAAGATCGTTTTGTAGCCCAAATGTCACACTCTGATCAAATTTCAAACCCAAAACTTCGACAATTAGCCATCAACGCATTACTGTATGAACCTACTAATGTAATGCATTACCACTTTGTTCTTAATAGAAGGCAGTAAAATAAATGCCACAAAAGCTTTAAAAGTTGTATTTAAAATAATGCTTCTCTAATTGTACGATATTTGATCAAATTACTTATTTCAGTGATTGTGCCCTTTAAACTGATACCCTTAAATAAAGTCCAGCATTCAGAAATAAGTCTTTAATGTAATCTTGTTATAAATGCAGCTGTAATAAATTATTAAACACATAATTTAGTAAAAATGTTTGGCAGCCATTTTGGTTTTCAACATGGCAGTCTGACGAAGAATCTGCATTTGGTGGTCAGTTTATTTCATGACCTCATCCAGGAATCAGTTTTTACATGAAAAGTTGAATTCTTCCAACAAAAAAAGCAAATAATTAAAATCTCCATTGGAGATAGTAAATAATATATTAAATGGTTTTTCTACAAACCTCAGCAATATCTTTCAGTGTCTAATCCAATAAAATAACAAAAGAATAAAATTAATTAAATGTAACTACACATTTTATTCTTCAAATGTTTTTATTGTACATGAAGCTATATTACAGAGAACATTACATAAAAAAACAAAATCAAAGTGACAGCTTTAGATGAAAAGATGAGATGCAAAATAAATCATAAAACACTCCAGAAAAGGCTCACAGTTCAAACATTTTCATGTTGCAAAATAAACTTTAAAAACACTTGAAGTCGTCTGATAGAAACAATAAAAGTAAAATATAAGTTCTCATCTCATGCTGCTTTGTTTTCAGTAGTTTTTATTTCAGATGAACAAACTGATATGTTAAAAATCAGTAAAATGTGTTGAGAAGCAGGTTTTATCCCTATGGGATAAACTCAGACGTTCTCTTCTTGTTCTGCTGTTTTTGCTTTTTAAAGTAAAAACTGAGTCTGAATTCAGAAACACTGAATTTGACATATCGCTTAAGAGTGTGGAAAGCAAAAATTAATAATCACCATTTTACAGGAGAGGAAAAAATAGAAAATGTTTTGAGTATTAAGGCATTTTACAATTGCGATAGTCAAAATGAGAATAAAGTAACATTCCAAGAATAAAGTCTTATTATGAGCATAAAGTCAAAATAATGAATAAAGTCATAATATTATGAGAATAAACATGTAATGATCTCATAATTCTATGATTTTATTGTGTTATTTCAACTTTATTCGTGTAATTTAATGACTTCATTGTTATTCTTGTTTAAAGTTATTTATCCTTCCCTTGACCTTATTTAGTGTTTTAAAATGCCTTCTTGCTCTTGTTGTTGTGGAACCAAGCGGCCACTAGAGGGCAGCTCTGAGTTAGCGAGCATTTAACCGGAGAATAACAAACATGGCGACCGTTGATGACGAAGAAACTCCCTGAAATGAGATCATAAAACGAGGCACTGTGGCAGACGGAGGCGCTCTGAGCAGCTAGAGACAATAATCAGTATTAAACTGGTCGGAGTTTCTGTCGTCGTTCCTTTGGCCAATTCCAGGCGAGCTAAACTGCGCTACCGGTGTTTTTGCGCCGTTTTGATGGACAAAGATGCACAGAAAAGCAGCTGCGTTTATAAGCATAGAAAGTTTATCGGTATGGGTTTATGGCTCTTTGTTCAGGGCGGCATGGCCAAGAGGGAAAACATGATGATGAAAACTAGCCATTAGCTAGTTGTCTATCAGCTAAAGAAATATTTATGTTGTTAGTTTAGATCTAACTTTAGGATCAGAGGAAATCAACCTGCTGCTAATAAAACTTTTACTTTACTTAATAGTTTTTAAAGCAAACTGGGAATTTGCTTTGTATTTAATTGATATTCTAATGAAAATATAATACTGTGGACCAAATGACCAGTTGCTCCAATATTACCCAGTTGTTGCAGTTTTATTCAAATTTCAGACTTGAAAAGGGAAAGTTCAATCAGCTAACATCAGTTTTTTTAAAACTCATTCCCTGAAACTACAAAATGCTAAACTCAGCTCTTCGTTGAGCCGTTAAAGATTTTAGTAATTTGAGAATCAAGATTGATTAATTAATAAGAATGATCAACATTATCCTTCATGCTCTGGTTCTGTTTTAGCTGAAAATCTCATGTTAATTTAGTGAATTGAGATTAATCTGATAAATATCACAGATTAGGATGAAGAAATTGACGCAGCTAAAAGTTGAGGTTCATTAACGTTACATCAAAAAAATCTCCACATTGTTTTTGTCCCAACTTTTTTATTTTAAATATTACAACATGTTCTTACTTGTCAAAAACACAGGGTCTTTGAACGCACCACAGATCAACCAACAATCGCATGATTGTTACTGAACTGATGGAGCGGCAGAAGAATGGCTCATAAAACCATGCATTGGTCTTTTCCCATGCAGAAACCATCATTTATAACCAAAAGAAAAGATACATGCAGAATGAAATAATCAGTAAATCACATTTTCATCAAATATCAACATTTGTTAAAGTACAAACTGATATGCAAGTATTTTCTTATCACAAAATTTGGATTAAAGCATTTGGGATGTTCTGGCTTTACTTTTTTCAACCACACATATTGAATGTGTTTTTTTTTCCACACTTAATTAATTAAATTAATGTGCTAAAGTCCAAGCCCTTAATTAAACCACACTGTATCAGATTCTGCACAAACGTTCTAAAAAACAAAACCAGTAAATGAACCGTTTTCTTACAAAAACTGAGCTGAAACCAATTTTACTTGTTAAAATCATTAATAACATCATTACTGCACATAAATTATTTGCTTTTTTAAAAATGTAATTTTTTTTGTCTGTCTTCAATCATATTTTATTTATAATAAAATTTTACATTTATTTCGCAGTGGTGCAAATTGTGTATTAAAATAAATATGTTTTAAAGCTGTGCAAATCAAAAGTTTGTAAGATCAGGGGTGTCCAAAGCGCAATTTCTTTTTTCAATCAGATAACAAAAATTATTACTGAAATATTCTAATCTTAAAATACAAGTATTGATACTTTAATGTAAAATACAAAATTAATTTTAATATCACAGATTAGGATGAATTTTGTATTTTACTTTATCCAGAAACTTACCAAAAGCAGATCTCGGTTCGCTCAAATCTACAGTTAATCTTAAATTTGGCAAAGAGGGAGACGGATCCAAATCCCGCCGTTGATCCAAACAGACGAGAAAAAACTTGTTTCTTTGAACACGGCAAGCTTTCAACATTCTTTTTGTTCTTTTTGTTTACACTGCAAAAATAACATTTTATAAAGTATTATTTTTTTAGTGGAAATATTTTAGTTCAAGTGGAATAAAGACAAAACTAACTTACAAGTAACTTTACAGCAAATATAGGAGATTTTTAACAATTAATTCCTTAATATTGATGAAAAAGTGTTTCTTCCACAGTGAAATAATCCACCGGTAAACTAGAACCTTTTCCATCGGTATTAAGAAATTGTTGATTTAACACAAGCTGCTATATCTTGCTGAAAACTTACTTGTAATTTAGTTTTTTTTTAATTATATTAAATATATGCCCTAGAAACTAAACCACAAAAATGACAACCGAGTGCGTTTTATCAAAATACTGCATGTCTAGTTTATTGTGGAACAATTGTTTTTAATATTTTTGTGTTATGAAATAAGAATAAAAAAGTTTTTTTTTGTCAAAACCTAAAACAATCATATTTAAAATAAAAACGTATTTTATGTCCATCAGTTGGTTTTAAACTCAGCATTTGCTCCTTTAAATAAATAATAACTAATAAGTTATTAGTGAGAGCCGGACTTCACAGGATAAAGTCTGAAGTGGGAAATGGGAAGAAAAGGCATTGAGAGCGAAACCAAACCCTGATGGGGTTTGGATCAGGGTTTGGATCAGTGGATCCGTTAGTGGACTTTCCTTTTCCTGGATCGGAAGCGTCTCTGTCTCTGCTTGTACAGATGTCTGAAGTTAACGAAGAGTCCTGCAGACAAAGACGACTTCTGTTACAACTTCTGGAAAATGCTTGAATTTTTTTAGACGTTTTCAAGGTTTGGGAAGAGCTTGATATCCAAACTGCAGTTTTTAATAAAGTAAATTCAAATTTTTGAAAAAAAATAATAATTTGGAAACATTGATTACAGTTGAAACCTTTTGCTCAAAGATAATAAAGAGACGTTGTTCAGATGATCTGAAGACCTTTTTTTTTCTTGTTTTAAGTCAATTTAAATCACCAAAATTATTTCTCTTTGCTAAATGCCAGAAGACTTGAGATTATTTTAGAGCTTTTAAAAGAATTTCAAAACATTTTTACCACTGAAATGATTAATTAGATATGCCAAATTTTGTATCTGATTAATCATCAAAATAATTGATTAATCGTCAAAATAATTGATTAATCGCTAACTAGAATGATGATTATTTGCAGAGTTGGGTAGTAACTAGTTACATTTACTTGAGTAAAATTTCTAGATTTTCCATCACTGGATGAAAAATAAACATGTTTTAAGCAAAGATTCACCAAACTCACACCTGCAGCTTCTGTTAAAGATTTAAAAGTTTCTTATTGTAAAAAACTGATTTTTATTTTTTGTTAGTTATATGAATTATTGTCGTTTTGGTTCTTAAAATACCAAAAGGTCCACTTATCTTTACATTTTGGTGCGTCTGATTATGTAATGTTTAAATATTAAAATGACTTTTTACCAAATACTTTTTACTTGAGTAAAAATGTGTTAAAGTCGCTTTTTGTCAGTATTTCACAGGTAAACATGCATTTCTCACCCAGAAACATGAGGACCAGGTAGAGCTGCAGCGTGTAGGAGAAACTTAAGGAGTGTCCGAGCGCGGAGGGCAGCGGGACGCTGAACAGACGCGTCTCGTCAAAGATGGGCAGGGACTGGATCACAGCCACCGCTGCAAACAACAACAAACTCTCTAAACGACCAAAACCCACCGCTGACGGCGGCTTCAGCAGGTCGGAGGTCACAAACCTTCAGCTACGACCCCCAGCGGGTACAGAGGGATCCACAGGCTGTACCTGAGCCACGTCAGCAGCTTCCAGTCCGTGCCGATGCAGGCCAGCATGTAGAAGGGATATCTGACACGGAAAGAGCTGCTGCTGAAACACACGACCTGCCGAGCCAGCAGAACCCGGGCCGATCCGAACTCACCTGAAGATCTCGATGGAACTCCACAGGTAGAAGACGAAGAACACCACGGCCTTGTTCTGCATCTCGTCCAGGCAGCCGAAGATGACGAACAGAATGACGTTCCTCCCCGCCACCTACAGACCAAATATAGAAATAAAAATGAATGTAGGAAAAATGAAGATCAGAAAAAACTTTAAGGAGTTTCAACAACAGCAGATTCAGCAGAAACACAACCTTTAAACATCTGGTTGGTTCATCTTTCTACCAACTGTAAATGTGAAAATGCTTTCATTTATCAGTCAGTATTAACTAATATGATAAGAGAAACTTTAGATTAATAATAGATTCAAACCTACAGAAACAACTAGCGACTATTTTAGATATTGATTAATCGGTTATTCTGAAAAATATTAAAGATGCCAATAAATGTAGAATTCAATTTGTTTTTAAGTAAGAAAATAATTTCATTTCCTTTGGTGAATGTTTGATCGTTTGTAGTAGAGGTTTCATGTTAGATAAAAAGAAAGAACTTGGAACATCAACATGTGGAAAGATACTTTATAAAATTATTTAACAGAATTTTAACCAGACAGAACATATTTACCCTCAACTTCTTTTAAATAAGAAATGCAAAATGTTTATATTTGTGTAGTTTTGGGTTAATTGCTGCTCTGAATCCCTTTTTCAGATGATATATTCCAGTTAATAAGTAATCAATTAGTTAATTATTTCACTAATTGATTAATGATGATCAATCATTTCAGCCCTACTGGGGTCAGACCTATTTGTTAAATCCAGGTGGGGACAGTCAGTGCACTTCCTGCAGAAAAAGCAGAAAAAACTCCAGCCTCTAGTTTCAGTACCTGGATCATCGCAGGGAAGAATCCGGTTTTAACCAGACCCAGCAAGGGGTTGACGACCTCCAGCACGGCCATCATCTGGCAGAAATACATCATGTCCGCCGTGGTGTGGAAGGTGTCGTAGAACGAGTCTGCGGCGGCCGAGAGACACGAGAACAAACGTGACTGAGCGGCACGTTGCACCTCAAATAACGGTGATCATTTGCAAAACAAATCCCTGCAGCGTTGTTGTTTTCCTGCTTCTATTCAAATGATTCGTTTTGTGAAAAGCTCCTCCAGCCTGCCGGCAGGGCGCTGCGTCCGCTGGACTCCCGCTCCGTTTCATCGCGGCGTGAACCTGATTGTTTGGCTCTCCTTTCAGTTTTTGTGATCCGACACTCGACCAAAATGTCGGTCCAGCATCTAATTACGCGGCCCATAAATTTTAGAAGCGGATAAAGATGCAAACGCTCTTCAAGTGATTCCTGTTTCCTTTTTCTGTCGACAGTTGAAACCAGATATTTGTTTAGACAGTAAATAATGTTTTAACACAAAAGAGTATTAAGACCACTGGAGGAAAAAATAATAATTCTCTTGGTTTTTCTCAGAATTCTGACTTTTTTCTCTCAAAATTCCATCTTTTTTCCAGTTGTTCAGTTTTTTCTGACTTTAATCTCAGAATTTGACTTTTCTCAGTTTTATTTTTATTTATTTATTTTTTAACCATCCCATAATTCAGGCTTATATTTACATGAAAAACCAGACTCTCGATTGGGAATCTCTTCAAATGCTCAGATGCCAAGAGAAAACAAATTGTTTTGTCTTTTAATCCAAAACATCTGATTTCAACCGAATACTAAACACTTAAATTAGATTTTTGGCTGCAGCTAAACCAGATTGTTGCCCAGTGAAAGACGATACATGCATTCAGTGTGATTCTGTTCGATAATGAACAAACCTTGACCGAGGATGAAGAGTCGAACGGTCATGTTGACGAAGATCCAGGAGAATCCCAGGAACTGCACCAGGTTGTACATGAACAAGTATCCCTTCTTCAGGCCGATGTAGGCTGAGGAGGCAGACGGAGAAAAGTTTCCGTCACCCATAAATAAAAAATAAATGTCCATGTTGACAGAAAAGGTCTACAGCAGCAACACTGACGGCAGAAATTAAAACGACTCACGATCTTTACGAACTCTCGACTCCACGCTGATCTTGTTGATTTTCTCCTCCTAAAACAGAAAGTTATTGATCTCCATATTTACAATGTTTACACTTCTCATTGGTCAACAAATGAATGAATGGAAAAGAGGATAACTGGTTCTTGCCTTGGCCTGGAGCTCCATCTCGGCATCCGACTCATCCAACCAGCGGTCGAAGTCCGGAGCCAGAAACAGCGGCTTCTTCTCCCGCAGCGTCAGCCGCTCCCACCATCGCTCGTCCCGCTTACGGATCTTAATGTCCACCTGGCGCTGCGTCAACTTTTGGTGGATCTACAGCAAACCGAAAAAGTTTCACTTCGCTGGGAAACAAATGCAGCGCAGCTTAAAATAAAACATCTATATATAGAATAAAACGTATGAAGCAGTACTTATAAATATTGATTTTTATCACTTTAAATAGGAAAACTAGAGAACTTTTCTCGCATTTTCAAGGAAATTTACAAATAAAAATACAAATGAAATAAAAAGAGTTTCAATTCACTATGATGACATAATGTATTACTATTATTATTATTAATTAATATTCTAGATTCTACAGGAAGGGCAAGGTAAAATAAATATAACAAAATGTTATGTTTTGAAAAGTCTCTCACAGACAGACGTATCTGAACGGGACGAAAGAAAAATCTACACTAAATTTTCTTGCTAAATTTTATGGAATTGAGCAAATGGAAATAATTTTGATGATTCTAAAACAAAAGAAATTTGGTCTGATTTAATTCCAGACCAAATTTTTAAAAAGTACATTGCTGCCAAAAAGCACAGAAATTTTTAGGATAATCTAAAAATCTTTGGAAAATCTTGAAAATGAGTTCCAAAAGTTTCACATTTTTTTCTACAAAATATTTTATATTAAAATACTTTTGATTTTTTAAATAGGCAATTGTTGGACTTAGCAACTCAGAAATTTCCATGTTTTTTATTTTTATTTTGAGATTAATATCAAACAATGTTCTGGAAAAAACATGAAAACATCTGTGTTTTAAAATTCAAATTTTTTTACTTTTGAAATGTTGAAAATTTTAGATAATTTGACATTTTCAGAAATTAATTTAAAACTTTGAGTTTATTTTGGTGGAAATTTACTTTTCCCCCTCTATTACGGCTCTAATATGCTGCAGTAAGTTTCAACTATAAGTAACATTTTCCAAATTTAGACTTTTAATCAAACATTAGACTGAACTTCAGAACAAAACCATGCAGTTTGAATATGAAGCATTTTCAAAAACCTTACAGAGAAATCAAGCACTTCATAAACCTTGAAAACATCAAATCGAAACTCAAGCATTTTCAAAGATTTCAAGCACATATTTGACCTTTTTCTATAAAAAGTCAACAGGTTTGTACATGTAGCTGGTAATTAAGGTCTATAATCAAAGGGTATAAGTATTAAAAGTATAAATCGAAACAATTTTGGTGTTTATTCTGATATAAATAAAAAGTCAAAACCAAAATAAATGAGGACGAAAGTATCAGCACCTCGGGCTTTACAGGTTCCAGGAACTCCAGTCTGAACTCGTACTGGTTATCTCCTTTAGCGCCATGACCCTGAGCTGTGGAGCAGAAACTAAATTTTAACCATTTATAGAATATTTATCTCCAAAGCAGAAGATTTATGAAGGAAGGACAGAAACCTCTGAACTGGAGTGTGTTGTGTCCCTGCAAACTGATATCAACATCCTGGAAAACACAGAAAACTGAAGATTAAAACCAGAAAAATGGACAAAATAACAGGGAGGAGTTTAAATGTAAGCTTTTATTTTCTGAACTGTCTCAGTATTTCACAGAACAAAGTGACTTTCTACTAACCAAACTTACAATGAAGTTTACTTTATACTTAAATGATTATTTTTCTGTTGAACATCGTTTCTTATCTTGACAGGCTTCCAGAAAGAGTCGTGCGGTTGTATTTTACTGTGTTATTTAGGTAAATCGCTGATGTGTGCAGGTTTTCTGGAAGTCTGTTTAAGCTTTAATTAAGCCATTCTTTAAGAAGACTGAACAAGATCCGGAACCGCCATGAAAGGTCTTGCATTTTTTATGAACCTACCATCCAACAGCTGATACAGTATCAGAAGGTTTTGACCTGCAGATCATGAAGAGTCCAAGATTCAAACAAAGAGCCGATCAAAACATATTGACAAGGAACTAAAGTGTTTATTTTAAGACCACATCTTCTGGACCTTAGCTAAGCTAAACTGCAGATAAACATCAAGGAAACACTTTGATGCTTTAGTTAGAATAAGGTTGTTGGATTCACACCAATGTCATGTTATTACATTTAACTGCAGAAAGTCAGGTCAGTACTACATGATGCAATCACGTACTTTTCAGCTTTTTATTGCCAAGTTCTGGGTAAGTAAATCCTGATAAAAGCACTTTTATTGTTACACCTGTAGCTTTCATTACGTGATGAAAATATGAAAACTGGCAGGTAATAAGACAAGTCCAGCACTAGTTTTGCTACTCCAGCGTGCTGACGTCATGCGCACGGACTCTTTAAATCCAGCTAAACCGACACTAGCTAACAAAAGAACTATAAGTCAACAGAAAACAAGATCACATAGAAAACTATAAATGATCCTAATTATTTGAAGTATTAATGGTTATGTTTTAGCAGGGACTTTAACGGCCAGTTGACCCACAGCTAGCGGCTGTTGGGTCGGACCGCCTCACCGAAGCATCGCTCAGTTCCACCCGGAGAAAAATCTCTCCGTGCCGCTGTGCCCAGAAAACCTGCGGAGTCAGGATCTGCATGTCCACGCTTCGATGACTGGTGATTTACACGCCACGAAGAAGCAGAAAATTCATTCAGACTGATCCATGGAAGCCCTCATCGAAGTCTCGGAGCGATAGAATCGACTTCCGGAAACAAATCCTAGACAGATTTCAAAGTAAAAGCGTCTTCTTCCTCTTGGCTTTTAAACAGCTGCCCACATTCAACGTGTTGGGCTGCTGCCATCTGCTGGACTTGCGAGGTTACTTCCATAAAATGGACAGATGAATGGAAATATTTTTCCATATGTAATTTTCTTTTCCAAATGTTCTAATTGATACGTTTGTTTCAATATAGGGTTTAATGAATAACTACATATGTGAATTTTATCTTCTGCTCATAAATCTGTAATGTTTTACTTTTGTGAATATACAGCATGTTTTTCAGCTTTCTTCTTGGTTCTTTTTTCTTCTCCTTAATTTTAGTATTTTATACATTAAAATGATTGATTATTATAAAGTAAAAGTCTAAAATGTAAAACAGCGTTGTTATTAATTTCTGAAATGACTTGAAATTCAATAGCTACAAACACCTGGGGTTCTTGAACACATCACCCTTCATGGTGAAGTTTAAGGATAAGCCCAACTGTTCAGGGTCATTTTAAGGCGGAAACTTCACCTTTTTCGGTTATGGATTGTTGTGACTGTTTGTCCGGTGCCGTTCGGTACCGCCTCTCGGTTACAAAGTGCAACCCTCCCGGAAGATCAGAAACCAGTTTTACGTGAAGGTTCGCAAAAGGACATTTTCCCGAGGAGCATAAGCTGCTGAAGCTTTGACTTTGTCCCTGTTTGAGACATTTGTAGGAAGAGCTGCTGGAGTTCGTTTTGAGGTGTTTAAACAGTTTCCTGTAGGATGAAACGGGGAGGTGAACCGACCGGAACTCAGGGTTCCTCCACGACCAACACCGCAGAGCAATCAAAGAAAATGAGGGTCATTTACGTCGTGTATATAATTGTTTCTTTGGATATAACCTGGATGTTTTTACAGTTCTCCGTCACACCAGTAAGTGATTTCTCTCCTGTAACCGAGTGGGAAACTCACATTTCCGTGATCTCCTTGAAACGCGCACGACTCGGCGCTGGTAAATCCTGCATAAAAAGCTTTAAAGTTTTATCTAATTGGTACAAGAATTACAGAGGTAGTGTAAATTTATAAGTTGATCTTATTTAATTTGATGGAAATAATTACAAAAGTATTATATTATACATTTCCTGTCACTGGAAAAAGTACAAAAAGTACATTTTACATGTCTCTTAGTTCGCTTGAATCAAATCTTTAAAAATAATTTAGAATACTATGTATTAGTTTAAATCAACCCAAATTATATTTTTTCGTGTGCAGATTAGACAGATTTTATTGTAAACACTTAAATTCGTCTCATTCTGCGTTGTGCAGATTCATTTGGACTTTGGCTGCTTTTTCACGCTTTCTGGTATTTGTACCCGTTGCACAAATAGTGACATATTTCTCTTAATTTTAGCTGATTTTTTAAAATTATTAACAAAATATCTTCCAGTTAAGTTTAAGTGTGCTCTACAAAGAGGTTATTGATCTCAAAGACCAATAAATAAATATGGTGTCAAAAAACAATATTATTGTTTGATGCAATAATTACTGTGATAATTTATCCTCTAGCAAAATTTGATACTGTGACAGATCTTGTCATTTATTTAGAAAGACAATTTCCTTCTCTTTGGTTTAGGATTGGGAAAATAAGTTAAAAAAAGAAAAGAGAAAACACAAAGCCAATACTTTAATAAATAAATAAATGCAAAGACAAAGTTCTTCTTTGCAAAAATAAAATAAAATAAATTGCTTCTTCTTTTGCAAATAACTTAACTTGCTTGTTCCTTTTTGCTTGAGATTTAATTCAAGTTTATCTTAACTGTAAAATACTTTTTGGAACTCAACCCTCCATGTGTCAGTCCATCCCTCATTTTGTGTTGTTCTATTACAAAACATCCCTGTGCAAACATTAAAGTTTATGGTGACAAAAGGAAAATGTGTTGTACTAACAGAATATCTGTTTTATTTTCTATATTTTAACTCTCATTATATCTCCACAGTATTTAGCAAAGAAACTTGGATTTGACACGTTGTGGTTTGGTTATTTGCAAACTACAGTTGGATTGATTCAGCTTATTGGAGGCCCCATGTTTGGGAGGTAGGTTTGAAGTATTAAAATGGCTGCCTATATTTTCATATTTTTTAATTTAGATTATTCTTTTGGCAGGTTCGGGGATCTTTTCGGGGCCCGTGCAGCTTTGTCTCTGGCTTGTGCAGCAACCACAGTTTCCTTTCTGCTTCTGGCCGTCGCTAACCATCCCGTCCTGCTGTTCGTCCACAAACTACCTACAGTATTTATGCATGTCTTGCCTGGTTAGCATCACAAATTAGCCACAAAAAACTGGCTTAAAACAGATCAATTAATTGTTTTAGACTTGTAATTTTCACTATTCTGTCTGCAGCATGCCAGATGGTTGTTACAGATCTCTCAGAGCCAGAGAAACGGGCTGAGGCTTTGTCCAAACTGGGTCTGTGTTTTGGTATCGGGATGATCGCTGGATCCACATTGGGGGGAAACATAAGCACACGCTATGGGTGAGCATCACTAGCTGCGTTTCCATTACAAGAGTGCGCAAATCCTTGTCGGTATTTCCCAAATCTAAAAAAAAAGAAGAGAATTTTGCATTTGCAGTGTTTCCATTAATTAAGATATGAATAAATTTGTTCACGTCATCAAAAACATGCAGCGCTATTATCACTTCCACCTCTTCTTCTTTTATGGCAATTAAGAGTTCGTCGCACTGCTGGTGTGAAGTCAGCTTTAATGAAACTCTTTAAAGACGTTCTTATTACAGCTTCAGTTTCCCTGACACCAACACCACCGTCGAACTAAAACACAACGTAAACTTAGTGAGATGGTGTCAAGAATACAATATCGATATAAAAATAACATAAAACATATAAACATACCTCGCTGGCTAACCCTTCCTTTTGAGGTAGAAATGAGGTCATTCAGTAAATTCTTACACTTAAATCATGCTTCTTCATCTGCTTGCCAACGCGATGCTGTTATATCGCAAGCGTCTCTGGTAACCTGGTAACCAGACGCTTCTACATCTACTTCCTACCTTAAACCTTCAAAATAAGAGTCTTAACAAAAAACTATAAATAATACAAAATAAAATCTGTAAATTAAAACTTTGGCAGTAAAACTCCCACCAAATCACAAACCTATGGTGATTTCAAATAACATACAACATTAAATAGGAATATATTTACATTTTAACATTTACTCTGCTTCCAGTAACAACACAGTTTTATGAACTGGTCTATCAAGATACACTGGCTTGACAGTCCTTTTTCCATCCTTATCCAAGGTCGAGTCACTTAGTAACAGCTTCACCTTCCTGATCCTTCCATCTGCGCTTGTATATACTTCTGTTACTCTTGCCAGTTTCCACTTGTTCCTTGGAGAATTGTCCTCTTGAAGAATAACAATGTCGTTTACCTTTGCATTCCTCTTGTTTCTTTGACTAGTTTTATTGCTTCTGCTTCTGATGTAACACTTACAAGTCCATCATCTACATAAAAGTTTCTTTGAATGAACTTTACTGTGTCTGGAGAGAACTTTCCCTCACCTTGTGTGGCTAGATGTTTTAAACCAAAATTGGCACAACCAGGTGAAGAAGCTGCACCCAAACAGGTGAACCTTCATGCGAAAGACCGAGGGGGGAACACTTAAATCACCATGCTCCCACCATAAGAAGCGTAAATAATCCTGGTCTTGAGGTGTTACATGGAACTGATGAAACATACGCTCCACATCGCACATTACAGCCACTGAGCCTTTCCTGAACCTACAGAGTACTCCCACCAAAGTGTTTGTGAGGTCAGGCCCTGTAAGCAGGTGTTCATTCAGCGAAGTGTCTTGATAGTGTGCAGAGCAGTCAAAAACAACACGGATCTTGCCAGGCTTTTGAGGGTGGTATACCCCATGATGGGGAATATACCAGGCAGGGGAATTACAGATTTCCTTCTCCGGTATTTTCTCTGCATCACCACGTGCAATAATGTCCTCCATGAACCTTGCATAATCTGAGTAGTACCTTTGATCCCTTATGAATCTGCGTTTGAGACTGCTTAAACGTTGCATTGCACTTGACATGTTGTTGGGAAGATTTGGTCTGTCACTTTTGAAAGGCAGAGGCATTTCATAATGTCCATCTTGCTTTTGTTTGATTCCTTCTTGCAGCTTTCTTAGGAAGCAGACATCTTCTTGTGAAATGCTTGTTTCTTCCACTGCTCTCTCTGTAAAATCTAATTCAAGTGCTTTGATTACATCTGGACCTGTTACTTCTTTCATCTGTGTCTTGCAGATGTAATGAACTTTATTCTTTAGCTTTGTGGTTGGCTCAGTCTCTGGTATTACTTGCTTTACAGTGATGCGATGACTTACTCCAATTACATCGCTGCCTGCATCACACAAATCACAGTAACTTATGATGCTCCAACCCAAATCTGTTTTCTGGCATAAGGCTGGTTTTCTTCACCACATATGACTTCTCTGGGCATTAAAGCTTGTGTGCAATTATAGCCTAACAGGAGTCCTATCTCACAGTCCAATAGTGGAGCAATGTGTTCAGTGAGATGTTCCAAATGTGGCCATGACCTTGCTGTGTCTGGAGTAGGAATATGGCTACGATTGACAGGTATAAAATCACGTGTGTAAGCAACTGGCACAGTGAGTTTCTTTTTGGAAAACAATCCTCTTATTTGCAGAGCTTCAAGTTTTGTACATGCTACAGTTGTTTTCTTGGATGACATTGTAGATAATTTGAGATTAACCTGGGTTTTAGCTGTGTCCAGGTTGTTTGCTACTTCATTAAGAATAAAAGACGAATCACTCTGTGTGTCCAGCAGAGCATAGGTAAGTATTTCTTTGTGTGGCTCATTTTGTGTGGATACATAGACAGGTACTATTGCAGATGTCTGTGTGTTTCTACTTTCATGAGTCACTCTGTTAGATGTACTTTCATTAACTTTCGTTGTTTCTTGTGATTGTGTTACCTGTTCCTGGGTTTCCTTCCCTTCAGCTACTTCTTGTTCTTTAGGTTGTTCTTTCTTTGTCTCGTGTCTTTGTCTTTCTTCGTGCAGACATGTGGGATGTTGTTTTGAGCATGTGTTGCATGTCATCCGATTGCTGCAGTTCTTGGAGAAGTGACCACTGTTTAAACAGCCAAAACATAGTTTTTCACCTTGAATGAACTTGACTCTCTCAGTGACTGGTTTCTCAGTGAACTTACGACATTTGTGTAAGCTGTGTCCTGCTCTTTTACAAAATACACAAGAGATCATGCTTCTTTCTCTGGAGTTAGTTGTGAAGATGTTCGCTGTATTTTGCTTCTTATGAATGGGTGTAAGTAGAGACTTGGTCTTTGGTTTGTCAAAGTCACTTTGTCTTATAGCTTCATATGATGTAATGGGATTACATGCAATACTTGCCTCCATTGACAGGAATGTTACAAAGTAACTGAAACGTGGGAACTGTCTGTGCTCTAACTGATACTCTGTAGCCTTTCGGTTCCATCTGTTGCTTAACCAGTCTGGCAGTTTAGCAGCAAGTCTTTGATTCTCTATTGCATCATTGAGGATGTTCAGGTTCTCATTGGTAATCATTGCAGATTGACAGCTTTGTAAGAAATCCACAAACTTTCTTAACTCTGCACTGTTTTTACCTTGGAGCTTTGGCCATGTGTGCAACTTGTCCCTAAAGGCTTTTGCAATAACAAAAGGCTCTCCATAACGATCATTGAGCATATTCCATGCTGCCATATAAGAATCTTCAAAGCCAATCAGAAAATAGCCTTCTAAGGCTTCTTTAACACTCCCACCTACATACTTCTGTAAGAAAAATATCTTTTCTGCAATGGGAATGTTCTTTCTCTCTATTAGAGTCTGAAACGATGCCTTCCAATGTTTAAACTTAAGTGGATCCCCACTAAATATTGAAGGCTCTGGAATTGGTAGCCTGTTAGCTGACATAGCTTCTGCCAAAACTTTTACAAGCTCACCTGTGCTCTCGTGAACGACATTTAACTGTGGTGGTTGATTGGCAGTGTTCTTCATCTCAGTTACCTGTATGTTTGCAGGATTCGGAGTGATTCTTTCTTGCTTTACTAAAAAGTAGTCTTCTTCATAAACTTGTAATTTTGCCTTTGCTGCATTGAGTCCTTTCAGATTTTCCAGTCTTTCAATTTCTCTTTTTAAGTCCTCAACTGATCTTTTCCTTGCAGCACTTTCTTCTTGTTGTCTCTTTATCACAGCCGCCTTCTCCTTTTCTCTTTTTAACTTGCGTTCTGTTTCCTCTCTTTCCTCTTGATGGCGTTGTGACATCGCAGCAGCTTCTTGTTCTGCAGTTCTGAGTTTGTCTTCTTCTTCTATGGTTTGGATTTTTTCTCTAAATTTCTCTTGTTCAGCCATTATCTTAAGCACAGCCTTTGTGGCTTCATACTCTGCTGCAGCTTCTTGTCTTTTGACAGAGGAGCCATTAGAGATAACTGTACTGGGTTTAAAATGACTATGAACTGAGACACTACTTGAGCTAGAAGATGTAAATATAGAACTGGCATCAGGCCAAACAATCTCCTCCTTATTTGTTCCCTCAACGTGGCACTGGATGTTTTGCAAAACTAACTTAGTCACTGATGTACATTTCTCTAATTTGGAACGCATATCATGAGGTGGTCCATCTATTGCTCTGTATTGATCATAAATATCATTAAGAGCGGCTAGTTCTCTTTGCACAATGTCCATGTGACCTTCAAGAATGTCAAATGGATCTCCTCTGATAACAGATTTTTTAGCAACTTTAATTAATGCTTTCCATCTGTCATAGGTACTTTCAAAGTGACGCTGCAGCCCCTTTAGTTTTTCTTTATGAAATTCTTTTCCTTTTTCCGTTAACATGCGAGATCTTTCACTTCTACGTAGTTCTTCTTGCCCAGGTTGCTCTAAAGAGGTTCCATCTACTTGCTCTGCTTCGGCAGCTTGTTCTGCACTGGCAACCTCTATTTCTGTTTCATTTGTTTCCAACATTTTACTTTACTTGAAATCTTATGGACTTCTTAATTGGTCAAAATTTCCTTTTAATTTAACTTAGATTAACTCTGAGCTTCGTTGCATTACTTCCCTTCTCGTTACTTTGTTGCGCTCTTGTTGTCAGGCTTCACACGGTTCCTTGTTGTTACTCCTTCCTTGTGTCACTTTCCAAACATGAACTTAAATGTCTGGCTTCTGGACGTCTTTATGAAGAAGCAACCGTTGAACGTGTGTCCGTTAACATTTGCAACTGACCGATCTTGATGCCCGTTAATATTGTCAACTGTCCAATCTTCGTGCCCGTTAACATTTGCAACTGACCGGTCATCGATGCGACGATGGGAAAATCGTGCAGCTCCGAGTTCGACTATCACTTCCACCTCTTCTTCTTTTATGGCAATTAAGAGTTCGTCGCACTGCTGGTGTGAAGTCAGCTTTAATGAAACTCTTTAAAGACGTTCTTATTACAGCTTCAGTTTCCCTGACACCAACACCACCGTCGAACTAAAACACAACGTAAACTTAGTGAGATGGTGTCAAGAATACAATATCGATATAAAAATAACATAAAACATATAAACATACCTCGCTGGCTAACCCTTCCTTTTGAGGTAGAAATGAGGTCATTCAGTAAATTCTTACACTTAAATCATGCTTCTTCATCTGCTTGCCAACGCGATGCTGTTATATCGCAAGCGTCTCTGGTAACCTGGTAACCAGACGCTTCTACATCTACTTCCTACCTTAAACCTTCAAAATAAGAGTCTTAACAAAAAACTATAAATAATACAAAATAAAATCTGTAAATTAAAACTTTGGCAGTAAAAGCTATTATCCCCTCTACTTCCTGTTCTCTTCTTTGTCTTTTCCAGCAGAAGTAACATCCGGTTGTTGATCATGTGACTATAGTGTAATGTGAAAAAATGTTTCCAATGCAGTTTTGTGAGCTCCATCTATTTTTATATGGCCAAAAACCCCCACTTCATCCTAGCACAAAAACATTTTATAGAAAAACAAGTTTTTTGAAATTGGCATGTTTCCATGTAGCAAATTTTATATTTGAAATGTCAACTTGTATGGCCAATATGGCCAATGGGAACACAGATAGAGGGTAATACATGGATCCTGGCATCATTTCTGGAAATGTTTCTGCGTTATCTTGTTTTCTACAGGGAGACGTTTGCAGCCTGTGTTGGTGCTGCAGGGAGTGCCTTCAGTTTGCTGCTGGTTTTAAACTTCATACCAAAGTCTACTAAATCCGAGGCCTCTAGAAGCGCCGCTAAATGTAAGAATACTTTCTGTTCATAGCCGACTCTGAATCTGTAAAATGGTGTTGCATTCAAGTTCATTGCATGAAAACAATTGCCAAAAAACCATATGTTCTCAATTAAGCCAGTCACAATCAGCAATTAATCAATTAATTGCATGATAAATTGAGTTTGATCATTTCCATTCTGATTAATATATTTTTGACATATTCCATTTTATAATTTTTTTTTTGCAAATTTTTTTTAAATTTTATTTCAGTTTTTTTAATTTATTACTTATGGTGGTTGTGTTTTCTTTATGTCTCAAACTTCCAGTGTAAAGGAATGCTTAGTTCTCATGTGACGTCACATTTGGAACTCACAACCATCAAGGAAGGCAGTTGCTATTACAACTGAAACCACCAGCTCTCGCCTCCTTCCTGACTTATAACTAGTATCGTACATCACAACGATAACGCGATCACAAGTTTCGATTACTTTACCCACCTCTGTGTGAAACTAAGATCAATATCAGTGATATTTATTGTAGTACTTGCTGCCGAGCTAGCTAAACTAGCTTGGCTAATGTAGCTTTGATCTGCTAGCTAACACGTAGCCTACATGTATGTTACTACAAGCTCTGACTCTGCCAGTCATCAGAACCTTGTTATTCACACGTAGAGTTCGGCCGTCCGTTACGAATCCGTTTCAATATTGATTGAATGATTGATTGATTGGGTCGTTCAGACTGCGGTGAAAAAACCGTTTAGTTCACATCCGGTCACAAAATCCGCTGGTCACGGATTACGGTGCAACACCTCGACAGAGAGATTTTTCTTGTTTGTCTTTAATGTAGCACTTTATTTCGAACACATAACATTACATAGAAGGTATTTAACACAATGTCAAATATCAGAATACACTAATAAAAATATAAACACCGGAACTGGCGGGTCTTGCTCACGTGACGTCACGTTACCGTAACCTTGATTACCGAGGCAACGAGAGAATTTAAAAGCTATGAAAGTTGGTGTCGCGTAGCAAAAATAAATATAACATGGAGGTCTTAAAAAATCTGAAAGTTAAAGTTCAAGGTAAGCGTATAAGACAGGGAATTTTCCTTTCGCCTTATCAGCACCATGTTTTGTCACACATCCTTCCCCAAGTGGACCGGGAACTCGCTCAGATGCAGAACAAAAACATAACTCTGGAAAAGGAAAAGACGGAGCTGCTGAAAAAGGTTGAGCATCTGGTCATTGACACAAACACACAGAAGACCGACCATGAAAAAGTCGCCAAAGTTCTCCAAAACCGAGAGATCCTCCGGGCCCAGCTGGCGCAGTGGAAAATTCAGGTGGAGGAGATGGCCAGGAAGATATGGTTACAAGAAAAAGACTTGAAAAAGGAGCGCAGGAAAAATGAGCTCCTCATCCAAGAGCTGGAGTTGGTGAAGAAAGAGTTGCAGTTTGTGAAACAACAAGCGGTCAATCAGAGAGGCGAGCAGCAAACCGTGAAAGACCAACTGGAGTACTTCATCAAAGAGAGAGACATCCTTTCCAGCCAGTTGATCAACCTTCAAAACGAGTGTTCAGATCTGCGAGGGATGATCAACTTCCAGCAATCCAACCTTACCCGGATGAAGAACGAAAACGTGGAGGAGAAGCGCCAGATCCAACTGCTGAGGCAGGAGAACCAAAAGCTGGAGAGGGAGAGGAGCTTCTTCGTTAATGAAGTGGAGGAGATGAAACAGGAATTCCACAGGTTTGAGGAACAGTGGACGGAGAAGAGGAAGCTGGAGAAAAGTTTGAGTCAACGCTCTTTGGAAAACCTGGCAACGGCAAGAACCTCAATAATCCAACAGAAATCAAAATGGAAACCCAAACAAATGCCTCCAGAGTACATGCAGCTAGAGCTGATCAAACTGGCTAAAGAGCTGAAAAGGAGTCAAAGATTGGCAGAAGAGCTGAAGAAAAACCTGAAACATCTCTCTCTGCAGCACCAGCAGAGCCAAGCGGCGCTCAGGCTGCACAAAGAAAAGCTGCGGGCCGTCATACTGCAGCGGAACGCCATCCAAACCGAGATGGAGTACATGAAGTATGAAATTATGACCATCCAGAAGGACAAGCTCAGGGACAAATTCAAGAACTGGGCGCTGAAAAGGAGCAAGATGATGAAAATGTCATGTGAAAGCAGATCCAGCTCTGCACTGCCAGATATGACCTACAGGTGCCAGCCTCCGTGGAACCCAACTTAGTCATCACTAGGAAGAAAATATAACAATAAACAAGGTGCTATCAGATAAAAGCTTGTTTTTTATGTTTAAAAAATGAGTCAAATATGCAATGCTGAAAATCAAAACGACTAAAATAATACTTTATTGATCAGAAAGGGAAATTAAATAAAAAACAAAATACAAACACACTACAATGGCGTGTTAGAGCAATTCATATGGAAAAGATGAGTACATTGCTGCCAAAAAGACATTTTCAGATTAATCTTAGACATTTCCTAGAAAACGAAAACATGGACATTTGAGTCTGAAAACTTGGATATTTGCATTAAAAAATCTGAAATTTTCAGATTAATCTCAGAATGTTGGGGGCTTTGAAAAATCTAAAATATGTTAGAAAAACACAATTTTAAATGATCCCAGAATTTCTAGAATTTTGAAAAGTTGAAAATATTATACTTTTGAATTTCATTCCACGTCTCTTCTACAAAATTTGAGTTTTTCCTAGATTTTTCAAACTCAAAAAGTTCCATGTCTTCCAGAAAATTTTGGAGATCAAATATATCTGGGACTTTTCTAACAAATTTTCAACTTTTCGAACGCAGAAATTACTTTTTTGGAAGAAAATTTTAGATATTAATCTAAAAGTTTGAGTTTTTTGTTGCAAATTGTCCAATTTTAAACTGTTCTCTTTAGGTTAGGGTTTTCTTTTCTTTTAAAAAACATAGAAGCTGAAAATTAGGTTTACATTTTTTTTTATTTATAATCTCAGACCATAGGTTGGAGCTTTATGCAGAATTATTTCCATCTTTTAGTGTATTTCTAATATTATATTTTAAAAAGCGATTAAATGAAAAAAGTCAGCAATTTGTCATTTTTACGTGATTAGTAGTCAGAATAATCCATTAAGATAATTGTTAGCTGCAGCCCTATTAAAAAGAGTTTTTATTGGAAATTTGTTTTATTCTAATTTCTTTATAGATTTTGAACACAGTATTTTTATGTGGCTAGTATTTTTATGTGGCTATCTGATAACAAGGAAACTATTTATGAAGCAAACATTGATGAGTTTTTCTTGGACTTTCCAACAGCTGAGAACCAAAATAAGAAGGTGTTCAGTTTGGGAGAGATCACAAGACTGATGAGGTTTCCAGGCGTCACAAGAATTTTTATGATCAAAATTATCTCAGGTTTGCCATCAGGTAAGAATTATCTGCAATACAATTAATGCACATTTTAACACATAATAAAATGCATATATATTTAGCATAAAAACAGCAAAAGATTGAAGTAAATTCCTCATTTACATGTAATGCTAAAAGAAGTTATACTTCAAATATCTAAATTTGAAGTATAACTTAAAATTTACATATTTGTAAATTTATAAACTACAATTATAGTAGTTTATTTCTCCTCAGGAAATCCTTAAATTTAATTTTGTGTTCCTTAGGCATATTTCAGGTGATGTTCTCCATCATTGCAATGGATTTCTTCAAGCTTGAAGCTCAGCAGAATGGCTACCTGATGGCGTACTTTGGCATCGTTCAAATGGTGAGATTGAAATACTCAGACTTGGGTAGTAACTAGTTACATTTACTTGAGTAACCTTTGGGGTTAAACGTACCGTTAGGAGTATTTTTACTGCTTTCTACTTTTCAGTAATTTCATTTTGAAGTGTTGCTATTCTTCCTTGAGTCAAATGTCTGGATTCTCTACTCACTAGGTGCGTTTCCATTATAAATGTGCACAAAACTTTGGCAGTTATCCACTAATGTCGAACATAACCATAATTTTGCAATTGCAAAATGAAATAAACACAATTAAAATCATGTGAATACGTTTGTTCATGTAACAAGTCATTAAAAAACAGCCCCCAACCACTTCCTGTCTTCTTAGTTTCCACCAGTAGTAGCAACCAGTTGTTGATCATGTGACTCGTGATGCGAAAAAAGTGTTTCCATTGCATTTTTGAAAATACTCAAACTTTAATGAGTATTAAAGTTTGATTAGGCCAAAAAACCCCACTTTAACAGAACAAAAACTTAAGAGACGAAAAAGTTTTAAAAAATTGCTGCGCTTCCATTAAGCAAATTTATTTTCATAAATTAGATTTGTGCAATTTCATGGTCAATGAAAACACAGCTAAGGTTGCAGTAATTAATGCGATTAAAGAAGATCTTGCTTGGACATTAGTCTATTAATCCCGGAAATGTTCCTCAGGTGATAGAAGACTGACTTTGAAACCGTCTTACATGCAGTATAAGATTCCCACTGATAATTTGGAGCTTAATTGTTGAAATTGTCGTGTTTCTCCAGGTTGTTCAGGGAGGAGTGATCGGTAGACTCACGTCCAGATTTCCTGAGAAATCTCTTCTTCTTCTGTCCATTGGAGTTACTGCAGCTGTGGGTCTGGCTCAGGTGAACATAAACTCACACAGACTGGCAAGATGATACCGGATGATGCTTCAGGAAGCTTTGAAATGTTTGTTTTATGAATTTGTGTTTCTTCTTTCCTTCCAGGCCTACATGCAGACAGTTTTCCACCTCTGCCTCACCGTCACGCCGTGGATGTTTTCTCTCAGCGTTTTTAACGTCATCACCGACAGCATGCTCACCAAAAGCGTCCCGTCCTCTGACACAGGTGACTTTATCCAGATTCTCCTTTTGTGGTATTCATGGAAACGCCAGACTCTTAGCGAGACGCTGATAAAAAACCCCAAAAACATCAGGAACACCAGGAACCTTCATCAAAAATAAATCATATGGAGCTCTGGTGGTGCCAAGAAAAAATTTAGAACATATTTTGGTGATTTTATTTTTCTAAATTTTTTTTTTTTAGGAAAATATTCCTAAATTTATATGATAATTGTTATTTTATTTACATTATATTTAAAAAAAACATTGAATTCAAGGCAAATATAGCAATTTCTTATTTTATTACAATTAGATAAAAAAATATATTTTAAAAATAATTTATTATAATTGGATAAGAACCACCCGCGGAGGGTGAGAAGGGAATTTTTATATCTATATCTATATATATCTATAGATATCTATATATAAGAATAATACTAGATAATTCTGGTGAGGCAAAGCTGCTATATTCAAAGTTTGTAATTGCTGAAAAAAATCTAGATTTGGGTGTGTGATTTTAAACACCCTTCAGAAAACCCTGTGGGTTTAATGATGATTCTCTGAGTAACTTTCTGATTGCTGTTGTTTGTTTCCCAGGAACGATGCTGGGTCTGTGCGCCTCCGTTCAGTCGCTGGTCCGGACAATCGGACCGACCATCGGCGGTTTCCTGTACATGAACTACGGCCTCGCCTCCATAGGTCTAATTGAGTTTTTTGTGAATATTGTCGTGTTTCTTTACCTGCTATATCAACATCTCAGCAACACTGAGAAGCAGAAGGAATGAAGAGGCAATTTTATTTTTATACTATTATAGAACTACAAAACTGAAATGTTTAGTCGTCATTTGCAAAATGCTGCTGTAATTTTACATTCCAGTTCGTCGAGATTTAAATGCATGACTGTTGTTCAGGTGGAAACCACTAGATGGCAGCAAAATGTCTGGATTATTCAAAGATGTTTCTGTTGATCAGATTTTCATTCTCAGCTTTTTTTAAATCATGATTTTATGTATGAACAAAGAATTCCAACTTTTTACCTTTTAGATTTGCAAAAAAGATTTGCAAAAGTATTTTAATGCAGTATTGTATCACACAATTATAACTTCAAACTACAAGAAGTGATGTTTGTAGCATTTCTTGGTTGCTGTAAATGTAAGTTTAAAAAAACATTTTATTAAGCATTGAACCAGTCTGGTGATTTTTGGATTTATGCATTATAAAGATCAAAGATTGATTATTTTAAAAGTTTCTGACTACTGTAAACTGTCTAAACATGGTAAATTTACTTCTGAGAAATATAATCGCTTTGAATTTCTATTGGCAAACGACAAGGGCTGAAACAATTAATTGGGATTACTTGATAAATGACGTAATCATCAACTATTTTAATAATTGATTAATTGTTAACTAGAGTATACAGATTCAAAAAAAGCAATTTATTAGGAAAATAAACACATTCAGAACAGTAATAAACCCAAAACTGTACAAAAAATACATACATTTTGAATTTAAAGAAATCCTGTTATTGGATTTTAGGCAAAACAAGAACAAAAAGGATCTTTTAATGCATTTCTATCATTGGATGAAAAGGTATTTGTGGTTGAATGAAAATATGTAAAATGTGCTATTTGTTTTTTATCCGATTGTCAGAATAATTGATTACTAAAATAATTTGCAGTTGTTTGTTGACCTATTAGGTATTTTTTCCAAAAAAAAGTGTCTCTCACAATTGAACATTTTGTATGTTTAATTCAATCAAGTTCATATCCGACTAGTTAATTGTTGTGAATTCCAGATTTTCTTTGAATGGGAATAATGAAAACATGATGCAGAAAAGCCATGCGGAAATTAGACCAGGATTTTACTGCTGCAAAGTAACAGAGCTGACAACCCCCGTCAAAATTCCTAATTTGAAAAAACAATAAGCATTTAATCACTCTCTCTATTGTTTCTATTCATGTCTTTGCATTTTCAGCTGCATCCGGCTGCCAAGTCGCAGCTTGTTGAAGTGATGTCATAAAATGTGAAGCAGGTGTTTTCTTTGTCCGCCACAAAGCACTTTGTTTTTCAAATATTACATCCAACAACCCCCAGATAAAACGATCATATTGTAACTAGGAGGTTAAACTCATTATCTTACAGGCTTTTCTCTAAGCAGATGCAACTGGTGATTTCTGTGCCAATTTGACCAAAGACAGCAGGCCGGGCAGCAGTTTTTGGCATTCAGATACTATGCTGGAGTTGCAGACTTAGTTTATTATGTCGTATAACATTCAGATTCAGAAAATGCAATCCTAATTATAAAAAACAAATATATATTATTGGTTTAATCAGTTTTCAACTTTCTGATCAAAGGAAACACAGCTACTTAAATGAGCTGTGAGCTGATTTGAAGGGTCTCATTATCTTCATTTCCATTACAAAGGTGTGCAAAACTTTGTTGATATTCCGCTAATGTCAACAAAACAACTTCATGAATGCTTTGTTTCCATTAGATAAAAAACGCGATTAAAATCACAAGAGAATAAGACTTTTCACGTGATTACTCATTAAACAACATCCCATGACTCTCCAACCACTTCCTGTCGTCTTCTTTATCATTTCCTCCAGTACAAATATCCGGTTGTTGATCATGTGATCTGTGTGATGCGAGAAGTGTTTCCATTGCAGTTCTGCGAAATACACCAATTTCAACATGGCTCAAAAACTTCATTGGAAAAGGTAGGTATTTTCCAATGTAATGGAAGTATTATAGGTATTCAATATTGGTGTGATTCCATTAAGCAAACCTATTTTTGTAATTTCAGTTGTGTAATTTTGTGGTGTCTGACAGACTCTGATGAGCTGCGGGCGGATTCGAAGGGTGCACTGTCCCTGTAACCCCAGCAGTGGAGTGGGGGGGCGGCCCTGACTGCCGTGGGGTGCCTTGTTACACGTGGCCCTTTGAGTCAGTGGGAACAGGAACAATGGTGCTGTTAACACTCCTGACGGGGACCTTTTGGTCCTCTGAAAGTTTAATGTGACTCTGCGAGCGACCTGCGCTTGCTGAGGTCAGAGATGAGCTCCGTCCGTGTCGCTCTGTGGCTGCCTTGTGGAAACTAAACGCCAGTGGGGGGGTCCTCCAGCGCTGGGCCTGTTTTGTCCCCTGCGGCATGGATAATGAGGCATCTGTCTCCACCTTCCTCATAGCGAGATGAGGCTCACTGTCTCTCTTTGAAAGAGCACAGGTTATCTATCTGATTTAACCACGGCAGGCCAGGCATATGATCTGAAGCAGAGGAGCCTTGAGTCTAAATGTTTTATACCGTGGCTTTCTTATGGTTGTTTGCAGAGCTCCACACGGCGCAGGAACACTTCGCTCAGCGTCTCCTTAAGTGCATCCAGGAAATTAACAAACAGATCAATCAAATATGAGGAACTCAACTACAACACAGTGTTTCAGACAATGGAAATGACAGCTTCTGAATCGACTAATTGATCATTGAAATTACTGTCAACTAATTTAGTAATTGAGTAAAGGTAAATGGTGCATATAGACAAAAAAAAGTACACTGGCACAAAAAGTATACAATTTGCATACAACTGAAAAAGTCTTTGTTTGCATGTTTGTTATACCAAGAAATGCTTAAGAAACCCTGGCTCACATTCTGTGGAAAAACAAAAAAACTGCAAATAAATCACCTTTTCCTGTCCAATTATTAACCAGTTAATACAAAAAATACTCAATCTATCAGCCCTACGCTGTGTTGTACGATGGAGTATTACGGCTACTGTAAGAAAATAAAGTCATAGAATTACAAGAATAAAGTCAAAATAATACAAGAATAAACCTGTAATAACATGAACATAAATTTATATTTTCAGAATAAAATAATAAAACCAGAATAAATATTATGACTATTCTCACATTTTATTTATGTTAACATTATTCTTGTACATCTTTATTCTCATAATTTTATTTTTATTTTCTTACCGTATCAGAAAGTTTTTCAAAAGTACTTTTTAGCTGCAGATGTATTCTTTGCTACAAATAGACAATCACTAAAGGAATGCAATGTTGAAGCATTATTTTGCTATTTAAGAAGAAATTTAACTTGGTTTTTGTGACTATTTTAATGTATTTATAATAGTTAATCCAACTGATTAACTGTAAGAATAATTGACAAGTAAAGATCTTGCAGCCCTACTCTATTGCACACATTTGTAATTAATTTTTCTGTTTATTGGTTGAAATTTGGCACTGAAAATAATTCAAACTTGGCGTAAAATCACCTCGACATCCCCAGCAGGTCGTTGTACCTCGTGGAGTCGGCCCCAGGAGCGAAAGGCGATCTTCCAGGGGTTTTGTCTTGGTGTAATCGGACAGAGACATCATCTATCAAGAGAGGGGGAATTACTGCTGGTTAACAAAGGGAGATAAGATAATGAGTGGGCAGGCAGAGACCCAGTGAAGCGCAGCTCGAGTTCCCATCCTGATTACATGGCAGCAACCAACTCCAAGGTGAAGAAACGGAAAGGAAAAAGCTCAGTAAGCTTCAGGGTTTAATTGCTAGCATCTTAAGTCAGCTTTTGATTTTTAATTTTTTAATGAGAACAACAAGTCAGGATTGCAATCGCAGCTGAAATTGTCTAAAAAGCTTTAAAGGTGATCTATAGTGTAAAATTCATTTTTTTCACATTTTCATTCTTCAATTTGGGTCTCAACTTTACAAAATCCTTCTTAGATAATGACTCAGTTCTGCCCGTTTAATCTTCCTTCAGAAAGAGCTGTTTTAGAGCATCTTGTAACCTTAAATCCAAATAGGTTGCTGCTGGCCCTCCCCTCTCAACTTATACACGTGCATGTAAAAATGGTTGCCAAAAAATCTGCAACTATACAACCGTACATCTTTGAAAAGCATTAGTAGAGCCTCCTGCTCAACCAACAAGAATGCAGTAAGCAGTTTGTGAGTGGTAAGTTAATAAGAAAACCCTTGTCTTTTCCAGCTGCCACTGTACAGCACATGCAGCAGAAAACCTGCTTACCAAAATGCTGGAATTTTGCGGGGGTTGCTAGGTAACAGATGGAACTCTGCTGTGGTTGCTGGGAAACGGCAGTCGTGACTAAAAAATTGGGAGGTTTATGAAACGGCTCCTTTTCCAGACACCGACACCAAAAAGACAGATCAGTATTTTTATTTTTAAGTTCCCTGCACTGCTTATAGAAACAGTAGAAACCCAAATGGATGTACAAAAATATAAATTTTGCATAACTTTTTTTTTTTTTTTAACATCTTGCTTTTACCACACAGACATTTGGACATTTCTCAGTTGGGGAGGTTCCTAAATAATTCAAGCTCATCCAGTAAAACATTTGTTTATTGGCATTCACAGAGCCTGAAAAACATATCCTGAATGTGAGTCTCACGTGTGGAAACTCCTCACACGTTGTGTCGACCTGCGTCACAGGAGACGTGCTGACCTCTCCCCCGTGTGGAGCGCACTCAGTCCTGTGATAGTGGCTCTGAGCCCCATGAGGCTCGGTCTGACCGACACGCTCAGCCCTCACTCTCACTCCCTGACATGTGCCAGAGCTCGCTAATCCTCCACTGACGCCGCGCTGCAGCATCATACCGGAAAACAGGACAATAAATGACCACCGTGCTGACCTCAGACGGCTGCCGGTCCTCACCGGATCAGACAGGCTCGTACCCTCTGGAGGCCATGTCTGTTTACTACGACAGGACTTCCCAAACTTTACCATGTCTTCCCCCCTAAAGAGCTTTAACTCCCTTAGCAAACCTACAGACAATACTACAAAATATGTAAACAAACAGCTAGACCTGTCACAATAACAAACATTGATGGAAATAAATTGTCCCAGAAGTAATTGCTTTAAACAATAATTTTGTTGTTTTGAGAATATTTTCAGATAATATACGGAATAATAATGTGAGAACAGAAACTAAAAGATCAATAAACTTTAAATTCTACTGAAAATTTAACACTGAAACTGGAAGACATTTTAAATATCCAAAATAAATAAACAACCAGGAACAAATCTAATTAATTATGAAGTTTCTATAAACAAAGGAGTCCTTTAAAAAAGCACAAGACTGAAAAGAGAGAATCAATCCATCCATCCATTGCTTTCTGTGACAGGCCTACAACTTTTAGAATGTTTTTTATTCACTTCAACAATTATTAAATTGATTTAGCATAAATGCTGCCTCATATTGTCTTGTTCTAGTTGGCTGTGAGATCTGTGGTGAAATTGATCAGATTATATATTTTGATTGTATTCCTAAATACAATCAATAATTTGTCATCACAATCCCCTCTTTGTATTATAAGACAATATAATATTAATCACAACAAATATTTTAGTCACACAGTTCCTATATTTTTGGCAGCAGTGGGAGTTCTTTGACTTTTCTTCTTGTCAGAAACTTTTACTTTTGTTGCTTGCTTGAAAAGTAGCAGTATGATAAATTTGACAGGTAGCCAATCAGAAGATTAGTATCAGAGATAACAATTAAATCAATTATTTTAATTTATATTTAATTTAAAAAATTGAATAAAAGCAAACAAAAACTAAACATAAAAAAATATACAGGATTTTTTTTTTTGGGAATATTTTTTCTCATCTTCCTCCAACTTTGAGACCCTCACAGCGCCCCCTGGAGGCCCCACTTTGAAAAACATTGGACTTCACCATTGAGTAAACAGAGCGTTAGCTAACTGTCTCATGGAGCATCAGTGAGGTTTCTTTATGATTTTAATGCTGCTGCAGGATGATGACAGTTGGGGATTTTGCTATCTGAAGATAATATTAAAAATGAGGAGGTGGCTATTGCTTTAATTACAGATGAGCCGATTAGACAACAATGCGGTGCATTAAAGGCGGGAAAAAGCATCTGTTTGAACTGAGCCGTAAGCTTCGCATTTTGTTTGCATTAGTCATCCAGACAGAACAGCATCTGTGTCATTCAGAAATAAATCTGACCATTATTGGTCAGATTACACATTATTGGTCAGATTACACATTATTGGTCAGTTTACACAGAACACCATAATTATTACATTCAATAAATTTAACTTTAACTGGGTTGCAGGATTTGGGTCAAGCATCTGGGGGGCTCCAGTTTGAGTCCAATATCAAACTGGATCAAACAATAATGAGGCAAAACTTGGATACGTTCAGTGAAATTCATAAATATGCAATGGTTCAACATTTTAATGAAGTAGACCCCCTCCCCCCACACACACACACACCTTCTTCAAATGTTACAATGTTGGGGAGAAAAATTTTACTGATTTCTGCAGGAAAAAATTATTTTGTCTCGCTACCACTTTAAAGATAATAAGTTTCCAAAGGTCAGCAGAGGTCACATTTACAATTTTTTTCAAAAGCAGTATTTGTGTTGTAGGGCTACAATTGCTTTGTTGTGCAACCACAGGCATGTCAAAATGAAAATAAAAAGAAGTAATAAATCATTATTATGACTCATAGTTTTACCTTGTTCTATGCTTGACTTGTCTGGACTGTTGGATGCATTTTTTCATTTGGTTAATCATCAGCCAGATTTTCCCTAAGGCTGTTCTTCCTGCTCTTAAACAGGGAAGCTGGATGGATCAACAAAGGAAGGTGAAAGCTGATTGGCTGCAGCCTCTCTGCACCGACACGTGATTTACGGGAAAGAGCTCAACCCTGTTTCAGTTTTCAGGAAGTGAATCTCACAATCAGTGTGACTGAGAGCAGAAATGGAGCAGAATCAGATTGACCCAGAAACTTTCTCCTGTTTGATCTGTCTGGATCTACTGAAGGATCCGGTGACTACTTCCTGTGGACACAGCCACTGTATGAACTGTATTAAAAGCCATTGGGATGGAGAGGATCAGAAGAGGATATACACCTGCCCTCAATGCAGGGAGACATTCACACCGAGGCCTGTGCTAAAGAAGAACACCATGCTAGCAGTTTTAGTAGAGCAGCTGAAGAAGACTGGACTCCAAGCTGCTCCTGCTGACCACTGCTATGCTGGACATGAAGATGTGGCCTGTGATTCCTGCACTGGAAGAAAACTGAAAGCCATCAAGTCCTGCTTATTCTGTGTGGCCTCTTACTGTAAGAAACACCTTCAGCCTCATTACGATTCAGCTGCTTTTAAGAAACACAAGCTGATGGAGCCGTCCAAGAACCTCCAGGAGAACATCTGCTCTAAGCATGATAAGTTATTGGAGATCTTCTGCCGCACTGATCAGAAGTGTATCTGTTATCTCTGCACCATGGATGAACATAAAGGTCATGACACAGTCTCAGCTGCTGTGGAAAGGACTGAGAGGCAGAGAGAGCTGGAGGAGAGACGAGGAAACATCCATCAGAGAATCCAGGACAGAGAGAAAGATGTGAAGCTGCTTCAACAGGAGGTGGAGGCCATCAATCGCTCTGCTGATAAAACAGTGGAGGACAGTGAGAAGATCTTCACTGAGCTGATCCGTCTCCTCCACAAAAGAAGCTCTGATGTGAAGCAGCAGATCAGATCCAAGCAGGAAACTGAAGTGAGTCGAGTCAAAGATCTTCAGGAGAAGCTGCAGCAGGAGATCACTGAGCTGAAGAGGAAAGATGCTGAGCTGAAGCAGCTCTCACACACAGAGGATCACAGCCAGTTTCTCCTAACTACCCCTCACTGCCAGCACTCAGTGAGTCCACACACTCATCCAGCATCAAGATCCGTCCTCTGAGACACTTTGAGGACGTGACAGCAGCTGTGTCAGAGCTCAGAGACAAACTACAGAACGTCCTGAGAGACTCATGGACAAACATCTCTCTGATGGTCACTGCGGTGGATGTTCTACTGCCAGAACCAGAACCAAAGACCAGAGCTGGATTCTTAAAATATTCATGTGAAATCACTCTGGATCTAAACACAGTACACACAGAGCTGGGACTATCAGAGGGGAACAGGAAGGTGACATTGATGAATCAATGTCAGCCTTATTCTAATCATCCAGACAGATTCACTGTTTATTATCAGGTTCTGAGTAGAGAGACTCTAACTGGACGATGTTACTGGGAAGTGGAGAGGAGCAGGTTTCAGGTTCGTATAGCAGTCGCTTACAAGTCTATCAGCAGAGCAGGATGGGAGAATGAATGTGGACTTGGATTTAATGACAAATCTTGGGCATTACAATGTTCCCAAAACAGTTTTAAATTTGGTCACAAAAACATCTGGACCCCCGTCTCAGGCCCAGTTTCCTCCAGAATCGGAGTGTATCTGGATCACAAAGCAGGTATTCTGTCCTTCTACAGCGTCTCTGAAACCATGACTCTGATCCACAGAGTCCAGACCAGATTCACTGAACCGCTACTGGCTGGAGTTTCTGTTGGTCATACGACTAGAGACTCTGTGGAGTTCTGTAAACTCAGATAGATTTCCCCTCTTTTCTCTGAATGGTGATCAGGGTTTATTGTTCTGATGTCTTGGCTCTGCTGTTCTTTATTTGTCCAGTTTAAATGTAGCTCCCTGTGCTCCAGAATCTATCAAGTTGCTGATGTTTTCTTTAATTCTGTTTTGACAGAAAAATTTCTACACGTGAGAATCTAAATTTGCTTAGGCTTTTATAGTTTTTCCTTAATATTTGTATTGCTTCATTTTGATATTCACTACAAAAACACAAAATCTTACCAAATATCTAGTTTATTTTAAAGTGCTAATATCTTATTGTACTTAAAAAAGACTAAACTAATTTACAAGTAACTTTTCAGTTCTTTCTGGTTCATGAAGATAACCACTGCTGATGTTTTCTTTCATTATGTGACAGAAATGTTCCTACAAATAAAAATCTGAACTTGTCTGGACTCAGATAATTGTGCTTTAATATATTTATTGGCTTATTTTGATGTTTGCTCCAAAAATACAAAATCTTACCAAGTATTTTTGGTCTAGATTTTAGTGCAAATATCTTAGTGCACTTCAAATAAGACAAAACTAAATTATAAGCAACTTTTCAGATATAGGAGCAAGATTATGACACATCTAATGTTTACTGGAACAACAGGAACAACAATCTGACAAGAATAAAAATGGATTACATCCCCACAAACTGTCCATATTGTTGGGATTGTTAGTTGTTGTTTTTTCCACTGTTTTTTTCATTGAATGTCTCAACAATTATCAATAAAATTGAAAAAAATAATAATTACATTAGTGTGTGCAGCCTAGAGATACAAATCACACGTCATATGATTGGTGTCCTAAAGAAAGCTGTAACAACTTTTTCAAGAGCAGTATTGTGTTTGTGGCACTATAATTTCTGTGCCTTCCTGTCAATGTAGGTGAAAGGTCATTTCCAAGTAGATTAGCAGTTATGAGATGTTGTAAAACTGGTATACCCTTTAAAACTTAACCATCCTTCGAACTTGATTTTTGGTGTTTATGATGTTTGTTCCCAAATTAACCTTTAATCTCAGTATATTTTTACTGTACCAGTCATAAAAAAACCTTCAAGATAAAAGTTTTCTTTTTTCAGTGTCCTTTGATAAGAAACAGGCCTGTTCTCCACACGTCTGTGATATTTACTCAGGCGATTGATTCCCTCACTTTGATTATCACAGCTTTTGGGTGGCAGATGGTGGGGTTGCTAATAATCCCAGCTGCCCACTGGACTGACCCTTTGAACTCCTGCCCGTCTAACACACCGCGCACCCTCACCAAAATCTTAACGAGCTAGCTAAGCTGCATGGCCAAAGAGCTGCTTTAAACTGGTGAGTAATGGCTGTGTCAGCAGTCAGAAGATGAGCCCCATGGTGGGAGGAGGGTAAACGGCGGGGGGTATTACAGCCCAGCTACAGCTAAAAGGCCGCCATTGTTAATGAAAAGATACAGTAAACATGGTAGAAAATGTTACTGTACAGTCCTACCAACCACAAGCTAGCATACGTCGCTTACCAACAGGAATAGCTTCCCTTGCATAGGTTTATCACAATAAATCAATTACATGGTAACCTAAAACAAGTTCTCTTTTTACCAATGACTAGATGACAAAAGTCTTTAGTTTGGTGCTTCGGTCTAAATTGCCATTAAAAAAATGGCAATTGATGTTTACAGACTTCATAATTCATTCTTCTCACTTATTGCTTTTGTTGATTAGTTTATTTATTTGGGATATTTAAAATTTCTTCCAGTTCCAGTGTAAAAAGTTCATTAGAACTCAAGTTTATTTGAGAAGGTGTTCTTGCTTTATTATGAAATCACCATTATTTTTTGTTGAAAACATCGTTGTTAGTGTTTGTCACAATAATTTATCATGCAGTAATATTTGTTATCATGACAGACTACTGTAGGAGAGGGGCTGGGTGTGCAAATACAAAATTAACAACTTTTGAATGATTTAGAAGCCTATTTAATTAATGTTTTTAATCATTTTATGATAGATTTAATTAATTAGTGGAAGATTTACACATATGTACTTCAGGATGAATTTATTCATTCCATTTCTCATACCTTACCTTCCATACAATGGAAACACTAACAGGTGTCTTGAGATATTCTCCAGAAAACAAATTCCAAGTTCTAGTTTTCTAGTTATTAGGATATTTCACAGCAGTTCACAGTCAGTAAAACCAGCGGTGGGATTGTTTGTGTTGTTCTTGAACTCTTGTTTATTTAACTCAACCAAGAATATCTGCAAATCTCTGTCACGGTTATTCTGTTGGTTGGAGCCAACAGGATTACGGCTTTCAATAACAGACCATTCAGAAAATATAACACTATGTCTATTCATGCAGATGCTTAGATTATGTTTTAGTTTCCAAAAATGAAACAATAGTCATTTCAGTTACCTCATTTGCTGTAATCTTCTTGCTTCCTCTGTGTTTCTACAGGGGGTTTAATCTCATCTAAAGTCATCTGACCTAATCCCAGTAGCAGCAACAGCGGCGACAGTCGAGCCAAATTAGTTCTTTGACTGATAGCCATCTGTCAGACACATCTATTAATTAGTTCATATTTACTTGAAAGGAATTCTAGACAGGTGAGGAGAAGATGAGAGGTTCAGAGTTTGCTTTTGGTCAGTTATTGGAAAGTGAATACAAAACTTCCCTTTTAATCCAGATATTTCTACTGATGCAAGGCTTCAGATATGGGGCCAGTAGAAATCAGACTGCATGTTGGATGGAAAAATGCATGTATCAAATGAATTAACTTGTAAAATGAATCTACACAAAAGACCAATCAATTTCTCTCTACAAAAACATGAATGTTTACAATGGAAATTCAGTTTGATCTGAAAAAAAGAGACTTGAATCCAGCCTTTCTTTAATGAAGGCTGCCTAGATTTGGTATGAGTATAGCAAATCATGACAGAAAGTTTCCACAAGGCAGAAAAGGAAGTAAGTCAACCCAGAAAAGCATAATCTTAATAGACTACCAGTAAATAGCATTACATAACATTTTTAAAGGCTTTTCCTGCGCTTTGGGAGAACCAATTAAGAATGCCAGTGCATTAGGGCCACTGTAAATAGACACACACACAAAAAAATCAATTTTCACCAAAATAACTCAGAAATGTAAGATTAATTTCAGAAATGTTCTACAATAAAAATTTTGACATTTGAACATTTGCACAAAATTTTCCAGTAAGATTTTTTTCCAACCTTCAAACGTTTTTTTTTACTTTTCAAACTCAAAAATATCCTTTTCGAAATTTTCTGAGATTAAGCTCAACATTTCTGAGTTTTTCTGGAAATTTACTCCTTTCTATCTACAATGGCTGTGCTAATTCAGTTTCTAGCAACAGGATATCTTGTGAAAAGAGTCAACATTTGTGTTTGCTGAGTGAAATCGTTACGTTTCATACTCTGTGTAAATAAATAAAATCTATAAAGGCATTTTTACACCATTTGTTCAAAACGCTATTGACTAACAGTTTATTTTTAGAAACATTTGAAAATGTCCTTACCGCTAACCGCTAGCTGCTTGTTTCCTGTGGATGTTATCCAGCCACGTTTCCGTCGCACGATGCGTGATGTCACGTTTCAAAGTTTGCTCACCTTAACGGGACGCAATGAAAACTTATGTTTACTGTTTAATCGATTTTGTTTTTGCATCTATGAATCCAACAATATCCAACAATCGTCGTTCTCTAACCTGCGACCAAGGAAGGGGAATACAACCAAGATGGCGACCGAGTACCCGGATGTCCGGCTGTGACATCATGTGGAAACGAAAAGGCATACTCGGAGGCAGTGCCATTGTAGATAGAAATAAAAAGAAGAGTGAAATTACAACAAAAAACATTTTTATATTAATCTAAAACATTTTCTATAAAAAAAAAACTTGGAAATTTTGGAGTTTCAAACATTAAAAATGTACAAAATTTTGACTTTTTTTCTTGCAAATTTTTGACTTTTGGAGCTCAAAATTTTCCTTCTTTTCTAGAAAATTTCTGAAATTAATCTTGAAATTTCACAGACTTTTGGTGGAAACATACTCATCTTTTGTATCTACAATGGTACCCTTTTGTACGCTTCTCTTACCTGTGATCAATAAAATTGAAAGCTGCAAGATGAGTGCCCAGAATTGTGACGTCATGCAGAAACCTTTTTTTTTCTTTCAACAATGAATGTTTAGAAACATATTTAGGTTTTTCACCAAGGATCTTCTTGATTAATTCACTTGTGTAAATGTATTATGGACTTGCAACTTATCTATGGCATACTCTTATTCTTACCCATAACTACTGGAGGTATTTATTGTGTGGTCTCATTTTTGTTATTTGAGATATTCTGTTTGCTTAGATTGCATTTCTTCAACTTAATAAAGCATTGATACAAAAATATGATAACCTTTCTGTATTTTCCTTTTCTACGCTGTGGGCTGTGTTAACAAGTCTGAAAAATTAACTGTGTAAGATATCACAACTGTATATTTGAGACATTGCAGATAAAAAAAAGATAAATATGTTTCTGCTCAAAAACAATTTGAAGATTAATCTCAAAAATTTTGTTGAAAAATACTTGGAATTTTCTAATTTTGAAGAGTCACAAACTTTGGAGTTTTGGACATTTCCAAGCTTTTACATGTACATCCTGTACATTTCTAGAATTAATCTAAAAATTTCAGAGTTTTTTTTCTGGAAAATGTTTCACTTTTTTAGCTCAGAATTTCCTTGTTTTTTCTAGAAAATCTCTTAGATCAATATAAACAATTTCTGAACTTTTTGATGTAAATGTATTCCTTTTTTCTATCTATGCCATCATGTGTGAGTAAGAACAGTGTAGATTCATATATTTGCAGATGGGTTTTTTTTCCTGGAAGGGTGAAAAGAAAAATACAATGTGCAAAATTAGGTCAGTTGTGTTATTTTATTAAATATTTTTGACTATTAAAAAATTTATACATCATTTCTATAGCAAACAACCAACACAGTTGAAAATTTTTTTCTTAACTAATTTTTTTATTGTTAAAGTTGTGAAGAGTAATCATGTAATTTTTCTAAATGTTTTTCTTCTTCTAAATTCAGGGCTTTTGTAAATTTTTGAAGTGTATTAATTTTTTTTCCAGGTTGCAGAAAATCCAAAATTAGTAATCCAGATGATCCACCAGATTTAACATTTGAAAATATATTTTTCCTAGTAATCTATCTTCACTGAAGCAGACATAAGTCTCCCACTTCAATAAAAGTGTTTTGTTAGAATTCAAGCTGGACTAATTAAAGCCAAAACAACAATAAATGCCCTGTACAAACTATTAGCAGCAGCAGCAGTTGGCTGCTAAGTGCTTGTGGATCTCCTAAACAAACTGTAAGGCTCTGAGCTGCATCAAGAGGCTCAGCTGAGCTCCAATCTGACATTTATCTCTTCGGGCCGTTCTGCTGATGGCAGCACGACGTCGCTTTAGGAAGCAGCTGTTTACTGTCAGAGATCTAGGTCAGGGCAGACAAAAAGATGTGGATGTACAGAGAAACTCTTAGCAACTATTTTTGTCTGGTTTCTAGTGAAAATATCTTAGAACACTTAAAATTAAGACAAAACTAACTTACAGTCAATAAGTTGAGAAAATAGTAATTCCAGTAGCAGATTATTTCACTTATGACAAGCCATTTCTCCCATGTTTTAAGGGAAATAATCTGAAACACACTCATCTGTCCTCAAACCCAAATTACCAAAACCTCGAAACTTTGTAAAGTACATACATTTTTCTCTAATGGTATCAAGAATGCACATTTTGTTTCTGGTAACCTTCCTTTGGTTGCTCTGGAAACATCCTGTACAGCTATTGCTACATTGGTGAGCCCATCTGTTATATTTATGTTGTGTTTAGGGCATCTTGTCCCTTTACATCCAAATTCACTGCTGCTGGCCACGCCCCCCAGGTTTGGCTGGAGTTGCCAGGTAACATCGCAGTGCCTGTTGAATATGACTTTATATTCCAGAGATATTTGAAACAGCTCATTTTCCAGACACCAAAACATACCTGGGTGTTTCTTTTTAATCTCTTGGTATGTTTTCAGAAGCAATTGAGACCCAAATGGACGTACAAAAACATGCAAATATGAATTTTGCATAACAGTTCCCCATAAAAATTTGTACTATTTACTTATACCATAGAAACAAAAAGTTTATTTGCAGATTATTCTACTGAGCATTTTCATAGATGGTGATGATGGTGAGGATAAAGAACAGCTACCAGATCTTTCCACCTGACACACAGGTAAGAGGCTCAGCAGCCACAGTCAGATCCCAAAGGCAGCTTTATCACACTGTTATATAACACTCACACTGATGTGAGGCTGATGTGAGGATGCAGCCACACTGCCATCGTCAGCACTGGCCAGATCAGATTTAACCTCCCTTTCAAACCCTCCCCTCACTCCTCCTTGAGTTTCCTTCATGATCCATGGTGACAATCCTCTGTATATGTGTGTGTGTGTGTGTGTGTGTGTGTGTGTGTGTGTGTGTTATCCTCTTTCATATGAGGCCGGTGAGGTTACAGAGTGTGAAGCGGGTGATGTAATGTGTAAACAATAGATGTGATAACAGGAGGTATGAGAGTTAATTCATAACTGTGCGGTCAAACAGAAACATCAAGCACTTAAACAAACAAACAATAAAAACACTCAGCCATTCTTTGGCGAGAAGTTAGTGATTTTTGGTGTCTGAAAAATGAGTCGTTTTGAAAACTTCCAGAATGCGACATCACATTCCACTGGCGATTTGCTGTCACCAGGCAACCCAAGCAAAGCCCAACCCATTACCTAGCAACCCCTGTGAAGCTCCAGCATGTTTGGTCAGCTGTTTTTATCACTGTATGAAAAAGACAAGTATTTTTGTTGGAGAAATTGTGATATTATTCATCAAATATTCGTTATCCTCATATAATCTTATAGTATTAACTTTCTTTTATGCCTTTATTAATTGATCTCATTATAGAATTAAGAATGTTTCCAGTATTATTGATTTACTCTGATTCCTTTCTCAGGCCTCACTGATGAAAAGCAGAGACAATAGTCTTCCTGCAGGGGTTATTTCTTGGTGGAAGAGCTCTGCTTCGTTTGAGTTGTTGGATTGCTACAAAACTGTCACTGTGAAGATTGACTACATATTCTGTTTAGCTTTGTGCCTGGAAGGAGATTAGTGCAGAATAATTGTGTGTTAGTTAGTGAATGACATTTGGCGCTGTAGCGGTGTGATGAGTTGTTTCCCCTCCCTTTAGAGCTACAGCGTCCTTTTGATTAGGGATCCTGAAAACAATAAAAAGAGAGGAGCAGACAAATGTGCTTCAGAGCGGTAGGAGATTGTAACTGAAAGCACATCTCTATCTGTTCTCCTCGCGAGTAAACAAGAATCTAACTCTTTTGTCTTTCCTGTCTTTGTTAATGTTTGTTTAGTAGGAGTTCCCCCTACCAGTTTTGTTGTTAAGTTACCATTGCTGCTTTCTTATTTGTTGTGTAGGAGGTTCCACTTTTGCTTCTCAATGTTTGCATCTGTTTTCATTGTGCACATTTTCATTGTGCATGGGTAAACATTGAGTTTGGGGGGTGAGGCTATTTACTGTGACAAATATGGTCTTAATACATTGGGCGCCTTTAACACATAATGGGTAAATACATTTATTGAAAATTATGTCAGCACCTCTTTTAATTCTCAGTCCTGAGGCTGTAAGTGACATTTGCAGTTGTGAAGCATAATTGCAAAACATAATTCAAACCAGTTAGGAGGACTATCTTCAAATCTTACCAGTGCAATGTTTTACTGGTTTAATCAGTCTGCAAACAGTTCTGAAGAAGAAAATCTCAAAAATATGCCAGCATCCTTTACTTCTTAAACATTTATATTTTTTCAAAAACCTTCAGGTTGTCCTGCTGACATTAACCCTATGTGTTTTTAAAGAGGTTTCTGCTTTGACTGGAACATTAGGCTTTGCTCTAACGCTTGCTGTAACATTTTTAGACATGCAATTGTAAATCCACTGGTAACTATCTCTCCCTTTCCACAAATTTAGAACCAGTTCATTCAAAAATGTTGAAGAAAATTGTTTATACCCAACTGAACAATGTTTTTTTTAGGTGCCCTTCTTTCCTATGGGGTTCCTCAGTTCTTGGTCCTCTTCTTTTTTTTCCTCTATACTTTCTCTGTTTGGTATCCAATCTAGAAAACATTCCACTGCTATTCAAAGGAAGACTTCTTTTTAGCTTCAGTGAAATAAAAAAAAGGTTATTTTAGTAACAGTTAACTTTAGTTGCCTTTAGTCAAACATCCAACAGCAAGCGACAAACATGCAAGAAACTGTGGGTTCAGATTATAAACTGAACAAATAAATTAGCTCAGTTTTGCAGAACCGTTTCTTCCAGCTAAGCAAGATTTTAAGATGTCTGGGATTTTAGATCAGTTTGTTCCTTTTATGTTTTAGCTTACGTAATTTTGAAACAGTTTGGTTCTCTATTTTTGGTTTGACTAAAGATCTTCACAATTCATTCAACAAGTTTGGTTCTGTCTTGACTCGTTGTTCGTTGGACATTTCTCTTGACCATCAGATTGGAAAGTAGAGTTATCTGGAGATAAAATATTGTCTCACTAAATGAATTAGGTAGATTCTAGAATACATGAAACACCAAGCAAAGGGTTTCATCAGAGGTGTAGTAATGGACAGAGATGCATATGGTCTCTCTGAACCTGTGCTGAACGTCTCATCAGTGATTCATTAACGTCGTTACATAACTCGGATCTTCTAATCATTCTTTGAATCCTAATATTAGACTGCTCCCATGCTAATCTATTTGTCTTGGCCTAATCTATGGCCTGCTCATGTAAGCAAGTCTTCACCTAAAACTTGATGGCGTCACTGTGTACTGCAGCTTATAATTATTATGTAAACAGTTGATATTGGCTCTGCCTGGAGGCTGCAGTCGGTCACACAGTCTTCTTCTGAATACAGAGACCAGATCTGACTCAGGTTGCTATGATGGCTTTACTTTAACACAATACAGACAGAATAAATGATGGTAAACCTGGTGCACAGTGGGATTTTTGATTTAAAGAAAATCTTCCCAAAAATTCCCGGTGACAAAGTTTCACTATGTCACACATTTCAGACATTCCCTAGCCAGAAGTCTGAAATATGTTACTCCGCAATAGAAGAATAAGTGATTTGCAACAAATTGAACTGAGAGGGCATTTTTCAAGAGTTTTTTTGTTGTTTGTTTTTTCAAAACACAAAAGCAGAAATCAACTGCGACAATAATTTTAAAGATAAATTAAAAACAAACAGTAACAATTTTGAAGACACATATAAATCCACCTATACCATCAATTCGATAGTTTAATATTTTCAGTAGAAATGACCAACCAACATAATGGAACTTGGCGCGCGAGAGCCTGACTGCTCCTGGTGGCGTACGTGACAGATTGCACGCTTCTGCGCATCTCCATAGTAACGGGCTCGCGAGCTTGGTTGTTGTCTGGTTGGACGTCGAACTGAACTCAGTCCGTAAGCTTGTTCTTTTAGTCCAAATACATTTTATTCTATACACAACTGTGTTGTTTCTCACCATCTGTAAGTCTTACTTAACAATTCAACAACCTTTGGAAATTTTACTCTGTCCTGTATTGTACCATTTAAAACTCTTGTAGCTAACGCCTAATTCACACGACAAAATTTTAGGTTCATTTTATGTATTGGGGCCTGCCATAGCAATGCATAGCAAAGCATTGAAATGACTTGTGAAGTCTGTAGATTCATTCGGTGTGTTTAGCACACTGCATAGAGCAATTTAAAGAAAGACTAGATGATGCTCCACATGCCACTGACAGAATTTATGCTAACATTAGCATTTTGGCTAATTTGAGATTACACTAGTTTTTATTGAATGGAGTAAATTCATGTTATTTTTTAAAGTTATTTTTATCCCAATTTTCCCTTTCTTAATTATGCTCCTATTGTCTGTGTGGTATAGTCTGTTTGTTCAGAAGGATGTCAGGACCACTCTGACCCAAAGAAAGGGAGATTCAACATGCTGGATTGTCCATGTCGCGACTTGTGTGGCGATCTCAGAGGAGCAACCTATAATAATCACAAAATGAGCCTCAAGTCTGAAAACATAATAAGGTAACGGACTAAATTTCCTATTTATGTGGGAAGTGTTAGCATCTTTTGTGTGTGTTTTTTTCTGTTGAGGACTGATACACTGGTGGAGTTGTTTTGGTTTCTGTCAATCCTGTGTCCATCCAACAAAATATTGTCCTTACAGTCAGTTTCATCACTATCATAAAGAGGAGAGCCCTCATCTTGGATGGAGGGAACAGATCGAATATATGTCCTTAACAAAATCATCCAAAACAGCAGAAGATTGAACATTTATGAAGTTGAAATTAATATTTAGACCAATCAAATATCAACACATGATGTTTAGTACTGACACCTCACATTTGCTATCGAGAATCTTTGATTTTAATAAACAATAAACCAATAAAGGTTCCAGCTCATAAAAGATTTAAATGAACCACCAGTGCTTTATGTTTAAATTAATCTTAATTATTCATGAAGAAGTAAAGTCATGCAGTTATAAGATGGTTAGTCTAGTTTAACCTAAAACAGGGATTCCCAATCAGTCGATCGCAACCACTCATTGATCAGGAGACAAATTGAACGCCACCAGGAGGTTGAGACAAAATCATTCAGGGGCGGACTGGACCATTTTCTAGGCCAAAAACGTAATCTTAAAGCTAAATTTAATCCACTTTTAATAAAGTCAGATTTGTTGCTCTTGTTGACCTCATAGTCATTATGTTTACATAAGTGCTTTACATTGTGAAAACGTAAAAGACATCATAAACACAATATAGAGTCAACAGTTGTGAAAACCATTAACAAACCTTACATTTTGATTAGTGCCAACTTTGAAATCATCAAAATATATCAAATATGTTGATAAATGTTTCATTGATTATGGTTCAAAAAGCACCACTAAATAGCAGAGTTTTCAGTGTAATATTCAAGAAACTAAGTGTTTTGTCTGTTTTACAATTTTCTGGAAGTTTGATCCCATTCAGAAGCTGAGTGTTGCTTCGCCATGTTTGGTTCTAAAGTTGATAAGAAGGCCAACTTTGTAACCATCTTTATGTGGCACTTTACGTTCTGGTCAGAGTTTATCACCACGCCCAGATTTCAGCCTGATCTCTAGTTTCCAGCTTTAATAACTGAAGCTGTGCGCTGACTCTAGATCGTTCATCTTTTGATTCAAGGATAACTTCAGTTTTGTTTCTGTTCAGCTGGAAAACGTTACAGCACATCCATTCATTGATGGAAGAAAAAAGCATCAATTTTAAGTTGATGTTGTTTGCAGTTTTCCTCTATCTATAACATTTAAAAGAGAAAATTAAGTTCAGTTAATTTAAGTATCAACTGATTTCTGCAGGAGAATATTCTCATCCACGAGGATGTTCTCTCCTGGAGAACATCCAAATACATCAATATAAATACAAATATTAAAGCAAAAACCATTAGAAAGCAAAGACGTTCAGATTTTCATGTGGAAAAATATTTATGGCATATAATAATGAAAGAAAACATCAGCAGTGATTTCCTTTATGGCTTCTGGACACGAAAGATCTACATTTAAACCAAAAACTGAAGAACAGAATGGCAGAGCAGAGAAACATTAGAACAAGAACAATGAACCCTGATCAGTAAGCAAAGAGAAAATCTATCTAGATTTACGGAACTCTGCAGAGCCTAACCCAAACTCCAGCCGGTAACGGCTGAGTGAATCTGGTCTGGACTCTGGAGGAGAATCATGGTTTCAAAGACGCTGCAGAAGGACAGAATACCTGCTCTGTAATCCAGATACACTCCGACTCTGGAGGAAACTAGACCTGAGATGGGAATCCAGATGTTGTTATGACCAAAACTAAAACTGTTTTGGGAACAAATCAATGCCCACAATTTGCCATTACATCCTGAAAAACATTCCGTCCCATTGATTTGACTGACGTTTCTTCATCCGTGTCACCTTCTTGTTCCCTTCTGATGGTTCCAATCGTTTGTTTACTGTATTTGGACCAGGAGCGATTTCACATGAATATTTTAAGAATCCACCTCTGCTCTTTGGTTCTAGGTCTGGTTGTAAATCTTCCACATCATTCATCATCAGTGAGATGTTTATCCATGAGTCTCTCAGGACGTTCTGTAGTTTGTCTCTGAGCTCTGACACAGCTGCTGTCACGTCCTCAAAGTGTCTCAGAGGACGGATGCGGATGCTGGATGAGTGTGTGGACTCACTGAGTGCTGGCACTGAGGGGTAGTTGAGGAGAAACTGGCTGTGATCCTCTGTGTGTGAGAGCTGCTCCAGCTCAGCGTCTTTCCTCTTCAGCTCAGTGATCTCCTGCTCCAGTTTCTCCTGAACATCATTGACTCGACTCACTTCAGTTTCCTGCTTGGATCTGATCTGCTGCTTCACCTCAGACTTTCTTTTCTTGAGGAGACGGATCAGCTCAGTGAAGATCTTCTCACTGTCCTCCACTGTTTTATCAGCAGAGTGATTGATGGCCTCCACCTCCTGTTGAAGCAGCTTCACATCTTTCTCTCTGTCCTGGATTCTCTGATGGATGTTTCCTCGTCTCTCCTCCAGCTCTCTCTGCCTCTCAGTCCTTTCCACAGCAGCTGAGACTGTGTCATGACTTTTATGTTCATCCATGGTGCAGAGATAACAGATACACTTCTGATCAGTGCGGCAGAAGATCTCCAATAACTTATCATGCTTAGAGCAGATGTTCTCCTGGAGGTTCTTGGACGGCTCCACCAGCTTGTGTTTCTTAAAAGCAGCTGAATCATAATGAGGCTGAAGGTGTTTCTCACAGAAAGAGGCCAGACAGACTAAGCATGACTTGATGGCCTTCAGTTTTCTTCCAGTGCAGGAATCACAGGCCACATCTTCATGTCCAGCATAGCAGTGGTCAGCAGGAGCAGGTTGGAGTCCAGTCTTCTTCAGCTGCTCTACTAAAGCTGCTAGCATGGTGTTCTTCTTTAGCACAGGTCGCTGTATGAATGTCTCTCTGCACTGAGGGCAGCTGTATATCCTCTTCTGATCCTCTTCATCCCAGTGGCTTTTAATACAGTTCATACAGTGGCTGTGTCCACAGGAAGTAGTCACCGGATCCTTCAGTAGATCCAGACAGATCAAACAGGAGAAAGTTTCTCGGTCGAACTGGTTCTGCTCCATTTCTGTTTTCAGTCACACTGACTGTGTGAGTTTCATTTCCTGAAAACAGAAACCAGTTTGAGCTTTTATCTGTAAATCACGTGTCAGTGCAGAGAGGCTGCAGCCAATCAACTTTCACCTTCATACTACGTTGGATCAACGCAGCATTACGAGCAGGAAGAACAGAAAAATTCGAAAACCTGAAAGATGATTAACTGAATGAATGTTTTAAGGAGGGAGTCTGGTTGTCCTACTAGTGATGGAACAAAAGCAGTCAAACCATCAAGTTTATTTGTGTTTACGCAGTGCGCCAACCGAGCACCTCATCAAGTTTATTTGTATTGCACATTTCAAGAGCAAGTCAGTTCAAAGTGCTTTATATCATAAAACCATTTTATAAATTATAAGAATATTATACAGTCACCAATTGTAAAACCAGTAACAACCATTACAATTTGTGAAGTATCATCATCAAAATCATCAATACACATCAAATAAATTGATCATTGTTTCATCTACTACTAATCAAAATTAATTCTAAACAGGTGGGTTTTTAGTCTAGATTTAAAGGAGCGTTTTTTTGTAGGTTTGTTCCTGATTTGTGGTGCATAGAAGGCGAAGCTGCCTGCTGCTTCTCCATGTTTGGTTCTGTTTCTGGGGATGCAGAGCACAACCAGAAGACCTGAGAGGTCTGAAAGGTTGATAAAACAGCAGATCTTAATGTATTGTGATGCTAAACCATTCAATGATTGATAAACTTACATCAGTATCTTAAAGTCTATTTTCTGAGCTACGGGAGCCAGTGGAAGAACTTTAGATCTGGGTGATGCTCTCTGTCGTCCTAGTTTTAGTCAGAACTCCATCACCTGCAGCTGGAGGATTGTTTTTTTGGGCAGACTTGTGAAGACAGTTTCAGTAATCGATGTGACTAAAGATAAACTCATGGATGAGTTTATCCATGAGTTTAGCTAATGCTGAGACATAAGTCCTCTGATCCTGGGAATGTTCTCCAGGTGATAGAAGGCCGACTTTGAAACTGTCTTAATGTGGCTCTGAATGTTCAGGTCAGAGTTCATCCTGATTTCTAGTTTCCATCTGTAATAACTGAAGCTGTGCGTTGACTCTACATCTATAACTCTTTAGGTCCAAAGATAATAACTTCAGCTTTGTTTCTGTTCTGCTGGAGAAAGTCTTGGCACATCCGCACATTTATCTGTTCTCAGCTTCTGCTCAGTGATTGGATGGTTCTGAGTCACCTGGTGACATCGTAATGTAGAGATATGTATCATCTGCATAGTTATGCTAGCTAATCTTATTTCCACAGAGAGTAAGAAAACACAATACCAGTGGTATTGATGCGCTGCACTAAATTAGAAATACCCGCAATTCCAGGTTTCATTTCATTTCCCTTAAGTTGTTAATCCACCTTGATAACATCTGATGGTGCTAAACGTTTGGTTTTGTTAATGACCACCATGTGCAGTGATGTTGACACTATTATTTTGCACAGATCAGGCTGGAGATCTGTAGCACATGCTATGTGCTAATGCTAATATCTCCCGATTGTCAGGTTAAACGGAAACCGCCTCCGAATCCAGACTCGGTGTCTTGTAGTTTATTTGATCACCACACAAAATCACACAACACAGAGGTCCAGCGCTCACACCAATCTTCCGTCTGTCCAACAAAATATTGTTCCTTACAGTCAGTGTGCAAATCATCAATAAATATCAGGAGGAGGAGAGCCTCATGTTGGATGGAGGGAACAGATTCTTAGTGAATATTTAAACCCTTCATAAAATCATCTAAAACAGCAAAAGATTGAACATTTATGAAGTTCATATTATATCACATGATGTTTAGTAATTACACCTCGCATTTAATATTGAGAATCTTTGTTTAAACACCTGATGTTAATAAACAATAAAGCAATAATAGTTCTGGCTCATAAGATATTTAAAGGAACTACCAGTGCTTTATATTTAAATTAAAGCTTCATTATTCATGAAGACATAGTGAAAACATGCAGTTATAATTTGTTTAGTCCAGTTTAATCTAAAACACAATCAATCATTGATCAGGAGACAAATTGAATGCCAGCAGGAGGTTCAGTCTGCAGACTGAATCATTTTCCAGGCCAGGAACTTCATCTTAAAGCTAAATTTAATCCATTTTAACTCAGGTCAGATTTTTGCTCCTGTTGTCCTGGTATTAATTAGGTATCTGATTTTCTCCAGCATCACATGAGACCCTCTGAAAGAAATGTTTCTGCACATTTCTTGCAGAAACATTTCTTTCTGTATGAAAGAAATTTTATATGATGACAAAACTCTCAATTTATTGTAATAATGAAGATACATTTTTCTTTATTATCAAATTGTTTTTTTGAAAAAGTCAAACAAACAGAACAACAGACACTTGGTTTACTTTCTAAATCTAAAGAATTGAGAGGAAAACATGCAGCAGTGTTCTAATTTGATTCTAGTTTTAGTTTCTTCTTTGGATCACAATGAAAAAAAATCAGAATCAAGTTCAGTTCACTTCGGTATCACCTGAGTTAAACAACAGCAACATGTGCAAAATAGCAGAAGGAAAACCATGATACAATACATACATCAGTATAAATATTAAGGCACAACTACAATCACATAAATGATTCATGGCACAGTTTTATGAATTTACATCTGTTTGATTTTATTTAAAACTCAATTTTGTATACATATGCCTTTAAATTTATTATTGTCTATATAATCTAATTGATTCTAGAATGTATTGAATATTATCGATTAATATACACTAAATAATTAAAGTTGTAAACAAACAAGTTTCTGGTATTTAAATTTTATGAATGGCTTTTATTGAAGTTACGAGGGGAAAAATGGGGAGCCGGACACAATATCCTGCACCTGTAGGCTGTGGTAAAGTCCCTTTGGCTGCCATCCATCTTAAGAAGGGAAATGAGAAAGAGGACGGACTTTCCCCAGCACTCAAGTCCATGTGACGGGCATGGGACTGTGGCTCTGTGGGTAGTTGTCTTGTGATAGGAATGTTGTAGGTTCAATTCCAGTTTCCTTCTGCAATACGTCCTCTGGACAAGACATTTAATCCCAGATTGGTGTAAAATTATTTGGGTGTAAAGTGCTTTGAGTAGCCAAAAATGATTAGACAACTGCTATGTAAGTTCAGTCCAGGTACCATCACAATTGATTGAATAGGAAGAAATTTCATAAATGTGATAATAAGTCACATGTAAATCAAAGAAATATATGCTATCTAATTTACATAGGTATCTTGGTTGCTATGCAATTCAAAACGATATACTTTACGTGTTTGAAATAAATACACTTGTTATTGTTAATTTAATAATAGTATTTAATATAGTTTAAGTATTTAAAAATATCAAATACTTAAACCTAAAGATTATGCAATTTAAATAAATGGGCTTTATTATGCCGATGAATATGAATCATGTTAAGTTTATTTGATAGTTTTGCATTTAAATTATTTGAAAAAGGTCAATGGAAATTTGTCATGTAATAAAATTACATAAATCTTAAAAGTTAGTGTTAAGTATTTCTGTGAGTGTTTTAATAAACCCAGATAAATTTAGATTTTTGTGTGGAGAAACATTTGTATCATATCAGAATGACCAAAAATATCTGCGGTGATTTTCTTTCCTGGAACACAGAGAACTACATTTAAACCAGAAAAATAAAGAACAGAACAGCAGAGGCATCAGAACAATGAAAAGACTGAAAATCTATCAGAGATTACAGAACTCTGCTGAGTCTTTAGTAGAACCAACCCAAACTCCAGCCAGTAGCGGTTCAGTGAATGTGGTCTTGACTCTGCAGAGGAGAGTCATGGTTTCAGAGACGCTGTAGAAGGACAGAATACCTGCTCTGTGATCCAGGTACACTCCGACTCTGGAGGGAACTGGAGCTAAGATGGGGGTCCAGATGTCATTGTGTCCAAAGTGAAAACTGTATGGGGAACACTCTAAAGCCCAAGACTTTTCATTATTTCCAAATCCGCATTCATTCTTACTTCCTGCTCTGCTGATATTCTTGTATGCGACTGCTATATCAACTGTCCCACACCTCTCCACCTCCCAGTAACAACGACCAGTCAGACTCTCACGACTCAGAACCTGCCACCAATTAGTGAATCTGTCTCGGACACGAGAATAAGACTGATCCTGACTTATTCCTGTCACCTTCCTGTTCCCCTCTGATAGTAAAAGGCGTGTGTGCGCTGTGTCTGGATCCAGAGTGATTTCAAATGAGTATTTTAAGAATCCAGCTCTGCTCTTTGGTTCTGGTCCTGGTAGTAAAACATCCACATCATTAAGTCTATGTAAGATGTTTGTCCATGAGCCTCTCAGGACGTCGTGTAGTTTATCTCTGAGCTCTGACACAGCTGCTGTCACGTCCTCAAAGTGTCTCAGAGGACGGATATTGTTGTTGCTGGATGAGTATGTAGACTTACTGAGTGCTGGCAGTGAGGGGTAGTTGAAGAGAAACTGTATGTGATCCTCTGTGTGTGAGAGCTGCTCCAGCTTCTCCTGAAGATCTTTGACTCGACTCACTTCAGTTTCCTGCTGGGATCTGATCTGCTGCTTCACATCAGAACTTATTTTCTGGAGGAGACGGATCAGCTGGGTGAAGATCTTCTCACTGTCCTCCACTGTTTTATCAGCAGAGCGATTGATGGCCTCCACCTCCTGTTGAAGCGGCTTCACATCTTCTTCCTGGATTCTTTGCTGGATGTTTTCTCGTCTCTCCTCCAGCTCTCTCTGCCTCTCTGTCCCTTCTGTTGCAGCTGAGACTGTGTTGTGGCCTTTATATTCATCCATCAAACAAATGAGACAGACACACTTCTGATCAGTGCGGCAGAACATCTTCGTCACCTCATCATTCTTAGAGCAGATGTTCTCCTGGAGATTCTTGGACGGCTCCACCAGCTTGTGTTTCTTAAAAGCAGCTGAATCGTAATGAGGCTGAAGGTGTTTCTCACAGAAAGAGGCCAGACAGTCTAAACAGGACTGGATGGCTTTCAGTTTTCTTCCAGTGCAGGAATCACAGGCTACATCTTCAGCTTGGAGTTCAGCCTTCTTCAGCTGCTCTAGTAAAGCTGCTAGCATGGTGTTCTTCTTTAGCACGGGCCGCGGTATAAACCTCTCCCTGCATTGAGGGCAGCTGTAGATTCTCTTCCAATTCTCTCCATCCCAGTGGGTTTCAATACAGTTCTTACAGTAGCTGTGTCCACAGGAAGTAGTCACCGGATTGTTCAGTAGATCCAGACAGATCAAACAGGTGAACGTTTCTCTGTCCAGCTGATTCTGCTCCATTTCTGCTCTCAGTCACACTGACTGAAAACATAAACCCTTCTGGTTTATATTTTCAAGAAGTGAGTTTCACTTCCTGAAAAGATAAACTGGTTTGAGCTTCTACCTGTAAATCACGTGTCAGTGCAGAGAGTGCTTTACAGGAATTAAAAGGAAATACAAACAAAATAACAAAAGAAAAGAAAAAGCAAAAGAAGAAAAATAATCTAAAGTTGATCTATTCAAAGGGTATAGGTTTGCTAGATAAGAATAAGTAAGTGTTTTCTGGTCTAATTTCTTTTCTGGGTTGAAATAATAGGAGTCTAAAAAGTAGTTACTGTGGTAGTTTTTCTGGAGTCTGAGTTTGTTCTAATCTCTGTTCTGGCTTGCTAAATAAGTATCCTCTGGACTTCTGGGTTGCTAGATACGTATGAGCAAGTATTCTCTGGACTTTCTAAATAGGCTCTCAATTAGTAAAAAAAAAAAAAGAAAAGAAAAAAGTACTCCACAATTTCTAATGATTAAAAGTGAATGTTCCTTTTCTGGAAGAATCTTTTCTGGATTCTAAGTTTGCTCTAATTACTTTTCTGGATTGCAATAATAGGAGTCTCTCTGCACAGTAATCTAAAAATTAATCTAAGAAGTATTATATTCAGTCTGTTGTTGAGAGTGTCATTTCTTCTCCTGTCACCTGTTGGGGCATCAGGATCAGAACTGGGGAACTAAAAAAGCTCAACAGCCTGATGAAGAAGGCTGGTTCTGTTCTGGCAATGACTGTGGAACCCCTGGAGATGATTATGCAAAGAAGAATTCTTCATAAGATCAAGAAAATTATGGACAACCCTGACCATCAAATTCATGAGACTGTCTTAGGAAAACAGTGTCTTCAGTCAGAGACTTCTTCAGATTCAGTGCAGTACAGATTGCTGTAGAAAATCTTTCCTGCCAACAGCCATCAGCATGTTCAGTAACTCTGAAGAATTAATGAGTTATAACAACTTTTAACTTCCCTTTGGGATTAATAAAGTGATTTTGAATTTGAATTTAAATATCCGCCTTGGGGAATGTCTTTAAGATGATTAACTGAATAGCTGGTGTAAGAAGTTACTCTAGTTGTCCAGTTTTTGTGAAGTGACAACAGTATTAACTCATTCAAGTTTACTTGTATAGCACATTTCAGCAACAAGGCAGTTCAAAGTGTTTTAAATCATAGAACGAACAAAAAAAAGTCAGAAAAACATTACACTCTAACCGGCCATGCAAATCTCTACTGGCATGCACTTTTCAGCATCACAACTGTGTGCAACCTGGCATGTTGTTGTTGATTACTTGTTTGGTGTTACTTTACCTGCACACTGCAACCATAACAAAGACAAAATTTGACTAATTACCCCCTTGGTTTGTCAGTATACATCACTATATGCACAACAAACATCAGTCATCAAATAGGACAACATATTTCATTAAGTATTTAACAAACTATGGCTCCCACTGCGACAATTATGTAAAATTAAATCAGTTGTCCAATATAAAAGGAACGTTAGTTTGATGCTCTCTGGTATCTCTCCTTTCCTGAATGTTCCTCTATCAAACCTGTAGTTGCTAACTATTTGTGTTATTCATGTAGCTCCTGCTACCCTGATTATAAGAAACCTATTGGGTTTGTAAAGTTACACTGTAATAAATAAACAGCAATATTTAGTAAATGGCCTTCTTTTGATTTTCTGTACTCTAGTAAACAATTAATTGATTACTGAATTATTTGATGATTATTTTAATAATTGACTAATTACAAATTATCAGATTAATCATTTCAACTATGATCCTAACTTACTTCCTTTCAGCTGAAAGATATGGTTTGGTTTAAATGACAGGCATGACAGTGAAACATCTGAATAATTTGTACTCATGTACCACTGAAATTGACCCACAAATATTTTATTTATGTGATAAAAAGAAGTAATAACACTTGAACTAAAGCAGAGAGAATCATACCTGCTTCAGAAAACAAAGTCACCATTCACATTAGCAATCAATGTGTAATTGGGCGAATCCTTGTGGAAACCCAACCGCTGACTTCAGACGACTAATTAACTGTTAAATCTCACAAAGGTCAACCGTGTCCCGACCAAGGATGAAGAGAGTAGCCACCATATGGCTAAAGATGCTAGTAGTGTGTCTTCACTGCTCTTTTAATCTTTTGAGCTAATTGTACCCCCCTTCTACTCCTGGTGACGGCGGCCGAGGCCCCTGCAGACAAAACGTGGTCAAACTCTAATCTACTTAACTGCTTTCCACTTTGTTTTTCCAATTATGGTGAAGATCTGTTTGTTCAGGGTCTGAAACACGCTGACATCAACATTAATTATGCTCCACAAGCATAAAAGGTCTGTTTCAATTTAAATGAGCATGAAACGGATGGAGATGGCAGATGTTTAACTCTGTGATGAATTAGATAGATGTAGAATAATTTATATGAACTATATATGTAATAATATCTGGGCTGAAGTGATCAGTCAAATTAATTGTGATTAATCTATTATTGAAGTACTTGTCAGCTATTTAGTCAGTTATCAATCGTTCACTGGAATATGCAGACACTAAAAGTGGCTGTTTTATGAAAACAGCCACATAGTCGGAGCTGTTATTAACCCAAAACTGTACAAAAAGATATAATTTTTTTTCATTCAGGATAAAAAGCGTCTTTATTTGTAAACATGTTCTACATAAAAGTAACAGTTTTACCACCTAGTTTTAGTCAATTCAAACCTAAAATGCTAGAAAAAAGCTGAAATATTTATTTTATAGGTTTAATTTCTTTACAAAAAACAAAAACATGATAATGATTATTTTAGCATGGGCGTGAAACATCTAATTTGTAATTTGTACTCATGTTTTGTCAATTATTTTAATAATCTATTCATCACGATTAATCATTTCAGTCCCACATTATTCAACGTTATTTAAGACATATATTGTATATTTCATTATGCTAGCTTGTTGCTCTTGGGGGCCCTCTGGTGGTGTTGGAGCTCTAAGCAGCTGGTGGACTTGCGTTTGCCTTGGGCCGGCCCTGCCTGTTAATGAACTCTAAACTTCATTATTCCCTCTGTGATCAGGTCAAAGGGGAAAAAGTGGAGGAAACGTGAGTTAATAGGCAGTTCCTCTGCAAACATCAGGGGTCTTCATGAATGGGAAGCAATCACACAGATCAAATATACAGCAGCTGGAGTCTGGAACAAATTGGAGAGGCAGGTAAGTTTAATAATCTCATGTCCTTGGTAATATTAGTCCTGGTCGATGACAGACAGAGAAGCGATGCGTTGATTGATGAGGACACGAAGAGAGCTGGTCTAAAGTTACAACTCCTGCAGCTTCAGGAATCCTCAGAAAGATCTGTGTCTGAGCGGCACCATCGTTCTGCCAATGTGACTGATTGATCCAGTAGATGAACAGTAAAGATTAAGAGGATGACAAATAGGCATGGTGCTTACACAGCGCTTGGGGCTTAATCCTCCACCCCTCAGGTCCCTTTTGAGGACCTGCTGCCAAGGCGGACTCGCAGACGGCAGCGGCATTCCCAGCAGGGAGGACACACGGACCTGTTGATGCTCAACAAGAGGCCACTCAAGATCCTCTGACTCCACACTGCTTTAAAAAAGGCCCAGAAATTTAGGAAGTCTTCATTTTTACATCTTAAAGTAAAAAAAAAGAGAGAAAAACTTCTTTATTGGTGATTGATTATGGAGGATCACCGGACGAAGATCCCCATGATGCCTTCAGCTTCTCCAGCTGAATCTTCAGGCAGCGGCGGGACGGAGGACAGCAGAGGAGGTACGAAGGCCAGGAATCAGCAGAAAAAACTAATATTACCAAGTGCTTTTTATTTAGTTTGTACTGCAAATACTTTAGAACACTTGAAATAAGACAAAACTAACCTATAAGGAACTTTTCAGCAAGATGTAGGAATATAAGTCAATAATGACTTAATATTGATGAAAATGTTTTAGTTATAAGGGAAATAATCTGCCAGCGGAACAAAATATTTTTCCCATATTATAAGTTATAATGTGGCGGATTATTTTGTCTAGCACATTATTTTCATCATGTACTAGGTGAAAATAACTAGCACATTTTCATCTATCATCAGGAGTTATTGACTTAAAATAAGCTCATATTTCTTGTGAAAAGTAACCTGTAAGTTAATTTTATCTTATTATAAAGATATTTGCACAATTAGACCACAAATACTCTTAAGATTTTGTGCTTTTGCAGTGCTTTGTCTCAGCATAAATACTTCTCATGTTTCTGAGTTAAAATTTTATATAAAACAAAATATTAGGATAAGAAAATACTGAACATTTGAACTTTGTGCTTTCTTGTTATGTTTCATTAAACCCTTCATACTAAGTCCCAGTTTTATCTCCACTCAGTTTTTGTTTAAGATTTTTATTTTTATTGCGTATAAAAAAATGAAAAATTACATGTTTATCCTACATTTAAGTGTTTATTCCACATCTTTCATACACCAAAAAGATTATTATAATGAATTTATTCACAGTAAAAATATATATTTTAACCAAAATAAGTTAATGTTAAAGTATTTAATTGTTCTATTTTCCTACAACTCTGCATCATTTGTTTTCAGTTGTTTATCTGTCAGGAGAAAAAACACTTTGCAGTTAAAATATTGAGCCAGTCTTTGCTGCAACTTGAATAAAATAGACAGATAAAAGATTTTATTAAGTCTTGGGATTTTCCCTCTGGGAAATATTGAAAAAGTTTGTTGTCATGCAAAAAAAATCCACATCTAAACCAAAACTAAATGAATCTTTATCTCCCAGATTTATTAATAATAATGCAAATACTCAAAGCATAGATGTTACAGTAAAGTGTTCAAGGTGAACTTTTTAAGCAAATTCAGTTTTATTTCTATTAGCAGTTGTTGATCTGCCATTTCGTTCTTTATAAAAATTAAACTTTCATTTGCATCAAACATTAACTTAAACAATTATTAAAGGTACATAGAAGCCTGGAAAAAGATTATTGCAAAAAAGAGAAAATATTCTTAAATATCTGATAGA